AAGAGCGTCGATACTAGCGAAGCGAAGAAAAGTGTAAGGTTTCGCACATCTGATTTTTACAATATGCGATATGCTTGTCTTTACTAGAAAAAGCTATAGTCAAAATTTCAAAAAAAATATTTAAATATATAAATAAGAATGTCGGCATTGCGCATATTATTCGTCAAGATTTTTCTTGGATGAGGTGCCAGAGGTATAAGATACCGAATGCAAAAAGAACGAACCAAATATTTTGAAATCTGGAAGAGTCGTTAAACTTAGCCGCCATTTATTTGTTCTAAATATTCTCCGAAACAGAGGGGCAGAGATTGTGAGAGTGGAAGCTGTGCCGTCGTTCCAGTGTGAAGTTTAATTTTTGGGCAGGGTTTACATATATTAGTGTATTGTCCTGCAAGGATTATTTATTTATAGGTAAAGGCCCTACCTAACAATATGTTATCGTGCCATAAAATTATTCGGAAATTTACGTTTAACACAAAACAAACATTGATAGATTCTTGATTTGAAAAGTAGAGAAATGCTTTAAACCTCACCGTAAATCGTTTTTCTTTAATACCTGTTCAAAATCAAATCCTATGCCCAGATAATCGAGTTTCTACTGTAATAATAACCATTTACTATTTAATAACAATATTAAGCATTGAATTAGGACCGCCGGTGGTCAGGGGCCCCCCGGGAAATCTCACGATATCCTTCCTGTCCAGTCCGGCCCTGGATAGAAGCACGGACAGACGGAATTTTGTTTTAACCTGTCCAAAACAAAAACCTGCTTAAAACTTTAATTGTAATAATTCAGTAGCCGGCAAGGATATGGGGACAATCTGATAATGGCTGTACGTGTAGGTAACCGTTTTCATGTTTATGTACTTATTCCTTCATTACAGCAAACTGGGAAGAAGGTTGAGTTTATAACGGGCGATCAAAAATGAGTTGCTGCCGAGTCGCCTTTGACTCATTTTTGATCGCATAGGAACTGTTAGAAGAAGAGAGGCCATTTGTGTGCAAATGACCGGCAAGAAACTTTTCCGATAAACACCGCCAAGTGGTTATAACAAAAATTGTTACTATTGGCACCATTTTGCCACATTAAAAACCAACCCAAGTTATTTTACGCTGATCTTTTCCAAATATTTTCGATTTTGAATAAAAGACGCACGAGGAAAAAATGTTAAAAGTCGAATTTCAAATTAAAAACAATATTTTTGACGAAAAAGAAAATATCGTCACAAAAGATGGGTAACCATTTTGAAAAAATTTAAATGTTATTAACAAAAGAAGTTCAATTTAGATATATCGAAAATAAATCCACAATCATTTGAATCAGATTTTCTTTGCTTTGCAATGGCCGCAGGTGCGTTAATGACGTGGCACCTTGTCTTTGAACACGTGTTGTAGGTACAATAAAGATTCTAATTTAATTACCTTATAATTACTTTTTTTTTGGATTCACTATGAATAAGATGCTACTTTTTAGGGATCATGCACCAAAACCACTAATTAAAAGAACCAAATCCACTAAAAAACATGGGTTTGCAAACACATTTGGTTACGGGTAAGATGCGGTTCTTTTTGTAAAAGGTCTTTTCATGTTTTACGTTACGCCCTAATTAAACAATGGGAAAAAAACGTACCTTAGCCTTATTATTTTGGACCCTCCAAGCGAAAACCTGTACCATTTACCATGGGAAGAAGACACTTATCACTGCACTACCGCACTGTTCCAAATCTCGCACGATACTGCAATTGGGAATTTTGAGATATATACGTATAACAGGTAAGACAGAGAAAAAGTGCCTTATCGTACTTCTTGGGTAGAGGCCGGTTTCGCATCGACACTGGTTATCTCTAACTGCGATTGGCAAGTGAAATTTATTCACAAATTTAGAAAACATTTGTTGATTACGCGTTTTGAGTACAGTTGGATCAAAATAAATAACATTCCAGTTATTTTTCTAAATGGGAAGAAAGAGTGGCCACTTTATCAGTTTGTTCACTATGGGGAGAGTGGTTATTGTACCACAAAATATCTCCACCCTCCATATCTTTCCATGGCCATTTTGCTTCTTTTTACCGAAAAAAAAAACATTTCCATCCGTCCGTCCTTCTATTATTTAAGCAGGCCTTCCGCTAATTTCTTACAGGACAAAGGACATTCCAAGTAATTCCAGCAGGTAATTTCGGATGAAATATTTTTTAGAAAATTTCAAGCGAATAGGCGGTAGCACCTTTTTACACTGAAAGCGTAATCAAGGTCAGCAGAACACAATCAAACATATCGCATAATTAGGTGCTAATTAAGTGTGCTATTCCCGAATTAAATGCTCCTTAACTATATTACCGGATTCAAAATTTCTTTTTTGTACTCCGTGGACTAGATGAACGTGTTTTGTCATTCGTTTAAGGTTATAAAGTGTCACTTTTTCTCCCAGAAGGATTAAAATGCAATGAGGGACGAAAAGTGACAGTATACAACATCTTTTTGAATTTGGGAGGCAGTAATTTCCTCATAACGTTCAGTTTATATGAACCTGGCGGAACATGTCATAATTTAAAAAAAAAGAAGCATTTAATTCGAGGATAGGGCACTTAATTAGCACCTAATTATGCAATATGTTTGATTGTGTTTTGCTGGCCTTGCTCTGCTAGGTTCATGGACATACCTAGACAGAGACACGGAGTACGGACGGACTTATTTTCGTACTCACTACAAACAGAACGTTGCTTTTTGATTTCAAATTTATACCATTTTCCAATGGAGCGACGGATGAGCGGATTTTTTCGAACGATACACAAATGCGCAGGTTTTTTTTTTTTTCGAGTAAAGACTTTCCTGTGACTAGCATAGATACCGCCCGCGCAGCATTACAGTTATTACGTAATGTACAGGGCGGTTCAAATGCGTGCCTCACCATTTGGATCTCCATAACGGTGGGAGATACCGTGTAGGTTAAGTGAGGACAAAGTTGTCCCTTTTTGTCACTAAAAAAACATTCAAAATTTTTGAAAAATCTTTAAAAATATCGGGCGGAAATGCACTGTTCTCATGAGCACCTGATGTGGGCACTGTTTTTCGGAGAATATGAATCTGTTATCAGAATTCTCATGACACGCTAGATTCTTATGGGTACCATATTGGATTTTTATGGAATGAAATAGAGGACAAAAAAGAAAAATAATGAGTCACACTCTATACTTTTAGATAAATTTACAAAAAATTTAAAAATCAGATGTGTTACATTCATTTCTCAAGAAACCATCCAAGGGTAACTAGATCTTGCTGTATGCAACATGGCTATGATGGCAATGCATTCAAATGGATTTCTTTTTTTTATCCTCTATCTCATTCCGTAAAAATCCAATATGGCGTCTATAAGAAATAAGAAAATATAGTAACCTGTAGCTTTTACTTCTAGCGTGTTATGGAAATTCTAATGACAGATTCATATTCTCCAAAAAAAGGGTCCATAGCATCTGCTAACGAGAACCGTCCACTTAACATAAACGAAATTCGATATTTTCAGTTATTCGTGATATCTCGCAGTTATTTTCAAAGATTTTCCAAAAACTTCAAATGCTTTTTTTAGGCACAAAAAAGGGCAGCTCTGCCCCCTTTTAACCTACACTACCTATACCTCTCACAGCTACGGAGATTCCGATGGTGAGCCACAAATTTAAACCACCCTGTACTGGCGAACAAACCTGGGATATTATACGTAATTAGGAAAGCGCAACCACCATTTGCGCAATAGCTATTTTGACTAAATGTATTTCAGTTCTTAGTAATAGATCATATCACAGATTTAAATATACTATATTTAAATCTGTGATCATATGTGGCAAATTTGGTTCAATTCGGTGCAATACTTTAGCCATAATATGGCAAAATCATCGACAATTTTGTTTGATGCGGATTCATGGTGCTTCAAAACGTGTATTTCTGTAAAAAAAAAAGTAGGAGGTCATTATTTACTCCAATGCAATACCTTCCTTTACTAAAGTGCGCGTGGTAAAAATGCCCACCAGTTGCTCCAACTGGAATGAGGACCTTCATGCAGCACTTTAATTTACACGAAAATTAATGAATCCTCAGGAAAGTGCCGGAATGTATACCCACCCTCTGATAATATAAAAATCAAAGGGTTGGTCTTATTTATGTGTTGAAAGAAGCCTAAATTTTTAAGAATATTCTACTAAGGAAAAAAATAACCAAAATACATTTGCCACAAAAACCTGTGTCAATGGTTTTTTTTTCCATTATAGCTGACATACGCAACCCTTGTGTATCAAAAACGTGTCAATTGGTTTTGTTTAAAAAGCTTCTCAAGTGTCTTTGACATACACAAAAAATAGATGTCGCCTTTATAAAAATTTAAAAAAACACTCTACCGTCTAACGGTCCTCATTTTAAGGCGCCCATCCTGGGTGTCATTTTGTAACGGACGCTTACCTTACAAAGCATTGACGAGTTTAGTTAATTTATCTTTCAACGGTATTTCGTTAATGTCAATAATTTGTAATCAAAATTTGGAAAAATATACTAATTCTGAATTTGATACTCCAATATGTCTGGAAAAACTTTCATTAATTGGCTATATGCCAATTTTAACGTATGACTTGTGCAAACGGGACAACAGCGCAAAAATGCAATGAAAAGTTTTTGCTTTATTTTCCAAAATAATAAAAAAAGTATAAAGAAATGAATAAGCATCTTCTGAAATACGAACTACATATATTCCACGGTCTACTGCATTTAATCTACATTTTCAAGATTGAATAATGGGTTATCTGAAATTTTTTTAATCAAACATACTAAGAGCCATATACTTTTCTAATTAAAAAAATAAGGAATTTATTGATTCAAAAATATACAACTTTGGTGCTGTTTCTTATGGAAAATATAAAAATACCCTCGGGGCAGTCCGCCCCTCTTTACGCCGCCACTGTCTATGTATAAAAATAAAATGAAATACCTAAAAACATCTCCTAGCAAAGTAGTTCGAATGTCGCATTTTATGTTGTAGTTCTTCTGCTGACCAACCAAACCAACGCTATTGAACTTGAGGGATAATATATTTTAACCTTTTTAGCTATTTAACAATAGATGAGGCAAGTCAGTACAAATAAAGGATAGGTATGGTATATAATTATATTTAACAATTAATTGTTGAAATCCCGTAGAGAATGCAGACATGGAAAACATTAAAGCTGAACTACAGGATGAACTTATAATAAAAGACGAAATAGATGAGGATGTGGAAGTAAAATACGATGAGGAACTAAACGACTGCCTCACCCAAGAAGAGTTTAGCATAAATCAAGAGTATGACTGTTACAAAAGTGCTACGTCTCGACTCATCAAACACCTTCAACCGCCGGATAACGTCACTTGGACAAATGACGAATGTAGTGATTTTTCGTCAGCAAACACTTCACAATTTAAATGCTCGCACTGTAACTTCTTCACGCAGAGAAAATCAAGTTTTACGAATCATCTCAAGTGGTGTGGTTTGCGAGAATTTAGTTGTCAACAGTGTGACTTTAAGACGACATTACGGGAGTCTTTGTACCGCCATGTGAGAGTGTGCCGTGGTGTAGAGAAATTCAGCTGTTGGCAGTGCAGCCCCATGACAAAGACAAAAAGCAGTTTGATCTCGCACATGAACTGTTGTCATGATGTGGATGACTGTGATTGTGAACAGTGCAATTTCACCACAAAAAATAAATCAAACTTATACAATCATGTGGGACGATGTCACGATCTGGAAAAATTGAGTTGTGAACAGTGTAGTTTCACCACAAATTCTCAAATGGACCTGCACAACCATGTCAAGAGCTGTCAAAATGTGGAAGAATTCACTTGTGACCTGTGCACCTTTATCACGAAAAGAAAATCAAGCTTCACACTACATCTGAAAGGATGTCGCGGTGTTGAAGTGTTGAGTTGTGAACAATGCAATTTCAGCACAAATTCTCAAAGGGACCTACACAAGCATATCAAGGAGAGTCACAATGCGGAAGAATTCGCCTGTGACCTGTGTACTTTTATCACGAAAAGAAAATCAAGCTTTACAGCACATGTGAAAGGATGTCGCGGTATCAAAGAGTTTAGTTGTGGGCAGTGCAGTTATACCACAAACTCAAAATCACATTTCACCAAGCACTTCAATGGCTGTCACGGACAGCAAGAATTTAATTGTGAACAGTGCAATTTCGTGACAAAATGGAAATTTAAATTTATCACGCACGTGAAAACCTGCATCGGTCCCAAAGTTTTCAATTGTGAACAGTGCTGTTTCACGACATACTCTAAAAAAGACCTCCGCCAACATGTTAAAGGGAATCATGACAGCGTGGAAGAATTGTCCTGTGGGCTGTGCACTTTCGTAACTAAAAGAAAATCAAGTTTCACCGCACATGTGAAAGGATGCAGTGGTGTTAAACAGTTGAGTTGTTATCAGTGCAGATTCACCACAACAAGAAAAGAAACTTTCACCAAGCACATGCAAGGCTGTCACGGACTGCAAGAATTCCATTGTGGACAATGTGACTTCGTGACGAAACGGAAATCGAGTTTCGTCAAGCACGTGAACGAACGTTGCGGTGCGTCCGATTTTAAGTGTAAACAGTGCAGCTTCACTACGAAGTTACAAAAGTCTTTACAGCACCATATGAAAGGGTGCACCGGTGTGGAGGAGTTTAGGTGTGAAGATTGCGATTTCACCACGAAAAGGAAATCAAGTTTCACGTCACATGTAAAAGGGTATCATATGCGAAGGGAATTTGGTTTAAATATAACATCACAAGTGTAATTAGTACTTAGGATCTTTGTCGTTAAGTAAAAAGAACCAATTCAATTAAAAATACAAAAAATTAGTGTTTCTTAAACAGTCCCACACAGCATAGACTTAGACAAGAATTTTTATTTCATGTTAATATGGCGAAAAGGATCTGAAGCATAAGAAGAACCTAAATGAAAATATTTTCAAGTTCTAAAAATGACCAACAGAGAGCGTAACTGCTATCTTAAATTTTAAAATTGCATTTTCTTTAAATTTCGCATAATAAACAAAAAAAAATTTTCACATTTTTAAAGAGAACCAGATCTATCATTTTCTTAAATACAGAAACTCAATTATTTCAAACACAAAGATGGTGTGGGGGGTTCAATTGTTGAGTTTTTGTTTTTACGAAAATGATAAACTGGTTCTCTTTAAAAATGTGAAAAAAAATGTTTAGTTTATTATGCGAAATTTAAACAAAATGAAATTTTAAAATTTAAGATGGCAGTTACGCCCTCAGGTGGTCATTTTTAGAACTTGAAAATATTTTCCAGCGATTCTTCATAACCGATTTACCCAATAATTTTTTTACCTCTAAGTCATACGACGAAAGGTTCCCGAGATATGGCCGAGGAACAGTCTCATTGGGTCACCCGGTACCTACTTATCAAACAAAACACATATACCTTACACTACTCGGGAGTGAAACCGAAACAAAGAGCAAAGGAGTGAGTAGGAGTATAATAGTCACTGAGGAAATGAACAAAAGAATAACGGATTTTAAGGCAATCAACTCAAGAATAATAGCAAAATGGAAGAATCAATTAGCATCACACAAATATGTGGGCCAGTAAAAGGGACAGCAGAGGAAGAAATGACCGAGTTCTACACAAATGTACAATAAATACTAATGATATGACAATAATAATGGGAAACTAAAACAGTAGAGTAAGAAAGGACTACAACAGAGGAATGAAAGGCAGGATAAGGAAAGACATAAAAAGCAATTAAAAATAAGTAGGGACAAACACTAACAGACACAAAAGAAATACTCGAAATATGGAAAGAACATGACAGAATAAAATATAATATGACAGAGTCAGAAAACAAAATGGAACAGGAAAAAACTAAAGAGAGAAGTCGAAGAGACAATACAAACAAGTTGTAAATCAGCATATGCATGATTAAAGCGCATTTTTGGTAATACAGGTCAGTATTTTATTAGCGAAGTTTAAAATTATCGATCTCACGAGTAATTTTTGCTGCGTAAAATAATTAATTTTATTTAATTTCAATTGAGGGTACGTCTTTATTTTGTAAAACAAATCACAATGTAAATAATGAAGTTTTTAAACTGGTAGCGCTATCTAACGGTAAAATTATAGCACCTCCGAAAACCATATCGAAATTATTTTCTTAAATTATCGATCTCACGAGTAATCTAACTCAAAATAGACTAGAGCCTGCACATCTACACTATAGCAGAAAGCTTTTAGTGAAAATTTGAAGTCTCTAGCTATCGTAGTTGCTTGGGTTAATAGGTCAATCTAGGTGTGGTGAAGTGTGCATAGATGGCGCCACCTTGATTAAGAAAGTTATATTGTTTAGATCTATCGTGATGAAGTACAAAAATAGTATATTATAAACCAAGGGAGTAAAGTGTGGGTTTTAATTCCAAGGGACTAGGACACCTGGACGCACTTTAGTCCTGTGCTATACAGGTCGATTTCAATTCGAGGGCCACTATGGGGAAATTTCCACCAAATTGGTCTGCTTCTTACAAAGTTATACGTAATTCAATAAATATCTACACTACATCAGAAAGCTTTTAGTGAAAATTTGAAGTCTCTAACTATTGTAGTTGCTGAGATCTCAGCCGGCCAGCCAGCCATAACGAATACAATAGTGTATTTTTTTCAAAAATGCGCTAAAAATCAAAATTGGGAAAGCAAGTGAAAAAGACGGCATTGCATTGGGGATGATTATGGCTGGGGGAAAAAGCAATAGAATGGATATGGGAGATCTGTAAAGAAGTGTGGGAAAAACAAAAAATCCCGAGGGACTGGGAAGATAACCTTTTAATTCCGATACACAAGAAAGGAATACAGACGAAGTGCGAAAACTACAGACCAATCCGCTTAGCCCAAACCAGATACAAGTTATATACAAAAATATTAGAAAAAAGATTAAGACAACATAAATAAATGCAAATAAAACAAAAATAATGATCACAAATGAAAAAGAAACCCAGATCGACAAAGGAATCAAATGTAAAAATAAATTATTGGAAAGAGTAACATACGAATTTTTTGGAAGTAGGTATAATTACAAACCAAGGATGGAAAAATAGAAGCGGAGTTAACAAACAGAACAAATAAATCAACAAGAATATATTACTCAAAAAACAAAACAATACTAGGACATAAAAACATAGATAGATGTAATAACCATACGCCTGTGAACATTGGACACTAAATAAAAAAAACGAAAGTAAAATAAATGCTATGGAAATGAAACATCTCAGAAAAATTGCTAGAAAAACAAAATGAAGACAGGGTAAGAAATGACATGATTAGAGAAACAGCAGAACAAGAGCCGATATCGGACAAAATAAAAAAGAAACAACTGAACTGCGTCGCGCACATAGTAAGTATGGGACCAGACAGATTTACAAGAAGAATAATGGAGTGGAAAAACCAAGGAAGAAGCAAAGGGGAAGACCAAGAAGAAAATGGATGGGCCAAATCCGAGAAATAGGGATGGAAAGAGGAAATGAAAATCCTAGACAGAGGAAATGATGGAGGAATTGGATACAGGGAAAGAAACCCACATCCGATGACTGCAAGGGCAGGATTAGAGAAGAAAGGAGAAGAATAGTAACTTGCACGTATCCGCCCATATACCCAGGTGTAAGGAAGGGACCAAAAAATTTAAACAATTTGGATATCAAAGGAAAATAGAAGAATTCAAAACACTGACAATCCGAAGAATCTTAATCTAAAAAAATAGGTACCTACATTAAAAAGAAACTCTAGAATGATGGGTAATTATGGAAAATTAGGGAAGCATTAATTAATTGTTTTAAATTCCAACTTTCGAAATTTAACAATTTGTTTAGTTATTGTACCTCGTTTCCGAGCGAAAATTTTAAAAATAGAGCATCTTAATACATTCAGGGGAAACTCCTTTTTCTTAGTTGGCGAAGAAGCAGGATATTATTGATTAAAATTAAAAGGTGGTTTATTTTTATGTTGAACTGGCGCGATCCTCCTTAAATTCGGCCCGCAAGTTTAGTATAGCTATAAATTTGGTGCGCGAAATGTCTGTTGTTGACGATCAACAGTTCTGTTTGAGATGGAACAATTTTCAAGCGAACATCACGTCTCAATTTGAAACGTTAAGGGATGACGAGGACTTTACGGACGTGACGATCGCCTGCGAGGGGCAACAGTTGCAGGCGCACAAAATCATACTTTCGGCGTGTAGTCCTCTATTTAAGGAATTGTTTAAGGTAGGAATTGCCATAAAAATATGTATTGCAAATTGTTTAGCTATCGGACGGTTGGCAGTACCGCAACGCGCGAAATTTGACCGGTTTGAATTTTAGAGTAATCCCTGTCCGCATCCCATTATATTCATGAGGGACGTGGAGGCTCAGCATATCGTCGCGCTTATGGAGTTTATGTACGCAGGGGAAGTGAACGTTGCTCAAGCACAACTTTCCGCCTTCTTAAAGACGGCGGAATCGTTAAAAATTCGAGGGCTCACCGACACCTCCAACGACTTACAATCTAACAAAGAAGAGGTAAGCCACGACACTCCTTGCCAGATTAACACACTTTTAGTATCGTGCAGAATATGGTGTTCCTCAACCCGCAACCCTCAAATGTCAAGTCGCGACTGACCAAGACTAAGATATCGTCGTGTAGTAGTACAGTTACCTCCAGTCAAGACATCAACCCCAGCAGTCCACCTCCTACGAAGAAGGCGTGTCAAATGGGGAAGAACAACGTGCAGCTGATTAGAGATCAAGATGCAAGCTTTGAAATAGAAACGCATATAAATTTAGACGAGCGGAATGTGGCACCGAAAGTCGAACTGCCCGAGTACTTAAGCGACGATGATGGCAAGGAGGATGGGTGCTCGAATTTTAACAGTATTGGAGACATTACGGAACTTACAGGTATAGTTGGTATTGATAGTTTTTGGTTTGTTCTGTTTTTACCACCTGCATGTTAGTGGGGAAGTATTTCATTTGGGGAAAAAATTACCCCCCACTTATTCTACGGTAATACACGTTTTGAAGCACCAGAAATCTAAATAGAACAAAATCTCGATGATGTCTGTCTGTCTGCTTAAATCGTAAAATCAAAATTTGAAAATATTCGCTACAGGGGAAAATCAAAAAATTTTCAATTTCAGGATGACTATGTTTTCTTAATTACAAGAGATAGAGATACAATGCTTTTTACAACAGTGATTTATAATGATTGTTGAATAATCTACCGTTTTCAAAATAAGTATACGGGGTTAGGTCAAAAAGTTAACGGACTTAACCGCATTTTTTTAATTGGAACATTCTATATTGCCGGCCTGTGTGGCGCAGTTGAGTTGAAGCTCGACTGAAGTATTAAGGGTCCCTGGTTCAGGCATTGATAGTGGGTTGGGGTGGTTAAGCAGCCTTGACTGATACCCCGCTCACTCAAAAATAAAGGTCTAAAATACAAATAAATATTGAAATTAACAATATTTTAAATTAAAAAAATAGGACACTAAACAGTCTTCTCAAAAATATAACACACCAGGGATGTAAAAAAAAAATTATTACAAAAATACACATATGTACAGGGTGAGTCAACGATTGCGCGGAGTAACTTAATGCCTTGAATATAAGATTTTTCGATAGAGTGCTTTTGTATTATGACATGGTTGAATATTCTCCACATTTTAAAAATATTTGGAATTATACAGGGTGCGCCCACAAAGTAGGGCGCCCAAATGGTACATTTTTTAAATAGAACCCCCTGTATTTGAATGCATTTTTGAATTCTATGTTGTACGTCTTTTTTATTATATGGTTAATATCCGAAAAGCTAGATAATTGGATTTTTAAGAAAAATTGGGAAAAATTTACAAAGAATTTCTTTAAACTCCTTCCTCAAAAATTGGGCATTTGCAAGCGTCAGTATATATTGTCAAAATTATTACTTAAACTTCGATTCCAGGTTTTATATCTTTTATCCTGGGTTAAGTAAAAGTCAAATAAATACATCTACTATAAAACATTAAAAAATAGCTTACAGAGTGTTTTTTTAGATCCAAAGTTACAAGTTACGAAACTTCATATTAACAAATCTCACTTTTTTAAATGGAACACCCTGTATATTTTTCAGTCATCTTTTAGCTCCTCCAAAAACCTTCAACTTTGGATAATAACGTCCTATACCTATCTCTGATAGTTTTCGAAACATCTTGGTTTTCCTGGTTTTTATATTCTAATCTTAAATAAGTTATATGCAATTTACAGAATAGTGAGGTGGCCATGCAAAAAAAGGCAATTTTGATCTGCCTCGTTCAAAGCTAAAATCATAATTATTAATTCATTTTTCTAATAATTCATTTAAGTCTATAAAAACTTTAAAATAAATTTGATCGTAAACACATAAAAAATATCTTGGTTTTTCTACTTTTTATATTTTAATCTGAAATAAGTTCTAATTTATATAATAATGAGGTGAATATGAAAAAAAAACTAATATCATTTACTGGATGACATTAGGAGTTAAATTAAATTTGCTTTGTAGTCAACTGTTTTTACTTATTCTCCAGTTTTTGGAATTAAAATAAATTGAAAAATAAATTAATCGATATGATTTTCGTTTTGGACGAGATAGATTAAAATTGCCTTTTTTTTTGGCATGTCCACCTCCCTATTATGTAAATTACATATAACTTATTTAAGATAATATTATAAATAATATCAATACTAGGAAAACCAAGATATTTCGAAAACTAAGAGATAGGTATAAGACATTATTATCAAAAGTTGAAGGTTTTTGGAGGAGCTAAATGATGACAGAAAAATAAACAGGGTGTTCCATTTAAAAAAAGAGAGATTTTTTAATATGAAGTTTTGCAACTTTGGACCTACCAAAAAAAACACCCTGTAAGCTATATTTTTAATGTTTCATAGTAGATGTATTTTATTTGACTTTTACTTAAGCCAGGATAAGATATAAAACCTGGAATAAAAATTTAAGTAATAATTTTGACAATATACTGACGCTTGCAAATGCCCAATTTTCCTTAAAAATCGAATTATCTTTAAAACTACTAGCTTTTCGGATATTAACCATATAATAAAAAAGATGTACAATTACACGTAGAATTCAAAAATGCATTCAAATACAGGGGGTTCTATTTAAAAAAATGTACCATTTGGGCACCCTACTTTGTGGGCGCACCCTGTATAATTCCAAATATTTTTGAAATGTGGAGAATATTCAACCATATCATAATACAAAAGCACTCAATCTTCAAGGTATTAAGTTACTCCCCGCAATCGTTGACTCACCCTGTACATTTCAAAGATTGTGGATTTTTTTTGTTTTTTGAACCAATACTGAATTTTTGAGTGTTATATTTTTGAAAAGGGAATCTAATATGCTATCTTTTTAGATTAACATACAGGGTGTTCCATAAAAAATGAGGTTAGGTCGAATAATTTTTTACCTGACCCCATATATGTACTTATTTTAAAAACGGTAGATCATTCAACAATCATTAGTCATTACAAAGAAATGTCTGTGTTTTTCTGTCTCTTTTAACTAAGAAAATATATTGAAATTAACAATTTCTTAATTTGGCCCCTGATGCCTTAAGCGAGAGAATATTTCCACATTTTGATTTTACCATTTTAGGTTTGACGCCTATATTACATTTTTTTTACGAAGATATCCTCTAAAAGCTTCGAAAATGGGGCACCCTGTACATCTTTTGCTCACCATGGAAACTTAGATGTGTACAGTAAAAATATTTTAATATATAAAATGCAAATTTGGAAATATTTAATATAAATATAATCAGTGATATATCAAAATCAAAACTGCGCTTTCTTCAAAAACTTCAAATATATAGGGTTGTTCGTATGCAAAAATGTAGTATAAAAAAACCAAAAACCCTGTATAACTACATAAAAAGTGTTCTAAGAAAGTGTTTGCCAAAATAAATTATCTTTAATAAGAAAGTTGTAGGGTATTAAAGAAATCGACTAAATTCGAGAAACGCCTCCTAGCGGCCAAACGATTAGACATAGCTGATTTCCGTTTAATTGCGCAACAAAGTAATTTTTTTAATTAGTTGCACGGTCGATCGAAGTCCAAATTCCATCAAAAGTTGGTGCATGTTCCATAACCATTTTATATGCAATTATATTGGCACTATACAGGGTAGACCAAAAAATAAGAAAGTACAAAGTACCAATGTCTAAACAATACAGCAAAATATTATTGAGGAAAGCTGTTCAGAATTAAAAGTTATGATTAAATACAAAATGATGCCTCCGTATTCAGATTTGCATTTTCTTCCTGGAAAATGTTTGATTCTGTATCAAGACATTTTTATTATTTTAATTCAATATTTAATTAAATTAGATTTTTCTAGAACTGTCTGACTCTTTCCAGAGTCTATATTGGATGCCTTTTTCGGGCGGATTTTAATTTTCCCAATCAATCGAAGACAAGATTCTTCTAGGATTCCTGCTGGTGAACTTTTCATTTGTAATACCTGAAGAACAATACCAGCTTTTAGTCCCCTCCCCCAATTATAATAGGGCGTGGAGGAAATCAATTCCTTTCGTTGAGACCTCCCATAGAGTACCATGAAGAATAAAGCCAATGTCTCCCAGTTATACTTTGTAGAAAGCAATTTTCCTTTCGCTGAGACGTTTCATTAGATACCATGAACGGTGTTTTACCCCCTGTCCCCATTTTCAAAACTTTTAAAGAGGCATAGAGACAAATTCGTAAATTACTTTCAGAAACAGCATTTTGGGAAATAATTAATGGGATTCAGGATATAGGCTATCTATTGTGAAACATTCCAAGCCTCTCAGAGAATTGTCCTAAAAGTAGTTCAAAATCGCATAATGGGGCCGGGCGGACAGACAATTATAATAGCACATTTTTTTTTTATTTTTAAGAAAACTGCCCTAAAAAAAGGTTCTCAATGCACGCGAGCACAGTGAAATTGCCAAAAGATCCCCCTAAATCATGCTGTTACCTTATATAAACTTCCCAAAATACGGAGGTTGTTTACATCCCAAAAACTAAAAGGTTTTTATTTAATTGTGCGGCCTGTGATAAAACAAAAATCTGTAATTGGTCTTAAAATTAAGCGCGCTTCTTCTGAAACTACTCATGACTGGTTCGGATGCGATTTACTCCAACTCATTTAATACGTATTTGCGTTATCCGAATCTACCACGAACCAAATTTAAAGAAAATGCAGTTCTAAAATTTAAGATGGCAGTTCAGCCCTCTGGTGATGATTTTTAGAACTTGAAAATATTTTTCCGCGATTCTTCATGACCGATTTACCCAATAATTTTTTTACCCCTAAGTCATACCACGAACGGTTCCCGAGATATGGCCGAGGAACAGTCTTATTGGATCACCCGGTACATTTCAAAAAGATTGTTGAATTTTTTTCGTTTTTTGAACCAATACTGAAGTTTTGAGTGTTATATTTCTGAAAAGAGAATCTAATATGCTATCTTTTTAGATTAACATACAGGATGTTCCATAAAAAATGAAGTTAGGTCGGATAATTTTTTACCTGACCCCATATATGTACGGACAGACAAAACGCACACAATAGCCCATTTTTTTATTTTTAAGAAACCGCCCTAAAAAAAGATTTTTAATGCACGCGAGCACAGTGAAATTGCCAAAAGATCCCCCTAAATCGTGCTATTACCTTATATAAACTTCCCAAAATACGGAGGTTGTTTACATCCCAAAAACTAAAACGTTTTTATTTAATTGTGCGGCCTGTGATAAAACAAAAATCTGTAATTGGTCTTAAAATTAAGCGCGCTTCTACTGAAACCACTCATGACTGGTTCGGATGCGATTTACTCCAACTTATTTAATTCGCTGTTAAATACGATTACTTAAAATTTTCAAATTCGGTATCCCAGTAATGCTGATGTATTTAAATATTATTTTTTTAACCTACACTCAACAATACAGGACCCAAGAATGGTCCTTAAGAAACGCCGCATTATTTAAAATATCAAAAAATTGATATTCCTCATTTCTAGGTGGAATGGAGATTATTCCGACACATTCGAGCTTCAACGCCGGCCAAAATCAGACCGAGGGATATTCGGGTAAGTGCTTTCGCGATCGACATATTATAATCTCGGGTTCAGTGAGGTGGCGTTTGCAACGAAATAATTTTACGTTTTGTTGCAGGCATAGACAGCCGTAAACTCCACTCTCTGGACCCGAGACCGTGTCAGGAGTGCGGTCGCGTGTACAGCAATCTGTCTAACTTACGACAGCACATGAAATTAATACACAATCCGACCTATGTCGAGTGTTACATATGCAAAAAATCGTTCAAGACTGATCTATATCTGAAAAGACACATAATGAGCTCGCACGATAGCAATAGGTGCGCCCTCAAACGGGAGCTAAGCGAAGGGAAATGGTATCAGATTAAAGAGCAGCATTTATAGTAGACATAATTGTGTGTTGTAATTATTACTAATTATTGTACCGAGAATTATTTATTATTAAATCAATACCCTATTAGCTGCACTTGGCTTCTAATACACCATTTTCCAGATACAGATAGATTTAAACGGCGGAAATCCTCCGAGCAGTTTTTACCCTTCGCGAGTTCCCCGGAAACCACATTCAGTGACACTAGCAGTCGACTTAGGGATGTCTTCAGCGACAGAGATCGGAGACGTTTGGTTCGTATTCTACTTCTAAAACTGCCAATGACGTGAAAATGCCGTAGGTAAAGCTAGGCGAGGGTATCGAAATATGCGAGGAGCAGCTACGATCGGTTAAATGGAGCGACTATAGGAAGCTAACACGAGGGCTCGCCACAATATTGTTTAGTCCCACCGAGTTAGCCTCGTGCTCGGTTACCGGGCAGAGGTGGAGTCGGGCCGGGACCGGAGAACGACCCGTCAAGCCTGCACTGGACCGAGCCAAGGTACAGGCGATTATTTGTGAGTAAATTCGAGCCTTTTGCGGGTTTTACGCCCACTTTTTCAGCGTACGTCGCCACCAGATTTCCAATGATAGAAATAAGTAGAATAAAACAAGTTCTCGCGTACAAGTGCAAAGAAAACTCGACCGCTTTCAAAATGAAAGCCGTACGGTACTACGGGTGAGCTTAATTGTATTTTTCTCCTAGACTTATTCAAGTTTTTTAGTGATCAGTTGAAGGTACCAGATGGTAATTGAAATTATCGTGCGAAATGTGTTCTTTAATGTAGTTCGGTAGACGTTACTATTTATTATTATTTTATTTAAATATATGTTATAAAATACTTTTATATCTTTTATATCGCCTGGTAAATTTGACTGCTTGTTGCAAGTGAATTTTGAAAGATCGTTGACGATCAGGATTTGTATTGTAGTATTTGAAATTTCGTTTAATCACAGGAATAATTTACTTGTTTATTTATCGTAACTAACAACTCCAAGTATAAACGCAATGAATGTTTTGTACTTTTGACCCCAATGCTTCAGTGGTACAATTTATTTAAGCGAAAATTAATTAAGTACCCTGATATGCGTACCTTCCATAACATATTGTATCGTTATTTTACATAATTGCGGCGTTGTAATTAGTTTCAAACCCTGGAATTGTAGCTAATTTATATATTATCCTTTTCCCTCATTTGTGCAAACATCAACCGGATTGTTCTTCCGTTTGAGGCGAGATTGTACCTATGTGTGTGTGTACCTATGCCCACCGCTCATGTGTTCTAGAATTCAGAAAAAAAATTAATATACACATTTTTTATTAATTTTTATTTTATTTTTTGGTGATTTGTAAATATGTGACATTGTGTTTTTATTATATTATTTCTATTAGTTTGGTTAGCCTGGTGGTTTCAAGTTTAAATTATTTTTTTTTTGTATTGTGTATTAAAGAAATTAAACTGAGTTAACTGGTGGAATAGCTTTCAAGCTAAACTTCGCGCATTTGCTTGATGTGAGTAAGGTACGTCCTTTATTATTAAAAAAATTAGTGGTCACTTCCGACCAAATAGTAATTAAAAACAAAATCAATATAACCAATGAACTCTTTACTTTTTACTCTACAGCATTATTTTAATTTAAAAAAATCTGTAATTGACATATTCGACTGTTCGAGGACTTAAAATACAAAAAACAGCATTCATAATAGCCGGTCATTTCATTTCCCAGTACTACAATTAAGTACAACGGTATAGAATTGACCTGAAGAAACCTGAAAATACCGGGCCCGGTACCGTTACTGTCCGTCAACAAAGTGGAACTTATTCGAATGCATAACGAAACCAAAAGTAAGTGTGCCATGCCAACTGCGATTTCGAATTTTGAATATGGTAAACTGGGCAAGTGGTTCGCCGGAAGGTACCGGAAGAATCGGGGAAGGATGGCCAATTCTGTAAAATTGTTGAACAGGTGTTGCCGAATTAAAGCAGTTAATAGAACGAATCGCATCGGTACGACGACGGTAATTAATTAAATAAGTAACTGATAAAGGTGGATCTAACCTCCAAACAGCAATGGGAACGATAAGTACTTGCGTTAACGAACTTTTTAGTTTTTACATATTCTACTCTATTTAGCTATTTAAAAATAAGCAACTTACCGAAATTGCAGGCCCTTTTTTCTCTCTCCACAAAAATGGAATACCAAAATTCGGATTCTTTTCAAACGCCAATTCCCGGTAAAAATTAAAATGGCCGAAACGAGCGACGCTACGCCACGTTAACGGCCGGAAGAGAACACAGTTCGCAAACAGTTGGCTCAACAGCCACCGTATGTACAGGATGGTTACGCACGGTAGTTATTCGTTTTCTACGTGTTTACGATACGATTAAATACAGTTGCTTGTTGCAACAATAGTTATACCTATCATGGATCTTTTCTTAAGCTGGGTTTGAGGTAAGTTGATTAATTCAATGGGTGGATATGGAATATTAGACCCCTTTGTAACCAGACTTCCGTATGTACAGAAAAACTACAGTTCGCTCATCATTTAAAAATAGTAACGCAACGATAAATTAATTAGTTCATTCATTAACGAGCGACAAAAAGCAAGTTCATGATTTTGGACTTTCTGTCCGCCCGTCTGTGTACACGAAACTCCTGAACGGTTTCGAATGTTCCAATTCAGTTTTCAGTAATATGTAGACAATAGTAAAGGAACTAACCGAATTAATATTGGTCAATACTCGTCCACCGGAAGTGACCTAGTCGTTGTCTATATTGGTGTAGTTTATTCATAACCCAGTTGGTATTTCATTATGACTGTAAGGACGTTGGTAGGGAATCAGGAATATAAAGTAACAAGCGCGATTAGAAATGCAATTCTAATTCAGATATAAATAGAATAAGGTAATAAATACGACTTTCCGTATGTATTTTCAGGATGGGTAAATGAAGCGGGACATCGTAATTAAAATGAAGAAAAGGAGAGTTGATTGGGTTATATATTACAAGACCGGTACGTATAAATATAAGTATGAATAGTGGGAATTGATCATTCATAAAACGATTCGCTCTGCGTTTCCTTCACATTTTATTTACTCCTCCTTTGCACCGCTTTCAAATTTTCCTCTTGCTTCCTTTTTCTCAACGCCCTCACATCATATTTATTTATACTAAGCTAGAAAGAAACCCAATAATCTTTGTTATTTGGGTTTATCTGTGTTTATAAGATTCGCAAATTTTTTCCCCCCAACCTGTATATGAAAATTCAAAATATTCAGTGATTGGTGACAGTTGTGGGCGAAAAATTGATAGATTTCCTGAAGTTGGCAATACAATTTAATTTATTTTGATTTACAATAAATATTGAAGTGTAGAATTGGGTCCGTTTTAGGGTGGTTCGTATGAAAAAATGTAGTATAAAAAACCAAACACCCTGTATAACCTGCGTTACGCGATGGGTTCTACATAAAAAGTGCTCTAAGAAAGTTTTTGCCAAAATCAACTATCTTTAATAATAAGAAAGTTATAGGGCATTAAAGAAATCGACTTCATTCCAGAAACGCCTCCTAGCGGCCAAACGATTAGACATAGCTGAATTCTTTTTGCACCAGTGATTTTCTCTTAAATTGAGCTTCGGACACCTAGGTCCATTTTTTCTATCTTTTAAAATAAAGGGCGTTTCCATAGCCTGTACAGTGTGGTCCATTAAGTGCGCAACAAAGTAAATGGGAATTTTTTAATTAGTTGTGCAACCGATCGAAGCCTAAATTCCGTCAACCCAGTTGGTATTTAATTATGACCGTAAGGACGTTGTAGGGAATCAGGAATATAAAGTAACAAGCGCGATTAGAAATGCAATTCTAATTCAGATATAAATAGAATAAGGTAATAAATACGACTTTCCGTATGTATTTTCAGGATGGGTAAATGAAGCGGGACATCGTAATTAAAATGAAGAAAAGGAGAGTTTATTGGGTTATATATTACAAGACCGGTACGTATAAATATAAGTATGAATAGTGGGAATTGATCATTCATAAAACGATTCGCTCTGCGTTTCCTTCACATTTTATTTACTCCTCCTTTGCACCGCTTTCAAATTTTCCTCTTGCTTCCTTTTTCTCAACGCCCTCACATCATATTTATTTATACTAAGCTAGAAAGAAACCCAATAATCTTTGTTATTTGGGTTTATCTGTGTTTATAAGATTCGCAAATTTTTTCCCCCCAACCTGTATATGAAAATTCAAAATATTCAGTGATTGGTGACAGTTGTGGGCGAAAAATTGATAGATTTCCTGAAGTTGGCAATACAATTTAATTTATTTTGATTTACAATAAATATTGAAGTGTAGAATTGGGTCCGTTTTAGGGTGGTTCGTATGAAAAAATGTAGTATAAAAAACCAAACACCCTGTATAACCTGCGTTACGCGATGGGTTCTACATAAAAAGTGCTCTAAGAAAGTTTTTGCCAAAATCAACTATCTTTAATAATAAGAAAGTTATAGGGCATTAAAGAAATCGACTTCATTCCAGAAACGCCTCCTAGCGGCCAAACGATTAGACATAGCTGAATTCTTTTTGCACCAGTGATTTTCTCTTAAATTGAGCTTCGGACACCTAGGTCCATTTTTTCTATCTTTTAAAATAAAGGGCGTTTCCATAGCCTGTACAGTGTGGTCCATTAAGTGCGCAACAAAGTAAATGGGAATTTTTTAATTAGTTGTGCAACCGATCGAAGCCTAAATTCCGTCAACCCAGTTGGTATTTCATTATGACCGTAAGGACGTTGGTAGGGAATCAGGAATATAAAGTAACAAGCGCGATTAGAAATGCAATTCTAATTCAGATATAAATAGAATAAGGTAATAAATACGACTTTCCGTATGTATTTTCAGGATGGGTAAATGAAGCGGGACATCGTAATTAAAATGAAGAAAAGGAGAGTTTATTGGGTTATATATTACAAGACCGGTACGTATAAATATAAGTATGAATAGTGGGAATTGATCATTCATAAAACGATTCGCTCTGCGTTTCCTTCACATTTTATTTACTCCTCCTTTGCACCGCTTTCAAATTTTCCTCTTGCTTCCTTTTTCTCAACGCCCTCACATCATATTTATTTATACTAAGCTAGAAAGAAACCCAATAATCTTTGTTATTTGGGTTTATCTGTGTTTATAAGATTCGCAAATTTTTTTCCCCCAACCTGTATATGAAAATTCAAAATATTCAGTGATTGGTGACAGTTGTGGGGGAAAAATTGATAGATTTCCTGAAGTTGGCAATACAATTTAATTTATTTTGATTTACAATAAATATTGAAGTGTAGAACTGGGTCAATTTTTCTAATTAAAAAACCAATTACCTAAATTAATAATTTACAAAAAAAACCGATCGTTGTAAGAACAAGATGGATACATTTTGGAAAATTTCTCGTATCAAGTGGAAAACCTCTTACTCCGACATTGCCAATTGAATTAAGAAAGATAAAAATGTAGTCCTGTATTTTTATAATTCTTCGTTTTTTATCGCTTACTAATTACGCAAGTAAATGATGTCGCCGCCTTTACAGAATTTGTTCGATTTAAGCTGTCTCTTAGATAATATCGATATTCAATTGTGTTGTCGTACCGAAAACGGTATAAAGCAGCTATTGGCTTTGGTTACTGGGTATGTACCTTGTTTCTCATGGGTGCACCGCTTACTTTGTGTTCTAGCGAAGGTGATATCGTTCTACATTACATTTATGGGGAATTGTCCGCCGTAGTTAAGCGGCTGACGTGGTTTAACGAGAGCGGCAAGAAAATAAAGGCAATTTGTTTCGATCCGACTTGCACTTGGCTGTTAGTAGTCGGTACGTGGATCTACAGCTTTGCTGTCCTCTGCATACGTTTGTTTTAGCGTTAGATAGTTCGTTGTATATTATACCAGCACTTAGCCTCGTCGATAAGCGGCAAAGAATCGACTGTAAATGGTCACTGACTGATTTGACTCACTTCTCGAAAGCTCCCAATGTTTCGGATTCGAAACCGTTAAGCTTAGTCTGGTGGCAAACTCTCGATTGTAATCAGAATGCGTTGGTCGGTTACGAAGATGGCGTAATTGCACTAATTAGCCTGACAGACGGTCGCTGTTTGGCTACTTGTAACATTAGCGATGCAGTTATACGATTGTACCTCTGTCAGGATAATAGTTTAGACTGTGTCTCTTTGCTGGTAAGGAGTATACTGCAAGAAATTTGTGGTACAAGCATGACATTTGGCCTTGAGACAATTGATTTGACGTGTACCAAGACCTTTGGTTTTAATTGTTTGTTTTTATAAAGATTTTCAAAATCTATCTGCTAGGTTGTCTTAATTCCCTCAAATAGTGACTTTATTTTTAGTAATCAAGGTAGCACCGTACCTGGGGCCTGGTAATAAGAGGGGCTTGCTTGGCTAACAGTACTTTTTTTCGGAGAACGTAAATCTGTTATTAGAATATCCATTACACACTAGAGGTAGAAGCCACAGTATAGTACTTACTTTCTTATTTCTTATGGACGCCCCATTGGATTTTTACGGAATTTTTATTGATTGGTATTGGCTGCCTCAGTTACTATGGATACAATAAACAAAACATCCCCATGAATCCATGGCCTACTATTTAAAAACACTAAAAAAAAAAATAAGGTTTTTATTCATTTTCATGGCTAAAAAAGTCAAATCTTGGAAATGGGTGGGGTAAACATTTTTTTTTACTATGCCATCTTTTTTTCTATCTCACATGGGTAGTAAGATACGTTAACATCCCAAAAAGTTAAACTTTGCGTTTTCACCCTGTATCTTGGAAACAAACGTAGCTAAATTGGTTCTGTTTGTGGCATTAAAAGTTTCACAAAAAAGGGTTCTCAACGAAAATAGGACACACGGTACACTAATGAAAACACCCTGTAGATTATTTTCAAATTTTTGGGATTCTCTACAGTTAAGTGTAAGTGTGTACCAATCAGGCAATCACCTACAAAAGATAGCCATATATTTTCTTAGTTAAAAGAGATACAGAAAAACGTTTATTACAAGAGAGTCTTTTTGAATAATTTTCAGTTTCCAACATAAGTTTACGGAGTCAGGTAAAAAAGTTATCGGATCTAACCGCAGTTTTTAAATAAAACACCCTGTATATTTTGATCTAAAAAGATAACATTAAATTATTCTTCAAAAATATAACATCATGGATGACATTCAAAAAAGGCTCAAGTGATTCAAAAGAATTCAAAAACAGTAAAAAATAAAAAGGATTTCAAATGATTCAAAAAACACAAACTTCAAAAAGATTTTTGAAATGTTAAAATTATTTTTTAATGTTTTGAACCTTTACAATTAATTTTTTTAGATTAGCTTTTTAGTCATGAAGTTTGGAAAGAGTCTAGGAAAGAGCCCTTAGTGCTGAACGTGGAGGCAAAACGTATCTCCCAGTAAAAAGAGAACAAATTTCCGTATAATTGTCATGCCATGTCCATATCCCCCCCCCCCGCCCCAGGACCTTAGAGCCTTAAACTTTTGCTTGAAAACTACCTTTAAAATAGTCTGTAAAATTACATTTCTTTAATTTTTTTTCAAAAATACATAGGGATTGTTTGAGTGCAAATGCAGATTAGCTTGAGGGTGAATAGCTGGTTTAGTTGGTAAGATCCGTCTCACAATTGTACTCTTAACACGTCTCCTAAGTCTACATGTGCTTGGTTCCTTACGGAGAGGTTGTACAGGGTGTTCCATTTTTGACAGTTTTATAGGGTATTTCCGTAATTGTTGGTGTTACTAAAAAAGTAGTATTAATTGGTGTAATGTGCTATTTTTGTGTGAAACTTAAAATGACAAAATCAAAATTTGAAAACGTTCACGTCGCTTAAGAGATACAGGGGAAAATAAAAAATGTCAATTGGAGAATGATCTATATTTTCTTAAGTTAAAAGAGATACAGAAAAATGTTTATTGCAAAAGTTTCTTTGTAAGGATTGTTGAATAATCATTCATTTTCGAAATAAGTATATGGGATCCGGTAAAAAAGTTGTTGGACCTAACCGCAATTTTTTTAATGGAACACCCTGTATATTTTAATTTACAAAGTCATTAAATTCTTTTTTCCAAAATATCACACACCATGGATGATATTAAAAAAAACATTCAAGTGATTCTGAAAAATTCAAAAAGATTTAAAAAAGTTTCAATTGATCATTTCAAAAAAATACAAAAAAATTGGAAAGTGGGACTTGGCGAGTGCCGATAGACCTTTCTCTCACAATCTTTCATTCCCTTCTTTTTTCCTGTGGCCCAGACCGAGCTTAATCAATTGAATCTTTCTAGATTAAAAAAAAATGAGGGAAGGTCTTATTTTTACCTGATCCCGTATACTTATTCTGAAAATGGCATATTATTTAGCAATCATTATCAAGATACTTTTGTGATTTTTTCTATATCTTGTGTAATTAATAAAGTATAGGGGCATTCTGAAATTAACAATTTTTTAATTTTCTCCTATATCTCTTATCAGCATTTGTAACGTTATGTCCATTAACCTAATTAAGTGCCCTTATTCCCGAATTGAATGCTCCTGTTTAAAAAAAAATTATTACGTCTTCTGCCAGGTTCATATGAACTACCTCAAAAAATCAAGAAAAAGAAAAGTGAACTAACTATAATTATGTGCTAATTAGGTGCTAATTAAGTGCTCTATTCCCGAAGTAAGTAGTAGTTTAAACTCCATTGCGACTGAATTGTTTTTCCACTTTTATTATTTTAACTCCGTAATAAATATGTCAAACATTGGAATTAACGTCATACTTCAAGGGTAGTTTTTGCAAAAACACTGGAGATTTTTAATATTCAAATTCTATTGTACCATGTACCCAATTGATCTTCATGTTTAAAATACTCTTTATTTTCTTATCGTATAAGCGAAGCGAAGCAGTCTCCCCGTTACTCTGCGAGCAAGCTTCGGACGCGCCGCCTAACGGTAAACCTTACGCAAGAAGAACTGCAATTCGATAGGCCCCGCTATTTCCCAATCCTCGAGCCATTTACGCCAGGTGCGTTTCACAAAACGGAACGAAACTTTTAGGGCCCAAGAGATCGTCGCAATCGCGCTCGCTTTCTGCAATACGTTTCTTGATATCGCTTGTTATCACCAGACATATTTTCGTTCATGTTCGCTATGAAGCGGTATGTAAATTTTCTTATGCTGGACAAAATACAAATTCGAAAAAATACTTTTTCAATTCTGAAGCAACCACCTGTTACAGTACACTGGATATCTACTGCGATTGCTTCCAATACAAGAATTGTGTTTCTCATGTATTGAATATTTAGGTGATTGTACGAATCGAAAAAATAAAGCGATGTCTAAAGGGTAAGGGTATACCAAATTTCGTGCTTGTAACACAATTTCCCGTTCTTTACACGTTACACCATCAATTGATTGCTTACCTTTTGACAGATTAACGGAGAAAGCGGCCAACAATGGCGTCTAATCCTCGAGCAGCATTCCACGGGCTACATTTGGCCGCCCGAAATTAATACAAGTCTAAGTGATAGTGCAACGTCCCGTCTACTATCCTTAAAACAAATAGGCGCCGAAAAGCTAGCGTTCTTCAGGCAGAGATTCGAAAATCGTTCGGGACGACGCGACAGTCAGGCGAGCGACTCGCCCAGCGAGTCATCGTCGCACTCGGACTCTCTGCACGTAGGACCAGAGTTATTGCCGCACCTATGCGACACATACTTCGCACCGCAGTATGCGAGGAATCGTTATTTATTTTCAGCATTCTATAAACCCACCTGCCTTCTAACGGTACGTTGGAATTTGACGCGTCGTGCTGTTATTTTAGTTCTTTTTAGATACACGCGGTCGATATTGAATCGGCACCGCTATACGTTCACAAATTGCCGCGTGAAACTAATTACCTACTTTTGACCAATCGACTCATTTATTCGGTGAACGAGAGCTCGAATGCGTTGTCAATTATTAGCACACAACTTTCAGAATGCCGTTTGGACGGAGATGTCGTAAGTGTTACAAATTTGATTGTTTCAGTCATGTAACGAGCGACTTTTGAGTTTGATCTATTTTTTAAATTCAGATCTAGGACGTTTACAAAAAAAAAATGCGCATGCGCTATGTTGTACTTTATCTGTCACTCAGGCTAAATGTTGTTTGTAAAATTTATACAACAATGGCAGGTACAAATTCTCCTTAAACTTAAAGGCATTAGGTTGTAGGGGTGAACGAGGATCTAATCTTTGCTGCCTAGCTGTCTAGCCAAGATACTTTAACATGGGTAGTTTTAGTTTGGCGGATAGTTTCCCAGCTTATGTTTTTAGGTTTGTCCATTGTGCTACCTTTTCATTAAAATTCTAGAGGTGGGGGGGGGTCAACTTTTTCAGAGAGGCTACCTGTTAAGTTTTCTTGGTGCCAAAATGCCCTTTGCATTTTGCGCGTCAATGCGCGGTCGAGTATTCGAGAGGCTAATTTTCAGAACAGGCGGGGCTGGTCGCTATTTTGGGAGCGATTTTCCTTGACAGCAGGTTTTCTTAGGGACAAGTGTGGAGTGGTCAAGTCCTTTTTAAACAGTATTGAAATATTATGGGGGTGAACTTTCTGTGATCTAATATTGTGAGGGTCAGTATACATTCGTTTATTTGTCTTAGTATCATAAATAAATACAATACAATCCATGCCATGCAATGAATTTCCACAGATCGGTTCCTTTAAGGATATTATGATTACGTTAAATAAGCACTAGCTGCAAATTCTTAAAGATAACTGACCAATGCTTTATACAATTCGAAAAATTAAAGTACCTTACAGATCACTAGAATCGGTGTTTTTCTTTAGATTACGAATACTGCAGCTTTCCCTTGAAAAAGGCTCCCTCCAAGAAAAATTGAAACTGGATCGCTTGGGGGGTGATACAGTTGAACTCTTTTGTGACTTGGTCTTGTACAATTGTCTCTCGTTGTATGAAAGTTTTCACGATAATGAAGCTTGTATTTACCTCGGCCGCATTAAAAACATGCGTCAAATTCTCAATTCTGCAAGGAATAACTGGAGTTGTTTGTGCATGAGAATACAAAGCCAAACTCCATACTATCCTGCAGACGCTAATTTTTCCGTTTAAGATTTGAGTTTGTTCGTGAGCAAAATGCCACTTTAAACACGATTTACGCGCTTTTTCTCCGACGTTTTATCCGCACGTTTATATACGGGTCTAAATATGACCCTACTCCAATTCAGACTCACGATTTTCGTTTGTTCATGGATTTACAAAACTTTGCTCGGAAGAGTTTATATGATTGTTGCTGCGATCTCTCTTAAAATCGCGTGATTTATATGGGCGAGAGTCAATACTAAACGGAAAGCTCGCACTCTATCGCGATCGAGCTTCAGCTGGAGCTCTATCGCTTCTCTAATTTTCTATATGTAGGCGCCCAAGTGCAAAGACGAAACGGAACCAAAGCAAATGTCGCGATCAAGCCCGCCGTAATCGCGGCAACAGCGCACGCTTTTTTAAATACGCTGTCGGGTGTTTACATACATTTTGTAACACTTTTCAGTCTTATGTACTTTCCTTCTCTTTCCCTTTCCTCCCCCTTTGGTCTTGTTTACGCGTTTGATTCATCTCTTATTCATTTTTTGTGGCCGTGCTGCTCTTTTTGTTACTCCCATTGTCGTCTTTTCCTTTTTTTTCTTTCTTTATCATTTATTTTCGCTTGATTTCCGCTACATTTTCACTTTTTCGTGTCAATCTCTTTGTCTCATCCTCTGATGTTTGTTTTTTGCTCCCTTTTTGCGTTTCTTTTTGTCTTTTATTTGTCTTTTTTCAGTCTGTTTTTTGTGTTTGTGTTTTGTTTTTTTTTCTTTTTGACCTCTATCGCATTCTTTTTCCTTGTTCATTCTTTACTCGTGGTTTTTTCTGTTCTCTCTTTGTAATACGTCTTTACTTTTACGCCTTTATGTCTATTTGTGGTCGAATTTCATTTTCATCTCTTTTTCTTCTGTCCCTCTTCGATCCTTTGCATCTGATTTTCTGATTTCACTTCGGTCCTAGAACATGTCTCTTTTTAGCGCATTTCCACAAAAATAAAAAAAATGGGCTATTGTGGTCACTTTGTCCGTCCGTCCGTCCGTCCTCTTGTTTTGCGATGCTACTAGTTCTTTATTTTAAGAGCTATTGTTCTACTTTTTTCGCTATTTGGTTCGTTATGGTGTCGAGTCTTGTACCAAGGAAGGAATTTTTTCTGTACCGCTTACAAAAAAAGTTATTGTAAAAAAAACAAAAAACCGTTTTTTACATGTTCCATAATTTTACACTTTTGCCGTTTATTAACGATCCTAGAGATCGTTTATAATTTTGTATTGCTGTCTGTCTTCTGTCTGTTGGTCTGTCCGTCTGTTTCTTTGTCTGTCTGTCTCTGTATCTGTCCGTGTGAACGATAACTTTGTTTAGAAATGTCCGATCGCTTTTACATCTCCGTTACTTATGAACTGAATTGCATGAAATTCAATATGGGCATAGCTTTAGCCATATAATACGCAATGCCAAAAGTTGAGTCGAATCGATTCAAAATTCACAGTGCCCTTTTCGCATCTCGACCATTTATAAACTGAATTGCAAACTAGCGCCATTACGGTTAAGCCATAAAAAATTTTTAAAAAGTGGAGGGTCTAACTTAGCGTTTTCAAAAGTGATTTCCGGAAGTGCGTCCATTTTGAAAATATTTTACATCGATTCGGCCTTCGGAGTAACTCCTAAATACAACTTTTTAAAAACCTACCTATTTTACTTTCCCAGAATCGTTTAACTAAAGCTCCCAAAAAAACACCCTGTATAGTGTTTCTAAAACACTATAATGGCGCCAAGATTTTTGTTTACGGCGCATTTTAGCGCATGATGAAAGGTACCATTGTAGTAAAAAAACATGTTAAAAAACGTAACTTTTGAAAACGTTAAGTTAGCCCCCCCCACTTTTTAAAATTTTTTTATGGCTTAACCGTAATGGCGCTAGCTTTAATTCAAGTGGCGCAATTGAGCTCATAACCAGATGTATCAAGTGGCACAAATACCGGTAGCAAAATGCGTTATGGGGGATTCCGTTCACTTGCCCCCCCCCCCCAAATATATTTAAGGATATCCAAAAAACAATAATGGCGCAAAGATATCTTTTTACGGCGCATTTCAGCGCATACCTGAGAGTACAATTTCGTATGAAAAGATGTTAAAAAAAAGTAACTTTTAAAAACGTTAAGTTGGCCCCCCCACTTTTTGAAAATTTGTCACGGCTTAACCGTAATGGCGCTAGCTTTAATTCAAGTGGCGCAATTGAGCGCATAACCAAATGTATCAGGTGACCTAGTTACAAGGGACAAAATACGTACGGGGGGGGCTACGTTCACTTGCCCCCCCCCCCAAATGTTTTTTCGGATTTCTAAAAACGATAATGCCGCAAGAGTTATTATCGGTGGCGCATATGAGCGCATAACGAGCGCATTCATTTCAAAATAATACGACTATGAAATCTCTCAGTGGGGGGGGGGGGCCAAGTTAACGGACCCGTGTATTTGTTAGGGTGATGATTTTTTTGGGGGTTAGCAAGAGTTTTTTGTTTCATCACGATTGTTTGTGTTGTGGTTGTGTGTTACAGTGGTGGATGGAATTGTGTTGTGAGCTCTATGGATCATAAAGGTATTTTTAATCTTTCTTTTTCTACTTTCCACCATGACTGTAGATGAATTAATTCTTGTGGCTAACTGCAGGTGACAATATCAAATTCAGTTTTTTTTTGTCGCGTTTGGTGTAGAGTTGCGTCTGCGGTTGGGATTAGAGATCTCCTCGGGGCCAAAGCATAAGTGGGCGTTGTTTTTTTTGGTCTTGCGCCTTTTGTTAGAATAGCAGTTTTAACTCTTTTTTAAAATTAGACCAAGGTATGCCCTAATGAAACTTTGTCCTTTAGGAATTCAACCCGCTTTCGTTACTCGCACAATTTCCCTTCACTAAGACGGACGAGAAAATTTTAAACATTTACAAGCTATCCGATACCAGCTTGTTTAACGAAGGAAAGTGTAAAGAAGCGCCCTCTTCCGTCGATCATCTAAAAATTCGCAAACCAAAGATCGACACCTGCGTTGTAATCACGAGCGCCGGAGTTTACAGAGTTTGCCTAAGGTAGTCCGCCCGCCTCAAAGACCTAAACTAATCCCTCGATTTTTTCAGTTGTTCGCCAATTCAACTCTTCGTTAATCTCATCGTGGAGGAGTTCAATATCGACAGGGCCGAAAAGTTGGCGATAATCTTCGGATTGAATTTACAGGAACTGCTCGAGAATTGCGGGGATCTTTTAATATCGGAAGGGGCCTATCATAGGGGGCTGATCTTGTACAAACAGGCCAAGGTTCACTTACTGAAGCGCGTACTTAAACTCGCGGTGTCCGGCGATAGTCGAGCTCTCTTGAAATTTGTCCAGCTTTGCCTGACGGCGAGCAAGGTTGATATGTCGACGGCTACCAAAATTCACATGGGGAATTTGGCCGTAATGGCTTATACTGAGCTAATTTTGAGGCATAACGGAATCGCGCGTGTTAATACAACTAAGGATTTCATGTGAGTTATTTATTTGATTGATTTTTTTTTAATGGAGTGAGTGTTTAGGAATTTTCTGCGCCTTGAAGAGTTCTATGATCAAGTACTCGCAGTAAACGTTGCGTGTCAGTCCGGCCATTGGAACATTGTAACCCTCTTAGCAAAGACGAGAGGTTTGCAACCGGAATGCGTGGCGGCGATGGCCCAAATACTGCAGTCCACGAACAAAGTGGAAGTTAACAATCACGATTTTCTAATGGCGCTCTCGGAACCAAGTCTAACTCAGAGTTTATTAATCTATACGGCGTGTAGTCGTAAACTCTTCTGTTTCGTCAAGTGTAACGCGCACAAGTTTCCCGTTGATATTTTACAACGATTGGTGATTCAATTGGATCCGAGTCAATCGGTTGCTTATCCGGTTGTAAGGCGTTTATTCCAAAAGAGGAAGTTCTCGACTAGTGTAGATTCCTCGGTTGAGACAAATGAATTTGAAGCGTTTAATAATAACAATGTGCACGTGAAGGAGTTTATTGAGACTTTTATTTGGGTGTTGATCGAGTTGGTTTCACGCACTGACCATGATGAACAGTAAGTATTTTTAATTGCCTAAGTTCGCCAAATGACAGTCTCCTTTCAAGGTATAATATTGAGTTATTAAAGAATGTTGGAGTTCCTAATTGCACGATGCAAGCCGCTTATATTAATAAATTACCAAAATTAGAACCACTTAGCTGCGGATACGAGCATGCGGCTGTTATCCGTAATGGTGCCTTATTTACTATGGGTGTTGCAAACTCGGGTTGCCTAGGCGTGGGACCTGTTTTGTTGCAAAGTAGCCCGCCGAAACTAGTCAACACGCTAGCCGAGTTGAAAGTTAAGGTGCTCAGTGTAAGCTGCGGCCGGAAGCACTGTCTGGCCTTAACGGATTGCGGGGTGTACGCTTGGGGCTCCAACTCCTATGGTCAGTTGGGCGTTGGCCCGCTCACTTGTGAGTCTCCCTATCCCCAGATGGTCGGCGAGCTACACGCGAATGCGATAGTCAAAGTGGCCGCAGGCCAGTACCACAGCATGGCTCTGACCGCACACGGCACTGTTTACACTTGGGGTTGGGGAATACACGGTCAGTTGGGACATGGATGTTCCGCTAACGAGCACTACCCCAAGTTGGTGAAGTTCAACTGTCCGATAGTTCAGATAGCAGCGGGTCATGCCCATAGCCTTATCTTAACCGCCGATGGAAAACTGTACGGTTTCGGCTCCAACGCATTCGGTCAGTTGGAGAACAGTAACATTACCGGCAGTAAAACAACAGTTCCAACTTGGATTACGGTGCTGCCGGATATTTACACGCCCATCAAGAGAATTGCTGCCGCCTATTTTCACAACGTGAGCATATTCGAATTCGTATTCGAATTTCTCTAAAAAAAAAACTATTTCAGATTGCGGTACGTACAGACGAGGGAGTTTACACGTGGGGCGCTAGCCCGCAAGAAGTGCGCTTGTATCAGTCAAAGTACAGCCAGAAACAGAACATCGTCGGTACAAAATCGCACGAACCGTGGAAGAGCAGCTTGAACGTTTTCAGCGGAAACGAGAAGGAGCCCGTTGAGCAGGTCGCCGTCGGATTTAGACATTCGGCCGTCTTGCAAGGCGGAAAGATATTTCTGTGCAAAAACATGGAGGACGAAATGAGTCCGCCGAAACTGAACAATCGTGATTTGGGTATACTAAGTCAACGGTTCTTGCACGTTTCGTGCGGGCTTGATTTCACCATCGCCATGGATCATAGTGGAAAACTTCTGGCTTGGGGGAATAATGCCATGGCTCAGGTAGGAATTTTTCTCTATCAGCTTCTAACATGAAATTTATTTACGAAAGATTTTTAAAGCATTTAATAGTTCAATTTCAACTCACTTAAAATGGTACGCGATGGTTCGCGAAAAGGAATTTATAATAAATCTTTAACGGTAGAAAAATTCACGCACAAACAAACAGTGTACGTGATCCCTTGCTAATTAGCCTTCGAATATACTTTTTAACGCACCTGAATAGTACGTTTTAATTCGCGAACTCAAACAACACGAATTTTTTAACGAATAGTAAACCTGCATTTTTGTCACGTGCTCGGCTTTAAACAGAACCGAGCGACGTAACCGCACTCGCTTGCCGCTATACGTTTCTTATTATCGTCAGACATACATTCGTTCACGTTCGCTATGAAGCGGTACATGTGTAAATTTTCCCATGCTGAACAAAATACAAATTAAAAAAAAAATACACTAGGCTTCTTTGATAAGTCATCTCCAGTAAGTCTAAGCATTTGAGACTCAGGTAAGCACCTGAATGCTATGGTTCAGTATTTTTATGACTGCCAGGGCTCCTTCGACGCTCGCTAGGTCGTTTCCAGAGCATTGTAAGTTTATTATAGAGCCTTCTAGGTCTTGAGAATCTGGTAAGCACCCCAAGGGTTCGGTTACGCAATTTTCATAATTGCCTAGGCGTCTTGGACAGGTTGCTACGTTGTTTCCAGAGCGTCGTAGGTTCATTCTACGGTCTTCTAGGCATTTGAGACCATGATAAGCGCCTGAAGGCTAGGCTTCCGTATTTTCATAGCTGCCTAGGCTTGTTTGACTGCTTGTTATGTCCTTGCTAAGGCGTTGTAAGGGTATTATACAGCCTTCTAGGTATTTGAGAATCTGGTAAGCACCCTGAGGGGATTGGTTACGCAATTTTGTTCAGAGCCCCAGTGCCATGTAATTGGAATTTTTATTCTGTATGGTTTCTGGTTAAATAAATAAATAAATAAAATAAATAAATAAATTTTTATAACTGCCTAGGCTTCTTGGACAGGTTGCTACGTTGTTTCCAGAATGTTGTAGGTTCATTCTATAGCTTTCTAGGCATTTGAGACCCTGGTAAGTGCTTGAAGGCTAGGCTTCCGTATTTTCATAGCTGCCTAGGCTTGTTTGACTGCTTGCTATGTCCTTGCTGAGCGTTGTTAGTGTATTATAGAGCCTTCTAGGTATTTGAGAATCTGGTAAGCACCCCAAGGGGATTGGTTACGCAATTTTTATAACTGCCTAGGTTCTTGGACAGGTTGCTACGTTGTTTCTAGAACGCTGTAAGTTAATTCTACTGCCCTCTAGGCATTTGAGACCCTGGTAAGCACCTGAAGGCTAGGCTTCCGTATTTTCATAGCTGCCTAGGCTTGTTTGACTGCTTGTTATGTCCTTGCTAAGGCGTTGTAAGGGTATTATACAGCCTTCTAGGTATTTGAGAATCTGGTAAGCACCCTGAGGGGATTGGTTACGCAATTTTTATAACTGCCTAGGCTTCTTGGACAGGTTGCTACGTTGTTTCCAGAATGTTGTAGGTTCATTCTATAGCTTTCTAGGCATTTGAGACCCTGGTAAGTGCCTGAAGGCTAGGCTTCCGTATTTTCATAGCTGCCTAGGCTTGTTTGACTGCTTGCTATGGCCTTGCTAGAGCGTTGTTAGTGTATTATAGAGCCTTCTAGGTATTTGAGAATCTGGTAAGCACCCCAAGGGGATTGGTTACGCAATTTTTATAACTGCCTAGGTTCTTGGACAGGTTGCTACGTTGTTTCTAGAACGCTGTAAGTTAATTCTACTGCCCTCTAGGCATTTGAGACCCTGGTAAGCACCTGAAGGCTAGGCTTCCGTATTTTCATAGCTGCCTAGGCTTGTTTGACTGCTTGCTATGTCCTTGCTAGAGCGTTGAAAGTTTATTATAGAGCCTTCTAGGTACTTGAGAATCTGGTAAGCACCCCAAGGGTTTGGTTACGCAATTTTTATAACTGACTAGGCTTCTTGGACAGGTTGCTACGCTGTTTCCAGAGCGTTGTAGGTTCATTCTACAGCCTTCTAGGCATTTGAGACCCTGGTAAGCACCTGAAGGCTAGGCTTCCGTATTTTTATAGCTGCCTAGGCGTGTTTGGCTGCTTGCTATGTCCTTGCTAAAGCGTTGTAAGTTTATTATAGAGCCTTCTAGGTGGTTGTGGCTCTGGTAAGCACCCAAAGGCGGTGGTTCCGTATTTTCATAGCTACCTAGGCTCCTTCGACAGTTTGCTAAGTCGTTTCTAGAGCGTTGTAAGTTTATTCTAGGCATTTGAGATTCTGGTAAGCACCTGAAGGCTATTGTTCAGTATTTTCATAACTGCCTAGGTTTCTTTGACCGCTTACAAGGTCGCTTTTAGAGTGTCGTAAGTTCATTTTAGAGCCTTCTAGGCACTTAAGACTCCGGTGAGTACCTGAAGGCTATTGTTCAGTATTTTCATAACTGCCTAGGCTTTTTTGACAGCTTAGTAGGTCGGTTTTAGAGCATTCTAAGTTCATTCTAGAACCTCCTAAGCAGTTGACACTGGTAAGCTCTCGACGACTATTTCATAACTGCATAGGCTCCTTTGACGGCCTTCTTTGGTTTTTGATGCTATGATTCCATATTTTTGTAACAGCCTTGGGACCGTTTACATTTTTCTAGGTCGTTCCCAGTGCATTCTAAGGTTGTTATAAAATCTTCTAGGCGTTTGAGGCTCTGATACGCACCCGAAAGCTATGGTTCTGTAGTTTTATAACTGCCTAGGCTTGTTTTACAGCTGACTAGGTCATTGCCGGAGCATTGGAAGTTTATTATAGAGCCTTCCAGGCATTTGAGACCTGATGAGCACCCGAAGACTGTGGTTCCGTATTTTCGTAACTGCCTATGCTCCTTTCACAGCTTGCTAAGTCGTTGCCAGTGTATTGTAAGTTTATTATAGAACCTTCTAGGTATTTGAAAACTGGTAAGCACCTCAAGTGTTTGGTTGCGCAATTTTTATAACTGCCTAGGCTTCTTGGACAGGTTGTTTCCAGAGCGTTGTAAGTTCATTCTACAGCCTTCTAGACATTTGAGACCCTAGGAAGCACCTGAAGGCTGACTTCCATATTTTTATAGCTGCCTAGGCTTGTTTGACTGCTTGCTATGCCCTTGCTAGAGCGTTGTAAGTTTATTATAGAGCGTTCGAGGCGTTTGAGGCTCTGGTAAGCACCCAAAGGCGGTGAGTCCGTATTTTCATAGCTTCTTTGACAGTTTGCTAGGTCGTTTCCAGAGCGTTGTAAGTTCATTCTAGGCATTTGAGATTGTGGTAAGCACCTGAATGCTATTGTTCAGTATTTTCATAACTGCCTAGGCTTCTTTGACAGCTTACTAGGTCGTTTTTAGAAGCATTGTAAGTTCATTCTAGAACCTTCTAGGCAGTTGAGACTCTGGTAAGCTCCCGAAGACTATTTCATAGCTGCATAGGCTCCTTTGACAGCCTTCTATGGTCTTTGAGGCTATGATTCCATATTTTTGTAACCGCCTTGGGACCGTTTACAGTTTGCTAGGTCGTTCCCAGTGCATTCTAAGGTTGTTATAAAGTCTTCTAGGCGTTTGAGGCTTTGATACGCACCCAAAAGCTATGGTTCTGTAGTTTTATAACTGCCTAGGCTTGTTTTACGGCTGACTAGGTCATTGCCGGAGCATTGTAAGTTTATTATAGTGTCTTCTAGGCGTTTGAGACTCTGGTAAGCACCCGAAGATTACGGTTCGGTGTTCTCATAATAGCCTAGGTTTCTTCGATAGCTTGATAGTGCCCTTCCAGAGCGTTCTAGGTTCATTACAGAGCTTTCCGGGAATTTCAGACTCTGGTAAACAACCAAAGACTATGCGTCCATGTTTTCATAACTTTCTAGACCTCTTCGACAGCTTGCTTGGTCGTTTCCAGAGCATTGTAAGGTCATTCTAGAACATGCAATGCATTTGAGACTCTAGTGACTACGCAAAGGCTATGGTTCTGTATTTTCGGAACTGCCTAGGTTCCTTTTACAGCTTGCTAAGGTCGTTGCCAGAGCATTGTAAGTTTATTATAGTGCCTTCTAGGCGTTTGAGACTCTGGTAAGCACCCGAAGATTATGGTTCGGTGTTTTCATAATAGCCTAGGTTTCTTCGATAGTTTGATAGTGCCCTTCCAGAGCGTTCTAGGTTCATTATAGAGCTTTCCGTCAATTTCAGACTCTGGTAAGCACCCAAAGACTATGGCTCCATGTTTTCATAACTTCCTAGACCTCTTCGACAGCTTGCTTGGTCGTTTCCAGAGCATTGTAAGGTCATTCTGGAACATGCAATGCATTTGAGACTCTAGTGCCTACCCAAAGGCTATGGTTCTGTATTTTCGGAACTGCCTAGGCTCCTTTTACAGCTTGCTAGGTCATTGCCAGAGCATTGTAAGTTTATTATAGTGTCTTCTAGGCGTTTGAGACTCTGGTAAGCACCCGAAGGCTATGGTTACTTATTTCCATGACTGCCTATGTTTCTTCGATAGCTTGATAGTGCTCTTCCAGAGCGTGCTAGGTTCATTATAGAGCTTTCCGGGAATTTCAGACTTTGGTAAGCACCCAAAGACGATGGGTCCATGTTTTCATAACTTCCTAGACCTGTTCGACAGCTTGCTTGGTCGTTTCCAGAGCATTGTAAGGTCATTCTAGAACATGCAATGCATTTGAGACTCTAGTGACTACCCAAAGGCTATGGTTCTGTATTTTCGGAACTGCCTAGGCTCCTTTTACAGCTGGCTAGGTCGTTGCCAGAGTATTGTAAGTTTATTATGGTGCCTTCTAGGCGTTTGAGGCTCTGATAAGCACCCGAAGGCTATGGTTCCTTATTTTTATAACGGCCTAGGCGTCTTCGACAGCTTACTAGGTTGTTTCCAAATTGTTGTAAGTCCATTCTAGAGCCTTCTAGGCGTTTGACACTCTGATAAGCACGCTGAGACTATGGTTCCGTGTTTTCATAACTGTTTCTTTGATAGCTTGCTAGGGCCCTTCCAGAGATTACGATAGGAGGGCCGCAAATTCGAGCCCTTTGTACTACCGCTCTAACTAGGGTCGTTCGACCCCTCAACGTCACTCAATCCACCCCCCACTTGATAAGAACGCAGTGCATGTGCTTGTTTAGTGTACAGTGCTTAGAAAGTATGCCCACGGGTAAGATCATTATAGACCTTTCTGGGCATTTGAGGCTCTGGTAAGATCTGAAGGCTATTGTTCTGTGTATTTATAACTGGTAATTCCAGCGCCTTTTACACTCGAAGGCTACGGTATGTCTCTAACTGCATTCCATAGTCTTACGAGTGCTTTCCAGAGCCTTGAAACACTGTGAATTCGATAAAATGTTCAGGCAACGCTGTATAGAGATCTGGAAAGCCCCTTTTCAAATATTCCTGAAAATCGGAGACTTTTCAAGGGAACCTGTACTTCACCTCGGGTAATAAGGGGCAAAGGGGAGATACGGTTTTGTAGAGCTCTAGGAACTGTCTATCAATTCTGCAAAAACGATCCGGAAAGTCGTAGGCAGCTTCGACAGTTTTCTAAATGCTTTCCAGGGCATTGTGTTAATTCTAGAGCCTTCTAGGGATTCTGGTAAGTAAGAATATAAAGGTTATCGAAACCCTTTAAGCGTTTTCTAGTGTTTCCCATGATTTTATAATACTTTGTCAAGTCGTTGCTGCATCTGTCCTACTTGTTTAACCTCTCTCTACATATGTGGGAGTCTTTTCCAGAACATTTCACCCTCTTCTCTGAGTTTCCTTGGTTCTTTCCAATGATACACGTGCTTAAAAAGATCTGAAAATCCTCTTGAAAAATGTCTTAATACCTATTCTTCAAACTGTTCAGATTACTTTCTTGAGCCTTTTGAAGGCACTGCACGAACTTCTATTTTCTATAGCAGTACATAAGGGAACGTCTGTACGTGACCGTTACATGGCGCCCGAGGCAATGCAGACGTTTGTGCCAATGTCACGTGGCGCGTTATTTGCGCTTTAGGATAGGTCACTAGAAGTGTCTTCCCGATTAATTTCAAAGGCCTCTCCCCATCACTTCCTGTACGACTTCATTTAGATACTTTCTTGGGAATTTAACGTAGAATAATTTGGTATGTCATAAATCACACTAATTTTTTTGAACAAGTAGCTCTAGAGTATCTAGATGCCACTAATCCATAGGGATGGCTTATGTTAGTGTACCATCGCCCAACCATACTGATTGGTTGCATCCAAATATTCTTTCAATTTTAATAAGGTCGATTATCACCCCATTTACTAGAGAAATCCAATGAAAATAGTTTGTTGGTTGAATTAATTAAATTATTGAGGGGAGGTTCTTTATAAGGAGACATTCTTATCTGCTCATTTTTCTAGACATTACTTGGAAAATCTCAAGACGAAGAATATAAGCACAAAGACGGTAAAGTGGTCATATTTAAAAACACAAAGCGTGCAATTAAAATTCCACACACCGTCCAAAACGGGACCGATTTATTCCCAATCGAAATTCCCGGACTACCTTCAATGGCGATTACTTACAGCCCATCCGATGGCGACTCGTATCACAACAGAGACCTTTTACCTTCTTCGATACTTTGCGTCGAAAATAATTCCGAGTCTCGTACCGACAAGGTGAAAATTAACGGATCATCTGCTTTAGAGCAAATCAAGCAAACTGCCTCGTACACTTTCGGCCAAAAAACTCTTCACTACGTCCTGGAGAGCTACGCGGGATATTACGATACGGAAGGCGTTCTGTCCAAGTGCCTGAAAGTAAACAATCTGCAAGCGGCGAGCAAGATAGCGATGTTAGAGGAGCACTACAGCGACAGTTTGGGCTTTCAACTTCAGGCGTTTAGAGAATACATCAATCGGCAGAAGTACGACTTTTCGATGCACAGTTGTAAGCTGGACGCCGACATTTACGAGGTCTTTGCGCACGAGAAAACCAACTACTTAAGCAGTAGTTCGTCGCTGGACAGCATACAGCAGTGGAGCGACGACTACGAAGATCAAGGCGGTTGTGAGAGTCCCTGCAGTATATCCGAATCAGGCGACATGCGCCAGACGATGTCGCAGTACGTGCAATCGGTGAAGGCCGACAGCTCACCGATATCCACCGTTTCTAAGCTGATTTCGGACAATCCCTACAGGAATATGAAGAACAAAATGATGGACGACGATGAGTTGCTGTTACAAATTAAAGACCCGAGCGCGCGTGAGATCACCGAGCTCGGGGCGCGTCTCGTCGAGTTTTACATTAAGCAAACCTACTGCTCCGAGAACCACATTTTAATGCAGAATATTCTGTTGAAGGTTGTCGAATTTTGGTTATCTAATAATCTACCTGTGCCTATCTTAGAACATATACTATTGAAAAATATGGATAAGTATTTCTACCCGCTTTCTATTTTGTTATTTTGCAAAAATTACAATGATAATTTAGGCGACGTGATCATTAAGGACGACGTAATAAAACAGAAACCTTCCGGTTTCCTAAAGGAGTTTTCTACAAAGTTTTGCTTACAGTTGTGCTCTATGGTTTTGGAAAATGTGAATAAGGCCTAAGGTTGGGAGCAACGCGTACTTATTTCTAGTCTTTTAGATCTCATAGTTGTGATATTTACGTAGGCTTTTTAAACATGTTTGTTTAGTCTTCCTTGTTTTATTTTGCTGTACAGTGATGTAGGTTGTTACAAAGTTGTGATAGTGTTTAGAAAACTTCGTACTCATTCCAGGCCCCCCAAATTCTTTTAATAGTGTAGTGCCAAAAAAAAATTAATTGTATGTCTACTTGGAGCAGCTTTTATGTTTACCTTTAGAATAGTACTGTACTACTTGTATTTCCAGTAGGTCTTACTCTCTCAAAGATATTAACGTTGAGTCATATTTTTAATTTGTCAATTGTTATCATTATAGTACATTTGTATTTAAATAACTTACGCAGCTGAATTATATTCCTCTTGCAAATATAAATTTTATTCTTTTGTTTTTTTTTGCGATGTTAATTGTTTCTTTTAAATAAACGACAATCACCTTATTCATTCCTGTCTAGAAAGCCCCCTTGTGATTTTTAGATGCGTCCAATCGTACCCAAGCATTGAAAATTTTCCCATTTCAGCGATTTTGATGTTAAATACAGAAATTTGTTGATGCCAGGAGTGTGATCAGTACTAGGATGATCAAGACACCTATGGGAAATTACCATTCGCAAAAAATATTCACGTTTAAATTAATAATAATAATAATATATTTATTTTTCGGTTATATAGCAGAATCCAAAAAAAAATTCGTACATAATGAGACTAAGAAAAATAAATATTGCCAAAATTTATGGTTAATATCAATCATTTACTTCAAGGAGATTGGGTGTCCCTGAAGAATTAAATTGCAAAAAAGCCCTCTTTTGAACATAACCTTAGCTCAATATTTAAAATTTTCTACAAATAAAATACCAAATCGTATAGCGCAACAATGTCAATTACTGGAAGCGCAGTTTAATTTCCGTGGGATTCTGCGTTCCAAATGCCGATAATTGTTTATTGAAGCGTGGCGTGCCCCAAGGTTTCTTTTAAATGTACTGTTACACTGTACAGGTGCCTTTATATTGTTTTATTAGGTATTTATGGATGTATTCACGTGGAAGTATATTATCGGTGTGATGTTGCCCTGTATAACTCGACGCGTTTTTTCCATGGAGGAAGTACGTCATACAGTTCCGATTCTGTAACATGTTGCTTCCTACCCAACAAACACATGAGCAACGTCTGACTTATGCTTAACTGATTGGCGGTAAGGTTGTGACAACAATTTACTGCATCGGGCCTATTGTGGTTAAGCATCTTATTTTTTCCTGCTATTCATACATGGTTTTTAACATTAATTGAATCGGTTGTTTTCGAGATATACGATTTCACAAAGCGCAAATTGTTTGTTTATATTACTTCACTGAATAGCGTTACTATAATAATCATAATATAGAGAGTAGTGATTATGTTCTCGTTCAATAGCAGTTTGAAGTTTTTTTTTAATGTAAAAATCTTAGTAATGCAATAAATGATATGTTCTATTTTGTTTAAGCATTTTATTTGAAATTAATCATTGGTTATAGTTTAAGGATAAAATCTACTGGCTCTGTATGTATGTATTGGCGCATAACGCGTCAGATAGACTTTTGATGTTTTTTATGCACATGCTATTTATCATTTTACGAGTTTTGTTGAAATTGATTGCACCTTTTCCATGTTCATTTATAATGCCCTTGTGTTTTGTAGCATTTATCGATTCTCTGATTTTTATTCTACGATTTGAGACATATTCGATTTGCGTATTTTTCTCAAGCATTTTGCGGTCAGGGTTGATTTATTTCTTGCATTTGTGTGTTATGCCAAGTTTTTTTGTTGCTCTCGTTCTTTTTTCCCTGGTTTTTCGGTGTAGATGTGCTCCTCGGAACCTAGCCTCGTGGTAATATATTTTATTTCATAATTCTTCGGACGCGTTTTATTCAATTCCCTTCCCAAGTGTGTCTTAGGTCTCACGTCCCAACACTTAACAAGAACAGTCAGAGTAGGCATAACACAACGTAGGGGCTCTATATGTACCACTCAGTCCTAGCCGAATGTTACCAAGATTTGAATGTGGTACAAAACCGGCCTATACAGTGTAGTGTACTTAACCCCCAGTTTCTACGCTAACTTCACACTACATGAACGGGTAATAAAGTCAACGCAGCAACGTTTAAAAATGGTCACCCGAATGACTATTCCCTCAAAAACTAAAAAGATCCCGCTTAAATTTGAAAAGGGGCACGTGATCAAACATCTAAGGTAGGGCCCCCTTACGTTAGTTGTAGACACCGCTTTGACCTGAAGCACATTAGGGAAGGAACGTTAAATAAAACACACAAATTGTGAAAAGTTTGTTTAATAATGATCGTAATTATTATGATTGTAAAAGCTCTGAAATTTAAGTCGAAATAAATTACATTGCAAAAATAAACTTTGAAAATGGTAGTTCACCGAATAAAAATAGAAATGGGCTGAAAAAAAAACTTACCAATAAAAAAACCAGCCGTCAAATTAATGTCAAATTGTGTTGTAAAATTAATTGTTTGTAATGATGTGAATGCGTATACCTAACATAAAATTATAACATCACAAAAAATAGCAGGTAAACGTAAAAGATGTGACTCATCTTTGGTGCAATAAAGTTCTTTGGTTAAAAGCAAGATAGAACATTACATGGCCTTGTAGGCAAATTTAACTAAAAACAAGATATGTAGAAATTATTGAATCGCCACTCATTTATCGCACATAGATTCTAAACTGATGAGCTTTGATTAGCGTAATCCCGCTTCTGGAAGATAGGGAACCCGCTCCTGGTTTCGAGCCTACAGTTGAATGTCGAAGACAATCGTGGAATTAGGTGTCGCAACTCAATTTTGCCTACGGTTTATTTCCACCCCCGTGACTGCTTCATTCACGGAGAAAATTGTTAGTAACAAACGACAAGTCAGTACATACATCAAACGAATCGGTAATTGCCACATATTAAAATCAAATGACCAAGACTTACATGAGTGTAACTTCAGGGACAAGACCAAATAATCAACATCAATAAACATAAATTAAGCAAACATTACACCAAAAATGTAAACAATTACAAACAATAGGATAACGGTATTAAACATGTCATTCTGCATGGCGGTTAAACTAAAAAAACAAAGATTGAAACACAAAAAATATAAAATGCGGCATATAAAACACAAATACGATATAAAGAAAGGCAAAAATGACTACCTGCATTAAAAAAACACAAAATAACAAACATTTATGGAGCGACGCGTTCACGACCGCCATTCAAGACAAAATGCCAAACGTAACCCACGTTCGTGCTTTTCTAGATGGCGCAGGCAGCTTTTCCCCAGTAAAGTCCCTAGATTGGTAGAGTACCGCAATTGATTTGTCCACTCCTTTGGAGTTTGGCCGCCGATAACATCTGACGGCATCGCGGCATCGTGTTGATATCATAACCACAGATCATAACCTGCTTTCGTTGATATCACTGTTGATATTCGTCAATTCGTCATCGTGTTTTCGTGTTTGCCAGAGAGAACGTGTTTCGTGTTATTTGGTTTAAAAAACTGAAACAATGCCGGGTTGTTGTGTTCCTGGGTGTAACAATCGAAGCGAACGTGGTTACAGGTTATTTAGGTTACCTTGTGATAAGAATGTCCGTAAAGTAGGTATGTACCTACGAGCAATATTATTTTATTTCTAAACAGCTACTTTTCTATGTTTCAATACTAAAACCAGTTATTTGTTCCCAAACAAGCTTTATATCCACAAAACTCCATACAGCACAGCTTGGTAAAAGCTTTAATTTTTATTTGCAGTTGTCACTTCAGTCTCGGAAGTACGAAAATAAATTTTTGTAGATTTATCTAGATTAAATGTGACGTCTTTTCAAATTTCCCACCAAAGTGTTGGAGTCAAAATGGCGTCAATTGCGGTACTCTACCAATCTAGGGACTTTATTCCCCAGCTAGAAATTGCATGGTTGCCAGCTCTCGCAAGTGTGTGCATCATCGTAAGTTGTATATACAGCGTGGAACCTCTCAACAGATAATTTTTTTTGTAAATGTATACATATGGGCTTTGTATGCTTTAAAAAAAACTTGCTGTGGCTAGCATAGAGATACCACTCGCATGCGCAATTCTGCTCTTTTATGTCTAAGAATATGTGTACCAAATTTGGTTCCAATCGGTTCAGCCGTGAGAGTACAGACGTACCGACAGACTGACATTATCGAGATTTCGTTTGATTCGGATTCTTGATGCGAACGTGTATTTTTGTAAAAAAAGTGGGGTGTCATTTTTTACCCTAATAGCGTGGTCAAAGTACACATATAGCTTCACAAAAAATAAAAACCTCGTGAAATTTCAAATTTGAGTATTCAAAAGGGTTGTGCTTAATATGAAAAGTTCTTTACGAAGATAGGTATGCAATTTTCTGGAAAATTGTCGAGTGAAAAATTTTGTTTTTGTTTTTTCACTCTAATTGTTTAAATATTAAATATACGGAAAAAAGTTTCAATCAAAATTTGTAGCTGATGCATTTATCTACAAAATTTGTCTGAAAAGTTTTTCTGTAAATTGAAAAGTGTACGAGATATAATTGATTTCAGCGGCAGTCGATTCGTGGGTGCGCGCAAACGTCCCGTGAGCCGAATTTATTAAAGGCTTGATTTAAAAATTAATAATTTGAAGGTTGTGATGCACTGAAAAAACTGACAAAGTTAATATATTTCAATGAAACTTTGTCTGTGAATACTTTGAAGTATATACTTTAATTCCTCAGCGTATGCCATTCACGACATCTATAATACATGTACCTACACCTTGTAACGAACATATAGAGGCTTATATAAGCGTCAATCCCCACCACATCTTCAAAGTCATATTTAGAATATAGTGTGATTTAGAATCGGCCGTACACTACCATCGACAAGAACTCTCGACTCAGACGCAAGCCAAATTACTTTAGCTCGGACGCAAACCTCCGATACTTTATCTCGAGCACAAACCTCGACCCCTTGACCTTGACGTTACCACAGGCGCAAACCTCGCTAGCGTAGTTCAGAACCACTCAATCCTAGTGACTTTTCTAGGAGGATTTTTATCTAGTGTGATTTAGAATCGGCCGTACACTACCATCGACAAGAACCCTCAGGTGCAAACCGACTTACTTTAGCTCGGACGCAAACCTCCGATACTTTATCTCGAGCACAAACCTCGACCCCTTGACCTTGACTTTAGCACAGGCGCAAACCTCGCTACCACAGTTCAGAACCACTCAATTCTAGTGACTTTTCTAGGGATTTTCATCTAGTGTGATTTAGAAGCGGCCATATATTACTACTTTCAAGGTATCCCACTTGTTAAGAACTGAGTCAAATGGTATTCCACCTCACCCCTATCCATATTAGTCCATCGTGCGATATTTGGGATTAAGTCCCCGTGATCCCACCTTCGATAGGAAATCCGCGCGCAAATGGCATGTATAATTAGCGGAATCAAAATTAAAGTGTGATTAAAAGAAAAATAAATAAATTGACAAATCTATGGAATTAAATCACACCAGAGGGCGAAAGTAGCGGCTGTCGGCGATACGGACGGACTCGAGCGCCACCAGAAGAAAAAAACTTGTTTCTGGCCAAGGTCGGCGGAATTGAAGAAACGGCTTAGTCCAGAATTCGGCGGGGGGTTACGTCCACGGAAGCACCCAAAACATTATTACAACACACGGACACGGTAGTGATTGTCCTAACGGGAATGCAAGCAAAAAAGCGTAATTAATATAAATATTCCTGGAACAACACTTCAATAATGTATACTAATGACCAAAAATTAATTTATTAACAAAATTGCTTAAGCTTATTATTATATTATCTGTTTTACTCCAAAGTATAAGTTTTGAGTAGTAACGATAGATACGCAATGAGTCTAAATAAACATGTCAAGCCCAATAGGGAAAGGCAAGCTGTTGTCACATCACTCTGGAATCATAAAAATGGTAAAACATACATACGCACTTTACTCAAACCCACCTCTGAAAGGCTGTAGGTGTCCAAGACCATAGTACCATTTTGTGGACAAGCCATGTTCTCCGTGCAATTAATATGATTAACTCCTTCCCATTGATTTACCATTAAACCTTCGAATCCATAACGTATCCACGATAAATAGGAAATCCATCTAAAGTACTTCGGAATTGAGCTGTAAAAAGATTGCCAATTATCTTGGAAATTACCATCTGACTTTGTACTCAAGATTCATAAAGAATCCACCGAAGAGCATTATTGGGATCATCAGTGGACCTGCTAATGACAGGGCCATTGCTATTGAACTGCTTAAACAAGACACCAAGTAACCTAAGGCAATAGTAAGAGGCGAGTTCGTTATAGCTATGCTACTGACCAAAGCTAACTGCCGTATTTGCTATTAAAACTAGAATTCCAGCAGCGATCAGAAATCGGCTCACGTAAGGGTTCAGACCAATAGTGTAATAGCAAATGGCGACTGTAAGTAGTGGAAGTGCAACAAACAAAGGCAACTCTGCCAGTGTTTTACATAAGAAATAGACATCGGTCCTGTACATTCCGTTTTTATGCTCGCGCAAAAACACAGGCAGCTCTTGGCAAAATACCTACAAACCCATTTTTTGTTAATGCCAAAACAGCAGCGGGTGGAGCTACAAACATTAATCACAGGTATCACATTTTGAAAGCTCATATTAAGGATAAGTAGGTAGATCGCACCGTTGATGTTCATCACACCCTCCTCGGTCAGACTCTGACCAAAATAAACAATTGCTACAACAATGGCCAGTACCTAATAGAACACAACTTAGAAACATGATCCGTAAGTTGCAGCAACTTACAAGCGTGTGTATCACTCTCATTTTCATTAGCAAAGGTTCTTTTACAACGGCCAACCAAGATCTCCACAGAACCGCGGAAAATTGGGCACACCACGACGCTTTGTAAGGAGTTCTACGTTTTCCATTAAAAGAATCGCCGGGTTTGTACACTTCTTTTTCCTAATAGATTTACGCTGCATTTGATTTATACCCATAGTTGCTTACTCACGACTGCGCCTGCCTCAGCAGCAAGTTTCATACCGTAACCAGATCCAGCGAATGCATCACACATCATATTCACCACCTGCTTGCAGTCTTCCTCTTGATTCGGTACGATCGCCAAAAGCTGCATGAAGTAATCGGCGGGATTATAATTTTTCGGACAGGGCGCGCCCAGTCTAAAACATAAATTAACACTCTCCATATTTCGTTTCGATCTTACGCGGCGCAGAAGTTTTCGGCTTCTCGCGGCGTGCCGAGAAAGGCCACCCGACCTTCTGCCATTAACAAAATCTTGTCGAACATCTCGTACAATTCCGACGATGGCTGGTGAATTGTGCAAACTACCGTCTTGCCCAACTGAGCGAGTTCCTTCAGTACTTGCACCACGTTCATGGCCATGAAAGAGTCCAAGCCCGACGTGGGTTCATCGCAAAACATCAGCGATGGATTTGTGAGGATCTCCGCGGCGAAGGACAGTCTCTTCATTTCGCCACCTGAAATACCCTTACGCCTGCCCTTAATGCCGATCGTGGTGTTTTCGCACTTGGCGAGGCCCAATGCGACTATAACCTCTTGCACCCTCTCCATTCGCCGCTTGTACGGGATGTGTTTGTCCATACGAACTAGAGCCTAAAATATGCAAGTGAGTACGCCGTTTAGTTAACACCTTCATACTTGGAAGATTAAATGCTCTTTCACCGTTAGCGTACCGATGAACAGATCTTCTTGTTGAACGTAGGCTAGCATGCTCGTAAGCACGTTTGAAGTGATGCGTACGCCGTTGGCACATTGCATTCCAGATACCACCAAGCGAGGAGAGGACCGCCCAGTGAGGACATTCAACAGGGTGGTCTTTCCGGCACCGCTGGAGCCCATTATTGCCAGTAATTCGCCTGGTCGAGCTATTCCGTTAACTTAAAATCAATATTATAATTAATTTCTGTAACGGTAGCCCTAAATTTTTATTTATTTTTGAGATTTTAAGGATGGGTATCAAAATTAGAGGGTCAAATTTTCCAATAAATTGTATAATTGGTGCAATTGTAAAAGTCCGAAAGTAATTGGTGGAATTAGCAATGTTTTGCATATTATCGTTTTCCGAGATTTTTTGAGAGGCATTCGGTCTTGGGCTACAAGATCGGTGAATACGTGGTCCAAGATTTTAGTTTTGTTTCGCGCACAAAACGGGAGATTGATTCGGATCTGGGTTACCAGAGCAAGCAGTACTTACTAAAAAACTAAATTCGTTCTTAAAGAGATTCACGTTCCTAAGCAAATTTATAAATAGAAAGCCTGTCTAACGGAATGTAAACTGAATATGCTCGGGGTTGTGTTAGACCGTATAATAAAAAAAAACCACAACGAAAAAGGTTTAAACTGAAGGAGTAGTCGTAATACAGACGGACAGACACGCGGCGATAGCGTTCATTTTCTGTTTGGAAATTGCGCTAAAAAGAAGAAATTTTCAGTAAGTACCAACCCATGTTAAGAACTAGACGTGGGTCAGTTGCAAAATTTCCCAAAAATGTTTATTTATGAAAAGTCAAGATTGCATTAAATTGATCCCGGAAAATTCGTCTTCAAAAAGATTCACTCGCAAAATATTCACCCACTGAAGATTCGCTCGCAGAATAGTGACCGCGCGGAAAATTTGACTCCCAAGAAAACTCGCCTCTGGAATTTTGCCCCCGGAGTATTAGCTCTCAGAAGATTCGCCTCCGAAAAATTTGCCGGCGGTATCTTCGCCAGGAATTTTACGATATTATCTCACACGTCCAAGAACGACCGTCATTCCACCGATGTCACGCTATCTTTTGTAAAAGCTGCATTGACCCTCGTCAAAAATAGGGACGGAATTTTAATTAGCTAATTTTTTAAACATTTAGATAGTCGTAGAAATTGTTTTCGACATGAATCTTTCGAAGGCGAATATACCTGTGCTGAATTTATCTGCGGGCGTTTTTTTGTAACGAAGCACTCGTTTTCCGCCTTGAAGTACATACCCGAAGTTATGACCACCCGGTATATTTGTGGAGTCGACCAGCTTTGTTGAACACCCGGTATCTAGAAGCGTTTTAAGTTGGGCGCTTCGTTACTAAGAAATTGTAGTTTTTGAATTTGCTTTAGGAGACGAGGAGTGAGCCGTGTGTGTTTTAATTGTTTGTTTAATTGTTTGTCTTATCGCCGATAAGCTCTTTTGCCAGGGAAGAAGAGAGAGAATCAATTTTATTTTTTAGGTCCGTTAATTACCGATTTCAGTTTTCTAATGGTATCCAAAATCCAGGATTAAAATCGGTAAGGTCATGCAGTTTAAGAAAAATATCAACGTGATAATATATTGCGCCGGTTGACCTCACATTCCAACCAACAAAAGGGCACTGATGAATTTGGAGATTTCATTCCGACTATTTGGATAAGTATAATTAAGTCAGATTACAGATAACAACCTCCGATTAAGTGGAGATTACATCCGTTAGGTGCGCTCTTACAAAACTTGAAGTTTGACACCGGTCCCATACTTTTCCAATGTCAGTTTAGTCCAAAAACAGTTTTCATATGTTTGAACGTATGGAAGGTATAACCGTACGAGACGTGAATTTCAGTTTATCCTTACCCGAAATGGACGTTTAGATAAGAAAGCGCATTTCAATAATCGATCTTTTGCCTTTTAGTGGTTAACCGTGCGTGCATCCGTCCGTCTGTTCGTAATTTTTCTTTTAAATTAAATTGCAATTAGTATTCTGGTAACAATTATTTCATTTTAAAACTCACCGAGTGTGGAGATAGTGCCTGACGAAGGAGTAGTGGGGCGGGAGCGAACTTTGGGGAGTAAATATGCCGAATGCAAATATTCCGTGAGCGACTTTAATTGGAACGAGTTTTCGTGGGGGGGGGGGGATTCCGAGATGAATGTGAATGTGGACCACCGATGACTGCTGCTTTAGTGCTCCATTGTGTTTTCTTTAAAAAAATGTTTATTTTACAGAGCTTTCCAAACGCTTTTCAGAGCATTCTGAATTTTCACAACTGTCTAGGTCTTTTCCACATCTTGGCATGTTTTTTACAGAGTAATTCTTGGAGTTTTCTAGGGCCCAATGAGTCTACAAGGGTTTGGAAATGGTCGGAAAGATGGCAGTTGGGAGACCGTGGAAAGCCCCTACTCCTCGGTGGCGTTCGATTGTTCTGGAAAATCGTACAGTGCACTGATTACTTTCCAAATTGTTATAAATACTTTTCAGACATTTGCGACACATTTCCAGAGCATTATTGTTTTGTTGCGGAACTTGCCACAAACTTTTAAAGTTCTCTCCAGAGCGTCTTAAGTCACGGTTTTCCGGATTAGCTTTCAGGTGTACTCCAGAAACACTCGGTCTTTTTTAAAGCTCTCTTGCTCTTTGCAGAGCAAAATTGATTTAGGAAGCCCATGGTAAAGGTTCAGGGCATGGGAAAATGCTGAATTGGTCCTGAAACAGGGACCTCAGGCGGTCAGGAAAGACGCTCGGGAGGCATTGGAAAACGTTTGGAAGGGCCCGGAAAAGGTTCCAAACATTAGAAAGGTTTTACAAAGTCAATTCGAGAGTGTGGCGAACCTAAAAAACACGGAAAGGTTTAGAAAGGCTTGATAAGGCATAGAAATGTACGGAATTGGTCCGGAGAGACCCTAAATAGTTCATAAAACGACCTTAATCGCGCTTGATTTCTTTGAAAAGGCCTTGAAAAGTTTCCATTTTTGAAATGCTCTGGTATGCGTTGCAAAGGCTTTTCGGGGCTCTTTTTTAGGTAATTCTAAATTCGTCTAGCTCTAGAATAGACCTAAAAATTTACACAAAAGGTGTAGAGGTTTCTCTAAAGCTATACAGGGGAACTAAGAAGGCTCTAGATTCTAGAGTGTACTATACAGCTTTTCAACAGCGCTAGATTTTTAAACGCGTTCAAGAGCGTCAATATATCTTAGTCTTTTTCAGAGTTGCCAAGCATTTTTTTTCGACATTTTGATCCATTATTACAGTTTTCTACGTTCTTCCAAAGCTCCGCGAAGTAGTTTCGCAGTTGTCTATGCTTTTGCAGAGTTTCTAGGCATTTTTCAGATCTTTCTAATTTCGTCTTTCCAAAGAAAAAGACATTGAAGTTAAAAGAGTTCTGCAAAATTTATTCTTATATTCTTATTTTAAGAACTTTAGAGATTTAGGGCTTTTGCAAACATTTCTATGCCTTTGTTTATGTCCGGGAAAAGATCTCAAATACCTTGGACCTACGCCGTTCTAAAAACACGCAAGTTGTGTTATACAGGGTGCCCATTATGTATGGAATATAGTAGGTATATATCTCGGTAAATATGGAATGTATACAACATTTTTCTATATGAAAGTTGTTTTTATTTTATTTCCCATAATAAGACAGGATTCAGTTGTTTTTATTTCAGTGTACAAATGAGTAACGAAAAACAATTGAATTTTTTAAAATGGCAGCGCACCTTTTCATTAGGCCCATTTGATACAGATTTTTTCTCTTATTCAAGAAAATTTTTTAAAAAAATTTATTATAATTAGATCAATAACATTATTCCAGATATCCTACATCAAAATAAAACAAATGAACGTGTAGGTACACAACGAAATTAGCAGTAAAATGGTTTTCGTCGCAATGAATCTTCAAAATGTCATTGAAATCATTGAAAAGAGAAAAAAAATCTCTATCAAAGGAGCCTAATGAAAGTGCGTAATGCTATTATAAAAACTTCAATTGTTTTTCGTTATTCATTTATTTTCTGAAATAAAAACAATGGAATGCTGCCCAAAATTTGCGTTTTTTGACTTTTCTTTTAGTAATCTTTAACATATGGAAGGTTGTAACTAACTACTTTACCTAGGCTTTTGGATGCGCCCCATCCGAACGACCTAAAATTCCATTCACTAAGAACTCAGAAAATTCATTTGCAATTGTTGGGCCCAAACAGTACAGATTTCAAATTTATTCGAAAAAAGAATTGCAGATGAAATGTTTTCAAAAGACCAAGCGAAATATTTTGTTTATTTTACAAAGATTTCGTTTTAATCTTCTATATATACTACCAATTTTTTTGCATACTTATATGGATAAATAGTTAGGGCCTTATTACGAAACTGCGTTTTACTGCGCCATTATTGCACAAGCGATCTCGTCCAACAAAAAAACTTGTTAATGAGAAGTTGTCGTTATTTCGTGTAAAAAACAGATAGGTATAATTGGCATCCGTGGCGGATGTACACTATAGATTGTAAATGGGGTTTTGAAAACACTCAGACGGTGACCTCATTTAATTTGTTCGGTGATGCGATTGCCATGGCCACTGCTAAAAGTTGTTTCATGCAAATTGAGGCGCCAACACATAATACTGAAAGGGGAACTACACAACTGAAACGCACTAATTGCATACCGTTTTTTAATATCAGCTTTCCATGCCCACTGGAGGAAGTCCTAGCCATCAGTCCGCAGTCAAGAAATCCCGTGCTCTTCTTAGCCTCTGCTACCGTGGAGACGTTTATCCCACTCCACGTAAAGGTAATCTTCTCCGAATGTTGAAAAGACGTTGGAGCTGCATTTTTCACTTTCTCGTTTCTCTGAAGGAATTGCAATGTTTCAGACACGGTTGAGAGGTACCACTTAAAAAAAAACTTACGCTCGAATTATAGCAACGCTTTCCGCAACCCTCGTCGCAACCCCCAATTAAAGGTTTGGCTTCCACATTCTTGGTCCCCATAACGGTTCGCGACTGCCTTGTTCAACCTACTTAGTAATCCACAAACAAATTTGTTTTTTCAATCTTTTATCTTTGCTGATTAAACGGCTTGTTAACTAATTTTAATTAAAGTAGGCCATTTAAGGCAATTCACGGGCACCAGTATCCAGAAAATAGCAGAGGGAGAAAGGTAATTGAATTTCAAGGAGCAATAATTGGTTGGTAGGAAGAGATGTTATTATAGTAGAAAAGTACAGAAAATAATTGCGATGCAGATTTTAAATGATCAGCGAAGGGAGTAAACGAAGGAAGAAGTACGGCCGAGGATAGTCTCGTCAGAGCTGCTGTAGGGATGGTATCTGTGGAAATGTTCACAAACATTTTGGAAGTTTGAATACTAGTTTCCAGATTTTTTAAATTTAGAAAAAAATGCTCGCGTTCTCTTGAGGCCCTAGACACCGTTGCTTATTTCCCAAGATCCCCTAGGCTAAGACGCCGATGAATTGACAGGAAAGTCGTCAATGGCCCATTCAACAAGGTAAAGTCACAAGTAAATTAGGGTTACTGTATCTAACTTACCTTTTTGCAGGGTGGAACATATAAGTGTGCACAACAGAATTGTATCAAGAGTCCAAAATCAAAAATTCCCAAAAATTTGCGTTCTTTCTTTAGAATATAGATTTTTCCAGCAACCATACCATACAGACAGATGGAAGTAGGTAACGGCTTTATCTTAATTTTTGAGTCCACCCTTTCCGATTTTCCGAGCATAAGGAATTTCAAGAAATGGACACTCTTAGAAGGCGTAGCCCTAAATTTTGATTTAATTTTTTTTTAAAATTTCGTTGTGAGTTAGAAATTTTGAGATTTCTAAGGGCACAGCAGTTTAGGCATTGCATACCATGGAACTTATATGGAATGTCAAAATTTAGAGGGCCAATTTCCATTTAATTTTTTGGTAGTGGAATTGTAAGAATAAATAAGCGAGGATTTGGTGGAATGGAGTTGTCCTTTCTGCGTCGTTTAATTTCTGTAGAGCATTGTTTCATTAATGGAATCCGGATGTATGGGGACGCGAGCGACGTCCGGGATAGGAGGAATAAAACAGCCGTACGTGGTCAAGGACAAACGCGCCATTATATTTTCGTTACGCTTCAATTGCAATAAGCCTACTCTAGGGATGCTTTGGAGAAACATTGTAGATATTCGGGAAAGCACCTACAGGTAAGTGCTCCTCTAAGACGTCTTCTTCCTCTGAATAGAAGCCAGATTAGGAAGATCACCGGTGTCCTTACGGGACACTGGATGGTCAACTATCACCTGCATAACATTGGGCTCGCGGAGGAGTCCACGTGCAGGTTTTGTGGCGAGGCAGATGAAACTACCGAGCATGTGGTCTGTCACTGTGATGCTTTGATCAGGGACAGATATCAACTCCTTGGAGACAGATACCTGGAACCGAGGAGGGTGAAGCAACTTAGGCTAAACAGGGTCCTATCCTTCATTGAGAGGAACGGGCTCTGAACTCAGTTGCGAAGAAAGGGGGTAGGCACAATGGGCCTCTGGTGTGCCTAAGTGCTGCCCGATCGGGCTCCCCTGCGAATAGAATAGAATAGAAGACGTCTTCGGCTTTCGGCTTTTCAGAACCTCAATGGTGGCTTCTACAGCATTCTAGAGCTATGTACAGACCTAGAAACGTTTGTAACATTATGAATAGACCTCTGGAATGTTTTAGAAATCGTTCAGAAAGACTATGTAAAGCTCTCTGCGGAAAAGAGAGTCCAGAATGCCGTGAAAAAAGACCTTTTAAAGAACAGCGTCAGTATCATAAGCTCCAGAAATTATATTAGAACTTAAAACGCTGAGTAAAGGTCCTATACATAAGCTGCAGACACTGGAAAAACCTAAAACACTTTGAAAATGGTTTACAAAACCTTGATAATGCCTAATAACTGATTTTCAGAGTATTTGAAAACAGTTTTCGATCGATTGAATGGCGCACACCGAAAATTCTAACAATGCAATTGTTTGACGCAGATGACAGCGCATTTTTCTTGCCTTGGTTGGTGGGTGTCTATTTTCATCTTTCTTTCTCCTTCGTAAGTGAGGCGTTCGACAACTTTCGAGAAAGAGGCCGTTTGCTATATAAGCAAATCGAATTATGTTTCAATTCAGTTAAAACTTCAACGCCGAAGTAATAAATAGTTCGCGTTGTTATATTGTGTATATATGGGTTAATCTCTATACTTTTCCAAATTATTTTGTAGTATAGTTGAACCAGTTCCAATGAAATGTCGCCACGTACGTAACTACATTCACAAGAACATTTTAATTTATGCACTTAATAGCCACGTCCGACTCAATTTTCCTTAACGGGCAGTTGAAAATGTGCAATTTCATATAGGATTTGTAGAGCAATTGTTCTTATATGATCCAGTATCTGGAATTAACTTTTGTGTATGCAATTGGTACATTTGCGCCATCTCTTTGGTAATCCCTATACTTTTCCAAATTATTTTCTAGTAATAGTTGAACAATTTTTTTGGGGTCTCAAAAAAAGGCAGTGTTTAAACCACAGTATATCCCTTTTTTTACCAAAAATCGACTGCACCAAAATTTCTCGGGAAAACACTTTTTCTTATTAATTTTGGTGCGTAGAATCCAAAACAATTCGTACTTTTTCGATCGGACTTCTCAATCAAATGTTATGGACTAGAAACCAATTTCGAAAGAAAATTCAAAGGGCTGTAACTTTTGAACTAGTAGCCCAATCTTGGAACTGTTTGAAATTGTGTATTCTACAGGCCATATTCTATAAGAAAATCTTTTTTTCCGGTTCCGGCTCTTTGGTAATCTCTTTACTTTTCCAAATTATTTTCTTGTAATAGTTGATCCAGTTCCAATGAGATGTCGCCACGTACGTAACTACATTCACAAGAACATTTTAATTTATGCACTAAATAGCCACTTCCGATTCAATTTCCCTTAAAGGGCAGTTGAAAATGTGCAATTTCATGTAGGATTTGTACAGCAATTGTACTTCAATGATCCAGTATCTATTGTTTGAAAACATTCTAGAAAACTCGGAAGCGTTCGAGATCTTTCGAGAAAGAGGAAGCGTTTACTATACAAGCAAATCGAATTGCGTTTCAGTGAGTTCCAATTTCAACGCCGAAGTAATAAATAGTTCGCGCTGCTATAAATTGTGTACTTGTGAGTGATAAATTTATTGTTAATTAGTTGTAATAAATAAATTACGTAATTAAATTTATTTTTGTAAGTAGCTAGTATTTTAACGAACGGGTGTCTGTGCTAGCAAATTTAGTGTAACACGCAAAGCCATAGATGCCGCCCGTGCTACTGTTTATAATGTAAGGAAATTATGGCCAATGATTGATTAATCGAAATGTTTGATTACACTCGATAGGTCAAAACTGCGGTCAATTAACGCCGGATTACGCGTCGTATGAGGTTTATTATCACAATTTTGAAAAACCAGGTGCAACCAAAACGGAACCGTATGGAGATGGGAGGGTTAGATCTTTCTTTGGAAGAAATCTAAATTTTGTTTGGCCCTACACCATCTTCAATACGTTTAACCCCTCATTCGATATTTCCACTGCGTAAATAGTCCAGCTTTTAAAATCTCATTGTACCGTAAGCCTGGAGCGTCACTGTTAGGTGCCCACTTTTCCAGGAATTTTGAGATATGCAATCAAAGATCAAATTATACCTACTTAATGAATGTCCAATAGTTCAACTTTCCCAGTTAAAGACCGCACAACCTAATCTAATCGGCGGTAATTTTATCAAGCTTACGTAAAACCAAAAACGTCCAGCTCTACTCGTTTAAAGCTAGCGTTCGGAAATGGACACCAAACGAGAGAAACAAGAACTGTTAATCTCCATCGACAAGTACGGGTCTTTCGAGGTGACGACGGTGGCACTTCTCCGGAAGGTTTGCAATCATTGTCATTTTTTAGTCTGCCAATGGAAGTACTCAAACTGAAAGGATCACCTTCACATGGAATAACATTAACGTTTTCGTGACGAAAGGGCCTCGACGTGACACGGGGAGATTTTTCGAATTTATTCGTCGCAGAAACGAAACCGGCATACATCCAGAGGCGAAGCAGATACTTAAAAATGGTACCTAGATCTTTTGTACCTAAACCTTCTCGATCTAGTGTTTTAGTTAACGGGATCGCTCGCCCCGGGGAAGTGTTGGCAATAATGGGTGCGAGTGGAGCAGGTAAAACCACCCTAATGAACGTGCTAACGTCCCAGTCGGCGCCCAACATGTTAATTACGGGAGTGTGCTGCGCCAATGGGGTTCCGATTGATTCAAATCTACGCAGGAAATGCGCATATGTTCAGCAGGAAGACTTATTCATTGGAACTTTGTCGGTTAAGGAACACTTGATTTTCCAAGTATCTCTTCGTACACCCCAGTTTCGCTTTCCTGATTTAACGAATTGCAGGCGCTACTTCGCATGGACCGAAAGATTCCGAACAAAGAACGGATGAAACGAGTCGATGAAGTCATAAGAGCTCTCGGCCTGAGCAAGTGCGAGAATACCAAAATAGGCATTCAAGGAAGGATCAAAGGTATTTCGGGGGGTGAGATGAAGAGGTTGTCGTTCGCCTCCGAGGTTATCACGAATCCGTCTATAATGTTTTGTGATGAGCCGACATCGGGTTTAGACTCGTTTATGGCGTTGAACATAGTGCAGGCGTTAAAGGAGCTCGCTCAGTCTGGCAAGACGATTATTTGCACGATCCATCAACCTTCGTCTGACTTATACGCAATGTTCGACAAACTTATGCTCGTTGCCGAAGGACGTGTTGCCTTTTTGGGTTCGCCGAGGCAAGCCGAATCGTTCTTCGCATCGTAAGTGTTCTCAGGCGATTGTAAAGAAACTGGAACGTTGTTTTAGTTTGGACGTTCCCTGCCCAACAAACTTCAATCCGGCCGACTACTTCCTGGAGCTTCTGGCCATTGCACCGGGACGAGAGCAAGCATGTAGGGACGCTGTTCAGACGATTTGTGACAAATTTGCGCAGTCCGAGCTTGGCACGTCAATTGCCCGTGAGACCGACATAGTGAGTTTAATCGCGTTTGTGGAATTGGAATATCTTTGAAGATTTTAGGAAATTGGGGAGTACACAGTTGAAGATTATCCCAGAGGCGTACGCGAAGAGAGCCCGTACAAATCTTCTTGGTGTACTCAATTGCGCGTGCTCTTGTGGAGGTCTTGGTTGAGCGATATGAGAGACCCTTTGATAATAAGGATGAGAGTGGGTCAAGTTATTGTAAGTTTAGCCAAAGTTACGCCATTTTCTTAATTCATCCACGTGCTTTTTACAGATAACCGAGCTTATAGTTGTACTGGTTTACTACGGACAGTCGTTAACCAAGGATGGCGTGAGAAATATCAATGGCGCCATCTACCTGATATTAATCAACTTAGCGCTCCAGCACTTATTCAACACTCTTTATGTTGGTATTTATGGCTTCCATCCACCACTGCTGCTACCGTCAAAATTCTAAAGAGATATTTATGAAAATGCTTGCAGGTATTTTGCAACCCACTTCCGTTATTTCTACGCGAACACAAGAACGGAATGTACAGGGTGGACACCTTCTTCTTAAGCAAGAACATAACGGACTTGCCCCTTTTTGTTCTTACACCTTTGATTATTATGTTCATTTCCTACTACGCCGTCGGCTTCAACCCGGACGTATCTAAATTGTTCATCGCCGTTGGTATTACTTTTCTAGTGGCAAACGCTTCGGTTAGCCTCGGTAGGTTGTAGAAGATTGCGGTGAGCTTTGTCTACAGCTTCTACTTCAGGTTACATGATTTCCTGCTTGTGCAACACGGGGGCGTCGGCTTTGACTGTAGCTACAACGTTGCAAATACCCGTGCAACTCTTCTCTGGATATTTGATTAATTTCGAGTAGGGTCAAGATCACTGGAAGTTGGTGATACAAAAACCCACGTGCCAGAATGTGAATTAAACATTGAGGGGTGGGGGTGGGGGGTGGGGGAGTTCCCCAGACATCCTGCACAAACACGTGTGAGTTCTGACTTAATGAAATCGGATTTACGCCCCCACCACCGCCAATATAGCTTTTTTGACTTCAGATTTAGGCACTCATGCAGGTTTTTGTATCACCAACGTGCAGACCATATAATTGAGATTTTTCAGTGCAATACCGAGGTATCTCCGATGGTTATCGTATATCTCATGGATGCGCTACAGTTTCGAAAGTATAATGGTGAATCAATGGACCGGGATTAATTACATTAATTGCACCGGAACTCAGGGATGTGCGCATAGCGGCCATGAAGTCTTGCAGAGCTACCATTTGTACGAGGTGAGCGTTTAACCTGTATGTTTTAAAACTGATTTCTCTTTCCAGGAAAATTTGGATTTAGACGTTGGGCTTATTGTCGTTTTACTAGTTGTGTACAGATTAATTGGATATCTTGCGTTGTATACTAAAGCGTCAACCTAAATGTAGCAAATGTATTAATACCCTTTTAGTTATTTCAGGTAAACATATTCTCCATATTAAATAAAGCAATAAAATGCAGTAATTTAAACTAAATTGGTTTTAAAAAATTAACAAATGAAGAACATTTAGGTAAAATTTAATTTAACAGAATAAGGAAATCAATTACAAGAAGAACCAGCTTGCGAAAGCGACGACAGTCGGTGGCAACCTGGATGTGGCGGACGGCGGCACGGTACGGAAATCTCGAGCGCCACCAGGAAGTTTCAACCCCTGCTTTTGCCCAAGCGCGGCGATTTCGGAATGAAACTTCGAAACCCACGGCTGTCGGATGGTACATATCGGCAGTTGGCTTCCTTATCAACGGTTACAGGGCTCTACACATTTTAACATTACTTTTACCGTCTATTTCTCACTCTTAGAAGAAATAAATTTGGAATGTAGGGTGCGTTCATTAAAACTAGTATTAATTCTGTACGAAAAGTTACTTTTACTAAGGGTGCTTAACAGAAATTTGCCACAGTTTGATTACATCATTTACCCTCTCTCTAGAAAAGCTTTGGAAAGGCGCCTAAAGTTTATAAAGCTTATAAGAGCCTCGAACGCGTTTTGGCAAAGTTGTAAAATGTACATGCTTTGTAGCACATTGGAAGATTTTTGCGAACAATGAAATGTTTTCTAGGCCATTTTAGTGTGTTTTCAGAGTGCCGTTAAGGCATTTTTTTTAAAATTTGTAGGTTTCTTCTTGAACCAGAAGATATAAAAAAACTATAAGTACTTTTCATACTTGTTTTTATCTTTCGAAATAATTTTAATCAGGACTGCTTTTCTACAGCTTCCCATGTCCTCTGTGGGTCAACTCATGACCCTCTTAGGTCTTTTTAGAACTTTCGAGATACTGCTAAATCTTTCTCAACAATTTTGAGGTTTTTTCCAAGGCCGTGTTCAGTAGTTTAAAAAAAACGCTCAGAGAGCTGTAAAAATACAAAGTTAAACGCGTCGTAGGGTTATACACCTTGTAGCATATTCTGCTGAGGTCTTTCCAAAGCGACCAGGTGCATTTTTAAGATTTTTTATCGTTTCCGTCCTGAACTTCCTAGGTTCTTCTAAAACACTCCAACCATTTCCGCAACTTTCGGTGTTGTTCTCCAGCTATGTATATTGTATAGACTCTCCTTGCTCTGGAAAGAGCAAATAAATTCATCCGGAACTCTATAAGGTGTCCCTATAGGAAAGCACTTAAATAGCCCCAGAAAGTTGCTTAAACAGTGTTGCAGAGCGATAAAAAACCTTTCGGAATTTCCAAGGGAGCTTTTAGAGTTTTATATGTACAGGGTGGCCAACTAGGAATGCGAGGTACTGTATCTGGGAACCTGTCCATCGTAGAGGCTTGCGATAAAAAGATTTATTACTAAAACGGCCACGAGAAAATCCTGGAAAATATTTTAAAGTTTCTGAAATGACCGCTAGAGGGCGTAACTGCAATCTGGAATCTAAAGAAGTGCTATTTCTGTGAATTCCGCTGTATTAACTTAACAAAAAAATGTCCGGTCTTTGAAGTCGATGATATCTGAACCATTTTTGTTTGAGAATTTTTCCTGTGTCTCTAAAAATGAAGTGTTGGGGGGTATTCAAAAGTTTCCGTAAAGAACACCCTGTTTCTTCGAAACGGTTGAGCCGATTTAAACAAACTCGGGTTAGTTCAAAAGGGCTATTCTTCACCTACAAATATTATAATATTTGAAGTTTTGTTAGTTTCACATATCACCGCTCGAGGGCTTTTTTCGACAGAAATGGTTAATTTTCTCAAAAAAATTAAATGCATTGGTTCGATTTTTTTTCATTAAAAAGTAGCTAAATGATGCCTAAACAAGCTCGCGAAAACAGCATCTCGATATCCGGACATTTTGTTAGGTTAATATAGCGGAATTCACAAGAAAATCACTTTTTTAGATTCCAGATTGCAGTTACGCCCCCTAGCGGCCATCTCAGAAACTTAAAAATATTTTCCAGGTTTTTCTCGTGGCCGTTTTAGTAACAACATTTTTTACCACAAGCCTCTACGATAGACAGGTTCCCAGATACGGTACCTCGCATTCTTATTTGGCCACCTTGTACATCCCTTCTGTCTCTGTACCAGGGTGTTTGTCATTTTCCAGTTTCTTGTGTACCATACGTGGAAAAGGTCCAAAAAGCTGTGCTCTTTCCACAGTTTTACAGGGACGCTTTAAACAGCTGGAAATTTTGGAGTTTAACCGAACACCTTTCGAAGGACTTTTAGCGATTTCTTTCCAGATCGCTATAGACTTGCGTAGTTGAAAATCTATAAAACTTCAAAGCAAACCGAAATCGTTCTGCAAAAGGCCCAAAAGTGTGTAGTTAAAAGTAAAACAACTCAAGAATGCTCTGGAAAATCCTGGAACACCTAATAATTCAATACGCTCTTCTCACGCTTTCTAGAACAACTGAAAGTTTCCTAGGTTCATACAGACTTTTGCCAGAGTGTTTTAGAGCACTTCTAGGGAAGGTTTTCCCATGAAAACCTACTCAGAAAGCTATGGACTCAGCTAGAAGAACTAAGAAGATTAGCAAATTAAAAAAAACGCTACACAGCTCTATTATAAAGGGGCTAAAAAGCTCTAAAAATACTTTACGAAGATGCTATACAGAAAATTTTTGACTACTCCTAAAATGAAGACTTTATTTGTCCTTTTTTCTGAAAAAATAAACTTAGAAAGCGCTGAAAAGCCCTAGAACGTTCTGCTAAGGCCTGGACATGTGTAGAACGGATCGATCAGCTCATAATGCTCTGGGGGACTAATACGATCAATGGATAGCTGTTTAGGGACTATCAATACGTTTAGAAGGCTTTCCGAGAAACTGTTTTCTGGGTTCCTTTTCGAGACCACATGAGTGTAGAGAAATTCAGAAAAGGATTAAAAATGCGCACAGATGGCTGTAAAAAATCTTCCACGCGCATCTGGCGGCTGTACCGAACACTCTAAACCTTTCCAGACCATTTTAGCGTTTTTCTATTCGTGCGCTATCAGGGTTTTCGGGTTTTCTCCAGATATTCACAGATTTGTCCCGACTTGGAAAGAACAATTAACCGAAAGCTCTACTAGAGGGCGCTCAAAGGTTCCTTTCGATAAAGTCACTAGATATAGAAAGTACCGCAATCATCCGCCATTTTTGGGCAAATTTGCTGCCAACTTAAAAATATTGACAAATAAAATCTGAATAGCTGTAATTTTTTATATCATGTTTTATAAAAATATATACAGATATCTCCAAACAGGTGGAACAATCCCTAACATTAAAGTTACTAGAATCTGGTAACTTCCGCCATTTTTGGGCAAAAATCATGCGTGCTCTCTCTAACACACGAGCCCAATGGATTGCGGTACTTTCTATATTTAGTGACTTTACCCTTCGAAAGCATTTGAATAATTTCTGAACAGAATTCCGAGTATTTGGTAGGGCACTAAAAAGTTGTCGTGAATCCCCATGGTAGCACCTAGAGTTCCATATAGCCTTTCTCAAGCACTGCATCGCTCTCCGAGATAGTACCTAAATATATATTTTTGAATTACCATGTATATAGATTAGCAACCAACCGTTACATTGAATAAGTATATTTTTTATTTTGCAATTGAAACTTAAACGAAGTCAGGCACAAGATCCGGTGAGTAAACGTGAAGCAGACAAAGCGAGCGAGGTCTAATTAGTGATGTTTAGTGCAAAAGGTGCTAAATATTGTTTCAAGAGTGCTTTTCCATACACATCAACAAATAGAAACACTTTCCAACGCCAATCGATCAGTTTACCAGAGGTATTTACGTATTTTAAATAAACTGAATTGCGTTTTTCTGAACTGAATTGTTTATATCGTTGCGCGTAACAGTTTGGGGATGCATTATATAGTTGTATTTATTATTAGGATATTTGTTCAATTAAATTAAACAAGTTTTCAGTTAGGAAAATTGCATTGATGATTATTTAGTTCAATTGTAACCAATAACGTTTGCATCATAAATAAAGCAGATGATGCATCATCTGTATTTGATAGTATTTAAAGGTATAATTCAGGTAACGTATCGATTTTGATGACGCTTTATCTGAGCACAACATTCCCAAATTTTATTGTCATAAATCTACCCAAATGAAGTTTAGGATATTTCTGCACCACATTATTTCTTTACTACAAAATACATAACAGGTATTTATATAGTTCATGCAACGAGTTAATAAACTAAGGAGTAATTACAAGTTGACGAGTTAGTATGTAAAATCAACAAACAACAAACAAAATTATATACCTACCATTTCAAGATATTTTTAGGCTAGCTCGCGATTTAGAAAAAACACAATGTCTTGGAAAGTTCTCTGGAGCACTGCCGAAAGCACTTAGATAGACTATTAATAGAATTCGGACATGCAGTTTTTTAAACCTTTCAGAGTTCTTTGTAGGTTACCCCTATACCCTTCCCAGGTCCTTTCAGCAGATTTTTATGCAGTTTGTAGATCATTATAGACTTAAAAAAACCTAGAAAATTCCGAACTGAACCTAAATCATTCTGGAAAATACTTTCTGGACTAATCTTAGAAAAGCTTTGGGTGGACCGAAAATGTTCCGAAAAGAGAGAGAGAAAGGTCCTAAAACATTTCAAATGATTTCCAGAGCCTTGTATGTGTTTTGGAATGCCACCGAAAGCTTTCTCGCTTTGTAGAACCCTTTAGATCTTTTCTTGGTTTCTAGCACTTTGTAGCCAAAATTGTAGCCTTTTCAGGAGTGTACTTGAAAAGCGTCTAGAAAACCCTCATAAAATCCTAAAAGGCATGTAGTGACCTTGCATCATTTAAACTTGAGAAAATGAAAATTGCTAACGCCTTTCGGGAACAGATTATTTCCACAGTTTTGTTTTATAGGTTCTTTTCAGAGCTTTTTAAGCTTTTCCTAGAACTGGTTACACTCCCCTAACCCAACTTTACTGCTTTTTGGGCCTATGTCAGATATCTAATGTAGCCACATTTTCCATTTCGTAGATCTTTATGCTAAAGATCGCTAAAAACTCACTTTGTCTCAATTGATAATCTTACGCCATTGCAACAAATATTTCCGTACATCACTACCCTTTAAGGATATTAATAAATCCTGGAATAAGTTAAATCAATTGAAGCTGCTGAATATCAATATTTCGCGTAAGCTCATTAAGCATAGAGGTTTTTCCAATATTTTAATCAGTTACCTAATAATCACTTCCAATACGTATAATCAAAAGATAAGTGCCATTTTATCAGGAATGTGTGAAAGGGAATTATTTAACGCAGTGTAATTTTATAATTAACTCCATGAAAATCAACTGAAAATGATTTCCAACGATTCGGAAAAGGAACCGTTGATTTCACTTAGGGAGCATCGGAGATACGCCATTGAAGTAAGACGCTTCTTCCAAGTTGCGATTGCTGAAAGACGCTTTCTTCTAGCCAAACAGTAACGGAAACGGTGAGGTAACACCTTTGGCATCATCCGAAAGGATAACGTATTCGTGGAGTAACATTAACGTTTTCGCCCCGTCGTCCGTCGCTCCGAAGGGCGGATTTCTTAATTCGTTATTGGAGGGAACTCGGCCACCGCCATGTGAAGGGAAGCAGATTTTGAAAAATGGTAGGTGGCGTAGTAATTAAATTTTTTATGTTGTTGGATTTGTAGTGGTTGCTAGAATTGTTACTCATTTGCTAGTAAGTTGAGAAAGTGACCCCAGGACGCAACTAACCACAAAGTCGGAAACTGTTCCCTAAATTATCTTTTTTGTCAGAATCGATCAAAATGCTAATTGACTTCCATGTTATTTCTGATGGAAAGTTACATATATATACCTTTTTAAAGGTACTATTTTACCAATGTCCAAATGTATCCATGATAGGAGGAATTACCTACCTTATAGCGAAACTCGCAGCGGATTTTTTTGTTTCTGTGAACAAATGAAATGTCTTTTAGCATTTTACATGTAATAATATAACAATTAGGTAACTGTCAGCAAACCGACATTTTCCAATTCACAATCATTGATAAAATTACGTCTCTTAAAAGTATATCGTATAAATACCGGCATGAATTTGGAGTACCTTGGATACTTAAATGGGAGAACAGTTTCCTTGTTGGATAATTGAAAATTTAAACGTAACCGTAACATCTTAATGGCTCCTTCTTTTAAAATTTAATGGAAACAGGATGAACTATTTAACAGCAAATTGAAATTGTTATGGCACCCTTAAGATACGTAATTCAAGGCGACTAGAAAACAGAACAATAATCAAATGTTTTACGACATGGTCCCCCTGGTCTAGGTTCGTAGTAATATTAAATACAGGAGTGAAAAATGGTCCGCAATATGCAGATGTGCCTTACTGGGTCTGTACGGCTTCAGCTTACCTGATGTCAAGATGTGTCTTTGTCGCTAATGGGCTAATTCTGCAGAGTTTGTTTGCCGCAATCAACACGTAGAATATTTCATTTCGTGCGATATTACCTCTTCTTAGCCTTAGTTTGTCGTCGCTTAAATCTGCAGAAGGTACCCACTCGTATGCCGCTCTTACGAAAATGCAACGATCAGCAATAAATGGTATTCTGCTGTTCCTCTGAGAGCGTTTGCAGTAAGTTAAGTGCATCTCTCCGTAACGACAGCAGCTTTCTCCCTTTCACACCACCCATATGCATTTGCTGCCATTTGCAGTACACAGAACAGCGGCTTTTTGTCTATCTTCTTGTAAATGACTTTTTCTTTCTTTGTTATTAGTAAGTACATTTGGACCTACCATTCGTACTTCCGTTTAGTTTCATCTTCCACCAACCCAAAAATAAATGTTTCACGAAGACGCATAAAAATATACTCAATTCGGTTTCTTTCACTGATAATTCGAGTAAAAAGTAAATCATACGCATTAAATTTAAGCAGTTTTATTTGGATACCTATACGTTTCTGAAGAGTCCACGAAATGTCCGGTTTTTTTTATAAAGATAGTCTAAGTCCTTCTTATTAGTAAACGCGAGCACTAAAAACAAATCGCAAGCGAAAAGAACAAATCACTGCAACTAGAAACCAATTTTGAATGAAAATTCAAAGGGCTGTAACTTTTGATCTAGTAGCCCAATCTTGGAACTGTTTGAAATTATGGATTCTACAGGCCACATTCTACAAGAAAAATTTTTTTCCGGGTCGATCTGAGACAATTTTTTTGAGGGCCTCAAAAAAAAGGAGTGTATAACCTTCCTTTTTTTACCAAAAATCGACTGCACCCAAATTTTTCGAGAAAACACTTTTTCTTATTAATTTTGGTGCGTAGAATCCAAAACAATTCGTACTTTTTCGATCAGACTTCTCAATCAAAAGTTATAGACCAGAAACCAATTTCGAAAGAAAATTCAAAGGGCTGTAACTTTTGAACTAGTAGCCCAATCTTGGAACTGTTTGAAATTATGGATTCTGCAGGCCACATTCTACAAGAACAATTTTTTTCCGGGTCGATCTGAGACAATTTTTTTTGAGGGCCTCAAAAAAAGGCAGTAACCTTTCTTTTTTACCAAAAATCGACTGCACCAAAATTTCTCGGGAAAACACTTTTTCTTATTAATTTTGGTGCGTAGAATCCAAAACAATTCGTTCTTTATCGATCAGACTTCTGATTCAAAAGTTATAGGCTAGAAACCAATTTCGAAAGAAAATTGAAAGGGCTGTAACTTTTGAACTAGTAGCCCAATCTTGGAACTGTTTGAAATTATGGATTCTACAGGCCACATTCTATAAGAAAAATTTTTTTCCGGGTCGATCTGAGACAATTTTTTGAGGGCCTCAAAAAAAGGCAGTGTATAACCTTCCTTTTTTACCAAAAATCGACTGCACCAAAATTTCTCGAGAAAACACTTTTTCTTATTAATTTTGGTGCGTAGAATCCAAAACAATTCGTACTTTTTCGATCAGACTTCTCAATCAAAAATTCTAGACTAGAAACCAATTTCGAAAAAAAATTCAAAGGGCTGTAACTTTTGAACTAGTAGCCCAATCTTGGAACTGTTTGAAATTATGGATTCTACAGGCCCCATTCTATAAGAAAATTTTTTTCCGGGTCGATCTGAGACAATTTTTTTTTCGGGGCTCAAAAAAAGGCAGTGTATAACCTTCCTTTTTTACTAAAAATCGACTGCACCAAAATTTCTCGGGAAAACACTTTTTCTTATTAATTTTGGTGCGTAGAATCCAAAACAATTCGTACTTTTTCGATCAGACTTTTCAATCAAAAGTCAAAATGTACTATGATTTTTGAGGCACTTTTTGTGCTTTACAGGTGAGGTTTTTTTGAGTTCTAAGTTAGGCCGAAGGTACTTTTTTGTTAAATATTGTGACAATTAGCGATTTATTTTAATACAGAAGTTAACCGCACAGAATTGCTTATTTGCCAATTTATTTAAAGTTTTGCGAGATCCCGCAAATACCGGGATCCCGCGGGATTAATATCTAACAATCCCGCAAATACCGGGATTGAGATTTTGCTGCGGGATTGCATTCCCTAACTGCAACTTTGGACAGTCATTAGTGGCTCAATTTGAGTTCCAACGCGCTATCGCGGCGCCGTAATAATATTCTGAAGTAACTAAGAGGAGAAAAAAGGCATTGAAGCTTGAATGATGCAAAAACTTTATTTCCAACACGGTTTAAAATTTTATTAGTGAAATTCCACCACACATAACTTGTCATTGGACAAATTAACTATCTAAATTTTGACACCCTACCATTCCGTCATTTTTCTTCAGAAATTTGAAGTATATTTGGAGAGGTTACTAAGAAGACGTATAACCTCCTTACCTTGCGGAAGTTTGGCTCCTCTTTTTAAAATCCGAAAGTCAACATTTACTGCTCTCGTTTGATTAAATCACAATCAGTTCTAATGTCAGTTTATCTAATCCCGTTTGTTTACTTGAAAAGCGGTCCTCCGACGCGAAAATGTTCCTTCGCGTATATTTTACCACTCGTAAATACACAGCCTTGCTACGAATCAGGCTGCTACAACTCTTTCTAGTAATCGACTGTAATAATTCGTCTATTCGCACACATAAACTGCAGGTAACCCGCAATTTTGTCACAGATTCGAATTTGCTTAAATGTTTCTCCACGACGTACTTAAAATTTAGGTGTTCTCGATACTTAATTTACCCGATTTTTTTCAAATTTTTTACTGCTATATTAGATTCCAATTCCGGTTTCCGAATTTGAACCGCAAATATTTACACATACGTGCTCGCTCTTGAAGTATTTTTTCCAGAGCGACTAAATGCTTTTCAAGCGCCATATTCGAAGGTTTTTCTTTCTCATTTTCTTTGCAATCCCGTATTTTAAAAAGTATTTGTCTGATTGCAAAAGTGTAATAGGGATTTCTATTCAGTTTTGTCCCATATTAAGCCCCCATTGTCGGTGGCCACGAATTTCGTAACACTCTGTATCTACAATACCTTTTTTGGTAATGTTTCTCGGAACTGACGTTTGCTGACGGTTCCATAAGTACCTACCTACTAGGTTTGTTGTACAATGGTAAATTCCTTACGATTATCTCACGTCTGCTGGATTGATTGTGAACCTGTTTTAAAATCACCTTGATATTTGTAGACTTTGGGAAAACTGTATTGCGCACTTCTAGCACCAGAGGCGAAACTTTGCTAATGCTCTGTGGACCTCACTGGTCGCCTTGAATACCAAAACGCAAATCGCCTAGAAGTTCTCCAAAACCAATCCCCTCTTCATTACAACGTAAAAATTTGAACCCTCGCAATAGCGGGTTATTACTCAAAATGGCGTATACATTTTCATTGGTTAGTGTTTTTTTTATTACCAATCCTAAATGGTTGTTAAACATCATGCACGTTTAGCAAATTCCATAGTACGAGTTTACCTCATGGCGAGTTCATTATATCCCCATTAAAAAAGACGAAATTTGAACCTGAACGCCGGTATCTCGACGCTTCAAGCAATTAAGGAACAAAAGCCCATACATAATGAATAATATATGAATAAATAAATGAAAAACCGAAAAGGAACTTAATTGTTGAACGCCATGACGTTCCCTGACCACCAATAGAAAACCCCCATTTCGGCCTTCAAGCTAAAATGAAACCGACTCGTAATTGAGGATCAAAGAGATCGTGGCAACAGCAAGCAGTCCCGAAGACGTTCTCGGAAGGTAAGATCCAGACACCGTTTTGAACTATGTGCTTTTTATCGCTAGACCTACTTATGTTCATGTTTCCTATGAAGCGGTATCTGTTGAAAATCGCTGTTTAACAAAATACAGACTCATTATCACATTTTTTGAAACGGCTAACCGACTCTGTAGAGCAAAGATTCATTAGACTAGTTGCTAATGGTACAGGGTGTTCAAAAAGTCAATAAACCCACAGTTCTCCGACTTTAAAGGTTTTTTGATTTATATTATAAAGAAATTGATTGAAGAGTTATTGACCTTTTTCTTACGATGATACTTTTTGCAGTGAGTGGAATAGCCCGAACCGGTGAGCTGCTCGCAATAATGGGTTCAAGCGGAGCTGGCAAAACGACGCTGATGGACGTGCTAACGTCGCGATCTTCCGCCCGTCTCCAAGTTACCGGACTGCTCTGCGCGAACGGAGTGCCGGTCTCTTCCGACGAACTCATCAGCAAACAGGCGTACGTACAACAGGAGGACCTCTTCATCGGAACCTTAACGGTTAAGGAGCACCTGATCTTCCAGGTGAGTAAGCCTTAGCGGGTGTACAACGTCCAATAAAACACGATTGCAGGCACTACTGCGTATGGACAAGCACGTGACGTTAAATCAAAGAATCGAAAGGGTCAACGCGGTCATAGTCGAACTGGGACTGTCAAAATGCGAAAATACGCAGATAGGTGATAGGTTTCGGATTCGAGGTATATCAGGTGGTGAGATGAAGAGGTTGTCTTTTGCCGCTGAAGTGATTACAAATCCCTCGTTGATGTTTTGCGATGAACCGACGTCAGGTTTGGATTCGCACATGGCTGCAAATATAGTAAACGTTTTAAAGAAACTGGCGAGATTGGGGAAGACGATCGTTTGTACCATACATCAACCGTCTTCGCAATTGTTCTCCCTGTTTGATAAAATCTTGTTGGTTTCCGAAGGTCGGGTTGCGTTTCTAGGTACACGAAGCGACGCAGAATCCTTCTTTGCATCGTAAGGAAATCAACGGGAGGTGTTTAAAGGAATACGCTTGGTTTTAGGATCGATCTCCCGTGCCCGCCAAATTACAATCCCGCTGATCATTACGTGCAAAGCTTGGCAGTAGCCCCAGGCCGGGAGCAATCTTGCAGGGAGGCTATAACTATGATTTGTGACGAGTTTGAAAAGTCCGACCTTGGTGTACAGCTTGCTGCTGACACAGCCGCAACGGTGGGTAATCACCTTGATACTCCAGAATGACGTACTTTTTAGGTGGATGATGCTAGTGTCACTATCACTAGGGGTAGGAAGACAGTACCTTACAAGGTGTCGTGGTGTGCCCAAATGCACGCCGTTATATGGAGGTCCTGGATCACCATTTTCAAAAACCCTTCATACGTTGGACTGAAGATAGGGCAAACCATTCTTATAGCGATTCTTGTTTCACTCATCTATGCTGGGCAAACTCTAACGGAAGAAGGCGTGATGAGTATAAATGGCGTGATGTACATCTTCCTAAGCAACATGACCTTCGAGAACTTATTCTCCGCTGTTCTTGTTCGTATAAACCTTAAAAAAGCTTCTAACACTATCCCAAGTGCTTGTAGGTCTTTTGTACGGAAATGCCACTTTTCATACGTGACCATAGGCGAGGCATGTACAGAAGCGACGTTTATTTCCTAAGCAAGAATATCGTCGATTTGCCCTTGTTCATATTATCTCCGGTGCTCACGATAGCCATTTGCTACTATTGCATCGGTCTCAATCCACTTCCGGACAAATTCTTTACCACTCTGGGAATTACGATTTTGGCCATCAATGCCTCCGTGAGTTTTGGTAAATGAAATAATTTTTAATTCATTTTTTAACGTTTTTGGTGTTTCAGGTTATATGATTTCGTGTCTAAGTGAAAAGGTTGATGTGTCTATTAGTATTGCGGCGGTAATTACGATGCCCGCCATGCTTTTGTCTGGATACTACATTAATTTTGGGTAATATAGTTGTAATTTGAGTGTAGTTCACTTCAGGTGCACGTCATAATTTTGGTCCCACTCTTTAGTGGGACTAAAACCATACTAAATGTATTGAAATGGCAAACGGTCACTAATCCACTCACAAAACACCTTAATTTAAGTCACTCACAAAAACAATTTATAAGAAACAATTAAAATCCTGAGTCGTACCTTGGGCTCACTCTAATACGAACGGTTCTTTTACACACAACACAAATTTATTCGATAATTGCTATAAGAAAAAGTGGAAACAGAGCCAATACACAAAGGACCACGCACATGCGATCGATTGAAACAATAAAATACAGCCTGGATTACCTTTAATGTGTCGATAATCCATTCATAAACTGCGATGTCCAATTCAAAAACTCACAACACAAAATAATAAAACAAAATAATGTCACTAACTTCTTTTAAACTCGAACTCCACTATTCAATTTCTACCGACCTACTCACGATCCCTTAATTCGGCAAGCTTTCTTTATACACTTTACTAACCACAGATTACTTATTCACTTACATCCGAAAACTCCTATGTCGCTGCGCTGGAAAGAGCCCGACTTCCCACAAACGGCCAAAGGCGAAAGGGCTCGATAAAAAATTTCTTCTTCTATTTAACAACTGTGCTTCATGTCCGTGTCGACTTTCTTATTATTTTGTTAAAATACGCACACCTGCTGCGATTTCTAAGTTATTTTTTCGTCATACAATTGCTTATCTATCACATACAGTTCTTCTCCCCCTTCTATTATTAACAATTTGCCTGTTTTTATCTGTTTTCTGTATTAATATCTGTCTGTCCCCTTCATTCGCTTTACTAAAATTTCAAAACCTTCTTCCAAATCCTTACCCCTTTCCTGTACTTGTACCGTACCCTGCTGTTTCGAAATAAACTGCATAAACACTTGCTTATCTTGAAACTAATAAATCATACTTTACGCTACACGATAACAAATGTTCCTATCACAATGACCAGGCGACTAGATGTTCCTACCTTCTTTAACACATAATTTCACTTTTACAATTAAATAAACAAGTCACTATAAACAAATTACAAGACAATGAATTTAAACAAAACAATTCCTTCCACAGCTTTTTGCATAATTTCTGGAGCGATAAAAGTTATTTCCTCAAGGCTTAAAGCGTAAAATGACCTAGAAAGCTTCTGAGGGGAGTAGAAAGGTTCAAGGGGTTAAAAACGGAGACATACTCTGCAACTCTTTCGCATTCGACAGTCTACTAAGTGCTTTCTCGAGCTTTTGAATGCTTTTCTCATAATTATTCGTGAAGTACGCGTTCGGAAGAAATGTAGAAGTCTCTGGGAAACCTTCACTTTTCTCAGAAAGTTTTAGTATGCTTTGAAAATAATCATGGAAGGCTTTAATGGACTTTCCAGGTTTTTCTGGATACCTTTCAAGGATTTCTAGGTCTTCTGAGTGATTTTCAAGCTTTGTAACGCTTTTTCAAAGCCTAGGCTTCTTTCACGGATTGTGCTTTAGAAAGTGTTTTGGTTTCATTCCAGATCTTCTCTAAGGCTAGAAGAACCGATTTGAAAATTGCTTGCTAAGCTTAAGAGAGGAAATCTAGGAGCGGACTAAAAGCTTTTCAGAGGATTTTTAGAGCATCCACCAAAAATTATTATTGGGAAAAGGAGGTGGGACTGAAAAAGGCTTCTCAAAGAACTTCTACAACTTCCTCTGCGCCTTTTTTGGCACCTTTCTAAATCATTTTAGACTCGGATAGTCCTCCAAAGAGCTTCAGAAAACTCTAGAAGGCATTTAAGAAACTCTAGAATGCTCTGGGAAGCGTAACTACGATCTAGATTCTTCATAGAGATTTTAATCGCCTTTGCAGTGCTTATTAGCGTATTTCGCACAAGTTCGCTTTTTTGTCTTTAAGTACTGAAACGGCTCTGGTACGTGCCGAAAAAAGCGATGTTTTTGGTCTCCTCTAGAAAGTAAGATCCTAAAGGACGAAAACGCGTTCAAAGTTCATAGAGGATTTTTAGTTGTCTTTTCAGAGCCGTTTTTTAAATCGTATTAAGTCCATGTTTAAAGCTTCTCCAGTGATTTCTGAGCAGATCCTGCACTTTTTCTAAATTCGTTTGTAGATTTTTTTAATAGCCTCCCAAAGCTTGTTTTTTCGGAAAAATAGAAAACCATTCAAAGCCTCCTATCGCTCCACCCCTCCCCAGTAGCTTTTTTTGTCGATTTTAGACTGTTATATGTCCTATTAGCCTTGAAAAAACCCAAAAAATCACGGAAAGTGCCTAAAACGCTTTGTAAATTGGTCAGAAATTAAAACGGGCCTGTGAAGGATACAATGATTGCTTTCTAGATTCTTTTTTTAAACCATCTCCAGACAGCAAGTAAGAGGCGGCTTTTGAAAGCACTGGAAGGCTATAAAAAGCATCTTTCAAAAAAGCTTTCTAATGCTCATAAAACCCTGAAAAGCTTTTCATGACTACTTTTCAGGAACTTCCAGGTCTTTCAGGTGCATTGCAGAGCGCCGGATTACTGTAACGGCTTAGTTACATTCAGAGGTTGGAAACCACACTCGTAGAAAATGAATTTCTTGTAATATAATAATTAATATCACGGCAATATGGAAATGTCAAAAATTACCCTTATAACTTCGGGTTTTAATATTGAACAAAAGCACGAATTAATTGTCTTTAACCTTTTTACCGGTTGCCGTTTAATGTATAATCTATTAACGCCTCTTAGACACAAGACAGGTGCACAGTTTTGAGTAACAAACACCTTGGACCTCAACGCTTTCGTGGTAACAATTTAATTAAGTACTAGCACACTAATCAAAGCGTTTACCTTAAATAAAGATGACGTGTACCTGAGCCACGTGCGCCACAATTGATTAACCAAAAATCTCTTCCAGTTCAATGCCGAAGTACTTGCGATGGATTTCATATTTCTCTTGGATTCGTTACGGTTATGAGTGCCTAATGACCAACCAGTGGACAGGGATTGACCACATCAATTGCAATGGTACCAGCACCTGCCCAGAAAATGGCCAAATGGTTCTCGACACGTACGCATTTTCTGCTGTAAGTGTGGACACGCGCTTATTTAATTTTCTTATGAGACGGTTGTAGGACCACACCATGGCGAATATTGGAGCCCTTTTAGGTTTACTTTTTGGATTCAGAATATTGGCGTATATATTCTTGTTACTGAAAACTTATACTGTAGACTAAAATTGATTTCGCTGTTATTTGATTATGAATAAAATAAATTCGTTGTCCCAACAGAATTGAACATGCCTAGGATCGTTATGGAAATAACATCGTTCAGAAAATGTGACGTTTCTTAATGCATTCAGCGATGATAGTCTGATTAAAAACTTCACATTTTTAAATTAAGGATTTAAATCAGCGAAAATAGTAAATTTGCGTTAACAAACTTCCATTTTTTAAAAAAGGCATCAAGGAACTGGTAACATTCACGACACATCATTAAATCAATCAAACATTTCTTCCTACTATCCCCTACTTAACTTCATTTAACTAATTAACGCCTACAAAATAGCGAATTCTTAATGTAAACGGTCATTTTTAATCGTTTAATCGTCCCGAACCTATTAAAAAAACAATGCGCTATAGAAATATTGAAAGACTATTTATTCTTACAATTCTACTAGTCAAATAATTTATTGGAAAATCGGTACTTTACATTTTGACACCCATAGAATTTCTATGATATGCCCTACCCATAGAAATGTCAATCTTTAGAGCTACAAATCGAGGATAATATGATGATAATATTTATTCCAAGAAATTTCAATTCTCCTTATGGAGGTAAACGAAGATCGAAACTGCAGAATTATGTACGGGGGGAGGGTGGCGGTTACGCTAAATCTGAAAATTGTGCGAGAGGTTGCGGCCCTCTTATTAGTTCCCTCACCCCTTCCCTCACTCCAACCAGGGGAATTCCAATGAAATTTCAATCCCATAATTTGACCACAAAACTTGAACTAGGAGACAGACAGAGGCGCGAAATTTGGAATCAATTTTCGCAGATCAATCGATTTCTAACAAGTTTTTGTGTAACGCTAAAACCATTTATTTTCTACCTTCATCTTGTCTGGGCACTTACTCGGTTTCTGCATCGATCTTTATATTCATCTGGTCTATCTTTATTGTCTATTGTCGGCTCGGATTCCTTATCCTGTTCTCGTATCTGGCTCTTAATGAAAGATGATGAGAGATGGGATTATTTCATCCGGCCAACTTTGGTATTTCCGTTCAGTGCGAATTAATAGTGAAAGATATTAAACTAGAAACAAGTATATTTTGTTAGTATTTAAAGTACGCTTACTTACTTAAATTTGATTATTTAGATTTGTTTGCTTAAAATAAATCGTTACATCGTTTCCTATGATAGGTTAAATTATCTGGCCAGCAGGAATATTTTTAGTTCAGTTAAGGAATTAGGTTTTGTACGTGTCTTTGATGTCTTTGATATTTTATATGGTTAACTGCATTTGACTTTTTTTTGTGTGCGTAGTATAATTAATTTGTTATTGTTTTTTCTTTCGCACAAAACTGTTGAAGAAAGAAATTGAATTTTGTTTGTTTTTCCAATATCAGGTTAGTTTTTCACTTCACGATTATTATTGTTCTTTTAGTAAGAAACTTATTAATTACATTAGGTTATAGGTCTACGTTCTTTTACTAAAAATTAATTAGTCAGCGAAAATATCAAGAATGGGTTTCCAATTTACCGCAAATGGAGAGAATAAAAGGACGTAAGAAATGGGATACGATGGTGTCAACTTGAAAGAGGTACTCCATCTGCTGAGATTCACACGAACTTGCTCTCAATTTCGTAGATTTTGAGCTATGAACATACAGTTATCTTCAACAAGGAAGGATGCAGAGTTGTTAATCAGAACAACGAGGTGATTGCAACTGGACTTGTTCAAGGTACCTTACTGTGTAGCTCAGTGGTAGAGCATTGGGCTACATAGCCGGGAGGTCGGATGTTCGAGCCTGGGCTGAGGTAAGAATTTTTCATCTGTGGCAGAGATGGGAATTTCCTTATTTCCCATAAGAAATTCTGAGGTCCATTAGGGTCATTTTGGATCACTTCGGTCATGTGCGCATGCGCGTGTTTTGGTCGTTGGTCCCCGTCTCATTGCAAACTTGGGAGTACCTGAGAAGTTCCGTGACCAGCGCGGGGTCCGATGTCGTTGGTCTCCGGCTGTCATTTTGGTTCGCTCATATTTCAGCAGCCGTGGTTCTCTGGTATATTTCAGCAGTCGGGGTGTCGTTGGTCCCAAGGTATAGGAGTCTCTGTATTTTTCCCCAAAGTTTCCAATTGTAATATAGGTTCCGACTGGGGGACCCCTAAGATCAATGAAGAAGGTCGGAAAAATGGAACCTTTGGAAATGTGGGTATGGGGATGGACATTGACATCAATTCGATAGACAGAGAGATGAGGAAGTACTGGAAAGGGTTGGAGAAAGGTGATGGACACCATTAACAACACAAAGAAGAATTGGTCGAGTCACGTGTTGAGGAAAGAAGATTTTCAACTGTCCATTTCAGTTCAGTGTGTTAGTTCTACTACAGTAACTCCTGTCCAAACCAAGATCACGACCCTACCCCACCCTCTTGGATTTTTGAGTGCCCCATATGTAAAACACTATAGTTTCAGTTACTCTATCGGCCACCGTCTGCACGGCCTGCACCCCTAACTTGATCCATTCCAAGCTGGACTACTTCCTTCCTTCCCTCCTCCAACAGATTTGTTATGGGTGCTATGAAATACACTGACAATGGCTTTATTTCTTTATAGCCATAGGCGTCGTACTAAAAAATGCGGTCCAAAGAGAAAAGCACAACAATCGTTAAGTGACGACATCGTTAGCGTCGCCCAATTTGACTTAGACGATGACGCTGTATGTATTGATAGCCGTTGAAACTATTAATATTCCGCATTTATTGATAAAGTTGCATAATTAAGGATAAACTTTATGAGAGCGTAAAAAATAACGACTCGCTCCGCGCTTAAGTTGCATAGCGGTTAGCAAATGGACGACAACCGGAGAAATTGTAATTGAAAACTGGCTGATTTTTTAAATACCATCTAATCGATTTTTGTAACGCGATACCACGTAAAGAGTAAGTGAAGCTGAAATAACCAGATTAAGTAAAACGGGGCGAAATTAATACGTTTCCAGTTGTTTGTTTGAAGGCGGTTCAGTTAACTACGATATCTAGATTATTTGTTAAAAAAAAACTAAGAATTTGTGTAATCACCGCGATAACGTTGATTCAGTTACAGTGTAAATTAATTTAATAACAGTAATGTGTTGTGATCAGATTAGGAGCGTCCTGGTATAATGCATTCGAAGGGTATAGAAACGGAACCCCTAATTTCGCCTAATAACCACCGTTCTTATAACGCAAACGTAAGTGATTTTACATCTTCAATTCTGTTTGCAAAAAATGATTCCTTCTAGACTAATGGCGATGTCGAAAATGCGCTAAAATCACTATCGTATTCCGAAAAGATTACCTTCACATGGAGCGAGGTAAATGTCTTCACGCTCGAAAGCACCAAGCCCAAAAGGGGATTTTTGGGCTGCGGTTTCGGTGACGGCCATATCAATGGGCAAGGGAAACAAATACTCAAAAACGGTATGTTTTGCGACACTTCTTCTTGGCACTGCGAGTGCGCGTCAGTTTAAAGGCGACATTCGCCTTTGATAACCTTTTGGACCTTTACTTTCTATAAATATAGATTATTACCGCTCAATTAATTGGTCAGAATTAATTTGTACGTTATTTTCCGGTTCATGTGTGTAACCCATAATAAAAATTAAAATCACGTGCCTTTGCCACGATTTTCGATCGGAATTCGCGAGATTGGTCCATATGGTAAACTGCTTTTGGATGCTAGGAAACAATAACTTCAAAAATGGCGTCGAGGGTATCGCCCCTTGATCTTTTTTTACCTTAAAAAAACCGGAGCAGCCATTTATTTGGCAGGTCTCTAGCTGAAAGAAAGTATTCGTCGTTCATTTTGTGCACCACAGACAGACCTGATTTCCAATGTCACACAAGTCGATGTCGATGACGAAATCGGGGAAGGTGACGTAATCCATCTTGAAAAGGCTGAAGGAGAGGAAGCTACGGAAGCTGGGATAGCTCAGGAAGTCGAGAAAGCTGAGGAATCGAAACAAGTATAAATTGTGCACAACTCATGTGCCAATAAAGCGCATTTTTTAACCGAAATAGCTTAGTAAATGGTTGGATGTTTACTTTCTTGGTAGATGATTAATGGGGAGGAGGCTCTTTACACATAATTTAAATTTAAAGGCCACCTGACATACATTCAGAATCCTCCGACACTCTATTCTGCAGATATACCCTCTTAAAGCTTTGATATCACCAATGGATATATTTCTTTCAGCTGTTTGTGAGTACCTTTCCTGACATTCCCTTCTGGAGATATAAGGGAATATATACGATTACGATAAGGGGTCGAGGGGGACGACTATTGTTTATAGAAATTGATGATACCAGTCGTTGAGACCTTTCATTAAAGTACCATGAAGGAAAAAAAACCGGTTCCACTACAATCTGATGAAAGATAAAATTAATTTTCAACCCCCCCCCCCCCCCACCTGGTTGCGTCACCCACTTATCTCGAAAAACAATCACGCGGGAAAGTCATAGTTTCTACAAACCAATTTATTTCGATGAAACCTTTCATTAGAGTACCATGAATGCAGAACGTGTGATTACCCCCCCCCCACTCTCCTCAAAAGTTTTACTTGGAACTACTAAATGCATGCGTATTCAAAATCTGAGACTAATTTTGGTTGTCGTATGTAAAAGTTATGCACGTTTTACTTTCAAAAACAGCATCTCAGGAAATAATTCGTGAGGGTGGGGGGGGCCGGCTTTTAGACAGCGAAATTTGATGGCCGTCTGGCACACCTTCAAGGTACCTACTGCAAAAAATTCCAGGACTGTAGGACCATTCCCCTAGAATCAATGCCTAGAAGTAGTTCAAAACGGTAGAAGTGAGTCCGGACATCCGAGCGGACGGACGGACAAAACGCAAACAATAGTTCTTAAAAAAATGCGCTAAAAAACATTGAACTTGCTGAAGGAACAAGGACTAAACGTGCGTTTCAGGTTTTTAAAATGTTTAGGAATAGGGATATGAAAACATTTTGGAAAAGCAATAGTTATTTTCCTAACAGTCGTAACGCTCGTTTTGGTAACATCCTGCTTTCGTTTCGGAATCACCTTCGCGCGCTTGTGAGGAACAACGTTTTTCCTGCAATCGTTTAAGAATTAATCAAATCGCGTGCGCAAAGTGGCCAATTCCCGCACTAGTGCGGAAATGTCAATAGATTGTAGGAAAAAGATATTGCGGAGATATGGAAAAAATTTTGGAAATAGCGGAATTCGTTTGAACTTGAAATTTGGAAAAAAAGGGATGTTTGAGGTATGCCATAAATTTTGATATGTCGGCAGTTTGAGAAACGTGCAAGTTTTGCAAATGCCTACAAAATTTGGAGGATGTGTAATAAATTAAAAAAATTTTTGGAAATGCCGAATAGGCAACAACGGTTTAGAAAGAAATTTGTCACCATTAAGGAAAGTATTGATGGGTTTACCTCAAAAGATTATCCTAGAACTCTCACTCACAGTCACTTTCGCGAGAAGAGTATCGAATCCTCCTTTGCTTGGGGGGAGGGGGGGGGAGTATTCCATACCTCCCAGACCCTCCGATGCTACGCTGTCCCCAAAATACTTCACAACACCTCGCACAGATATGATATTGCCTGGGGGTGTAACCAATCCCCGCAGAAAGGGAATAATGGAAGGTCCCCGTTAAAAAAAAGTATCAATGAGCGGTGAAAGTGCTAGTACAAATTTGGAAAAAAAATTATCGCCGGAGGGGGGGGGGTTGGGAAGCATACTTTAAAACCAGTGTAAAACATTACCCTAGCACCCTTACTCACATTTGGGGGATGTGATCTACCATCGCAAAAAGAGAAAAATGAAAAGGTCCTTTTTAAGAAAAATATCAGAAGTGAAAGTGCTAAACGTTTTGGAAAAAAACTTATCCCCTGACTGACAGTTATGGTCATTTTCGCGAGAGGAGCATCGAATCTTCTTTTGCTGAGGGTTATTCTATACCTCCCACCCCCACCCCCGGCGCTTGGTGTCCCTAAAAATACTTTCGACACTTCACACGGACATGATTATATTACCTGGAGGATGTAACCTACCCTCGCAAAAAGGGAAAATGGAAGGTTAGTATCATGAGAGGTGAATGCGCTAAACGTTTTGGAAAAAAGCTTTATCACCGGGGGGACTGGGTGGTATGGAATAACCCACTAGTAACCAAAGCATTGATGGGCTTGCCTTAAAATATTATCCTAGAACTTTCATTGGCAGTTATGGTCATTTTCGCTCGAGGAACGTCGAATCATCATTTGATAAGGGGTTTTCTATACCTCGCTGCCCTGTCCCTCAAGATACTTCTAACACTTCACGCAGACATGATATTACCTGGGAGATGTAACCTACCCTCGCAGGGAAAAATGGATGGTCTTTTTTTAAAAAAAGAATGAGGTGAAAGTGCTAATCGTTCTGAAAAAAAAATTCTCACCGGGAGGCCTAATACCCCCCAGTAACGAAAGCAATGATGGGCTTATCTGAACAGATTATCCTAGAACTGTCACTCACAGTTATGGTCTCTTTCGCGCGAATAGTATCGAAACCTCCTTTAGGGGGGGTATCTCCCAGACCCCCCGGTGCCACGCTGCCCCCCAAAATATTTTCAGCACTTCACACCGACCTGATAATACCTGGGGAAGTATCTAATCCCCCAGAAATGGAAAATTGAAGACCCTCCTTAAAACAAGGATTATGGGAGGTGAAAGCACTAAACGTTTTAGAAAAAAATGTTTCACAGTGGGGGGGGGGGCTCTTCCTTTTATGTCTAATTATCGAAGAATATGTGTACTCAATTTGGTTCTAATCGGTTCAGGCGTTTAGCCGGACATGAAACATACAGACAGACATACCAATCGACATCATCCAGATTTTGTTTGATTCGGGTTCCTGATGCTTCAAAACGGGTATTTCCGTAAAAAACTATCATTTTTTTACCCTAATGCAATATCTCCCTTACTGCGGGAGATGCAAATCACCAAAATTTTTTGTTTGAGTTCACTTATCATTCATAAAAAATTTGCGTGGTTAGCACAGATATCACCCACATCTGTGCATGTGCGTTCTACGTTCTCTGAGGTCTAATAATATGTGTACCAAATTTAGTTTCAATCTGAAATGAGACTAGGGACAGGCAGACCGACAGACCGATCGACATAATCTAGATTTTGTCTGATTCGGATTCCTGATACTTTAAAACGTTCAAAAATTGTCATTTAGCCCAATGAAATATTTTCTTTACTAATGCGCGAGTGGTAAAAATCTACAAATCGGTTCACGGAATAAACTTCCGTGGGTCGACCTCTTCAGGATTGTTAAATTGACTTTAAGCATAAAATGTTTTTATGTCTTACTAACCTATCATAGCACATTTTATATCTGTGATACGCGGGCGTAAAGTACCACTTTATGCCCTAGGGCATTAAGTATCACCATAGTAACTCATTTATACTTAATGACAAAACAAACAAATATTTGCAGGTCTTTGAAAATTAGAAACGTCAAATATTAATTGTCAATACCTACTAAATCACAAGATTGGCCTTATTTCGTATAGTTTCTGGAACTTCTTGCTCATTCACGATGAATTGAATTATTTAAAATTACGTTTGACGTTTGGATGGTTTCAATCACATTAACAAATTCGAACCAAGCATACTCGATCAAACATAATGAATTATTTTGTAAACGAATTTTGACGAAGAAAACTATTTGTAAAACATAAAATTGTGTATGTACCACGGGCATAAACTCATGTTTATACTCTGGGGCGACTAAAAAGCTCTCGGGCCATAGGCCCTCGAGCTTTTTAACTCGTCGCCCTCGAGAATATAAACATCACTATTGTGCCCTTAATACATAAATAACTATTATACAACATTCCCAAAAACAGTAGACTACTATTCTTATGCAATGCAAAAATTCAATAAATTTACGTTTACCGATGGGTTAAAGTTTTCTCAAATTGACAGTTGGCTCACGGAAAGGCACAGCAATAGCTATTACAGTTTACTTGCACTTTGGCAGCGACTCTGATTGTTCACACATTACATTGCAGAATGCCTGATCTTAAATACCAAGTGTTATGACCATGTGTTTCAGAAACTCGTTTTAGCAGTCCATAAGAGAACCATACTTCATCGACAGGGGTGGTTAATTCTCGTTACATCCAAAAACCCACTAATAAGTGGATTTCGGATTGCGATACGGGTAAAATTAAATTACGTACTGTGTACTTTAACCACAACGCTTTCGTGGCGACAATTCATTCAAACGCAAGTACACTAAGCAAGTAACGTATTCATACTGTATTTTTACATTTGAAAATAAATTGACCCGGCTGTCGAAATACGCCACTTATTACAGGTCTTGCTTGTAATAGCAATGAATTTACAAAGCACCCACGACAATAATTTTGTCGAAATGGGGGCACAGTTTCTTTCGTTATGCCGGCAATTAATTTCAGCTTTCGCAAAAAATATTACGTATGAAGACGCGGCTGATACTTCTTTCGTATACTTCGATTATACGGCCTCCTCTCGAACCTTTAATTGAAAATAAAATTTTATGCGATCTTATTGCTCGAAAAGAATCCGTCTCTCTTACCCAATTTTTAGCGCATTTCCACAAAAAAAAAATGCGCTATTGTGGCCACTTTGTCCGTCCGTCCGTCCGTCCGTCCGCTCGTTTTGCGACGCTACTAGTTCTTTACCTTAAGAGCTATTGTTCTACTTTTTTCGCTATTTGGTTCGTTATGGTGTCGAGTCTTGTACCAAGGAAGGAATTTTTTCTGTACTGCTTACAAAAAGTTATTGTAAAAAAACAAAAAACCGTTTTTTGCATGTTCTATAATTTTACACTTTTGCCGTTTATTAACGATCCTAGAGATCGTTTATAATTTTGCATTGCTATCTGTCGTCTGCCTGTTGGTCTGTCCGTCTGTTCCTTTGTCTGTCTGTCCATCTATCTGTCCGTGTGAAAGATAACTTTGTTTAGAAATGTTCGATCACTTTTACATCTTCGTTAGTTATGAACTGAATTGCATGAAATTCAATATGGGCATAGCTTTAGCCATATAATACGCAATGCCAAAAGTTGAATCGAATCGATTCAACATTCACAGTGCCCTTTTCGCATCTCGACCATTTATAAACCGAATTGCAAATTTTTTTACTTATAAAAGCATTTGAATGAAATTTGATACATAGGCACTTGGAATAAAGGAAAATCAACTGCCAATTTCAAAATTTGGTTTTGCGCATGCGCAGTGCCAACTTTTTTATTTATGGAAGAATTTAAATGAAATTTGATACATAGGCATTTGGAATAAAGGAAAATCTAGCGCCAGTTTCAAAATTTTATTTTGCGCATGCGCAGTTCCAACTTTCTTATTTAGAAAAGCATTGAAATGAAATTCTTCTCATAAACTGACATTGAAGTAGCACGACAAAAATAGATTGCCCATGTGCAACGCTATCTTTCATATTTATGGCCGGATTTTTACGATTTTATAGAAGTTGCATCTTACAAATGGGAAATGAATGCAAGTGGAAATGCGCTTTATGTAAATCGTTTACGATTACTTTTTAACTTGTTACTTATGTAGTCGCCGAGTCCGAAAGTCGAATCGCCCCGACGAAAACCAAGAGTTTTTTAATGCATGTGAAGGTATAGCAGAACAGGCGTCCCTCATGTGACAAGACGGTTTTTAGAACTGGCAACACTGGCACTTTGGCGCTTATCTGTTAGTACTCTCCTTTCGTATCATAACGCGCTTCATTTTTTCGCATATTAGTTCCACCGGCTTTCACTATGAAGCGATACGCGAATTTCCTATATCGGTAATTGTAAATCCAAAACCAAAATTTTCTAAGCTTAAAGTGACCATCCGTTATAAGATGTCCGAAATTTTTTGGAAATACCGAAAACGGTTTTAAGTGCCGAATATTGTAAAGATGGGAAATTTTGAATACTTTGCGAATGTCAAATGGTTTGAAGATCTTGGGCATTTTTAAGGAATTTTAAAAATGTGCAGAAAATTTTGGAGACACGCTGGATATGTCGCAAATAGAAATGTATAAAATGGCAAAACATTTACGATTACGTTTCTTTTTTTTTTAATTGCATAGACGGTTGGATTAACAGTACCAAAATTAGCGTCACAGACAATGACACTCTTTCAAAATAATCCAAGACAGTATCGCTTAATTCTTCCTATTCAAGCAAAAACCCCGTTCACTAACAAATTAACACCTGCATCCTTTATCTCGCACGTGACGTTGCGAAAAATCAATTAATTCTTATCCGATAACAATTTTTTATCAGCACCTGACCAGATAATTACAATCTTCTTCATGACTCTCGTCTCCACTCTCTATAATATTTAATTCATTGGATTCTAAGTCTCCTCAATCCTTAAAGTTGTCAATGAATTCTTGATGATATTAATAATTGAAATCTTTATTTAAGTGAACGGTATAGCTCGGCCCGGCGAACTACTAGCAATACTTGGTTCAAGCGGAGCCGGAAAAACGACTCTCCTGAACGTGCTCACTGCACGATCCGCCTCGCGCATGGTGGTTTCTGGACTGAGATGTGCCAACGGCGTGCCGATCAGCTCAAACGCGCTCACCAGCAAACTGGCATACGTTCAACAAGACGATCTCTTCATCGGAACACTGACTGTGAAAGAGCACTTAATCTTCCAGGTACGGCCCAAATTCGTCGACGCATTGCTAATCGTAACATTTCAGGCGTTAGTTCGCATGGACAGGCACATTCCGTACAAACAGCGAATGGAGAGGGTGAACGAGGTAATAATCGAGCTGGGCTTGTCCAAGTGCGAAAACACGACGATAGGCATCACGGGAAGAATTAAGGGTATTTCTGGAGGGGAAATGAAGAGGCTGTCCTTCGCCGCCGAGGTACTTACGAACCCGTCCCTGATGTTCTGCGACGAGCCCACTTCCGGCTTGGACTCGTTCATGGCAATGAACGTCGTGCAGGTCTTGAAAAGGCTCGCTCAGTTGGGCAAGACGGTAGTTTGCACAATTCACCAGCCTTCCTCGGAATTATATGCAATGTTCGACAAGATTCTGTTGGTGGCCGAAGGTCGCGTTGCCTTCCTCGGCACCCCTAAGGAAGCGGAGCTGTTTTTCGCCTCGTAAGATACAAACGCGCACGGGCCAGGGGCTCTAAACTGATCTTTCAGATTGGACGCGCCTTGTCCGCCGAATTACAATCCAGCTGATTACTTCGTGCAGCTGCTGGCGATAATACCAGGTCGGGAGGAATCCTGCAAGCAGGCCGTGAACATGATTTGTGATGGATTTGCCCGATCTGATTACGGTGTTAAGCTCGCCGTTGAGGCAGCTACAGTTGTGGGTATACAATTGGTCGAGTAAAATGGATGCAGTCTGAATGTTTTAGGAAAAGGAAGAGTACAAATTTGGCGACTATTTTAATGGGAGACGTAAAACGACCCCGTACAAGGCGTCGTGGTGCACTCAATTCGGCGCGGTTCTTTGGAGGTCTTGGTTGAGCGTTATAAAGGAACCCCTATTGATCAAAGTGAGACTGATACAGACATTTGTAAGTTGCGATAATGTACTATGTAGATAGAATGGAGTTTTTCCCTTCCACCTCTTTATACTTATGCAATTTGCTGACAGTGAATTTGAATTGTAAAATTTGCACGGGTTGCGCTTGCGTAAAATGAATTTTACTACCAACAAAGCACTTAAGTGGCATGGGTAATTTTTCTGGGTCTCGCGCATTTTTTAATTGCGGTGATGATGTGATGTAGTCTAAGGATTTTGTTCTACTGCACGTTAAGCTACCCTGGTGAATTTTGTTGATTTTTCAATTGTTGTTTTCCAAATTTGAAAGATATTGCAATAAAAAATATTTACTTATAAAAGCTCAGAAGTCCTGTAAAATTTACTGCTCAATGGAAGACTACCAATGCTTTCTAAGCGTCCTTTCAGATCGTTCCGTACATGCTTACCCATGGAAAAAAACCCCCATCCATGTGTTACCATCTTTTTGTTTTGAACCGTCTGTGTACCTTTCCTAAAGGTAGGCCACCTCTTTTGTACGATCCTCCTCAAGAATTGTTAGGTGTCCTACTAGGTTCCTCGGTTCCCTTGGTTCGGTGCAGTGCTATAACGCTTCCCATTGTTCAGAATTAAGGTGGAGAGCTCTTGTCATATATAACAAGTTAAAAAGTAATCGTAAACGATTTACATAAAGTGCATTTCCACTTGCATTCATTTCCCATTGGTAAGATACAACTTCTGTTAAAATCGTAAAAATCCGACGACAAATAATATGAAAGATAGCGTTGCACATGAGCAATCCATTTTTGACATGCTATTTCAATTTCAGTTTATAAGAAGAATTTCATTTCAATGCTTTTCTAAATAAGAAAGTTATGCGCATGCGAAAGTTGGAACTGAGCATGCGCAAACCTAAATTTTGAAACTGGCGTTAGATTTTCCTTTGTTCCAAGTGCCAAAGTATTAAATTTCATTTAAATGCTTCCATAGATAAAAAAAGTTGGCACTGCGCATGGGCAAAATAAAATTTTTAAACTGGCGCTAGATTTTCCTTTATTCCAAGCACCTATGTATCAAATTTCATTTAAATGCTTCCATAAATAAAAAAAGTTGACACTGCGCATGCGCAAAACCAAATTTTGAAACTGGCGTTAGATTTTCCTTTATTCCAAGTGCCTATGTATCACATTTCATTTAAATTCTTCCATAAATAAAAAAGTTGGCACTGCGCATGCGCAAAACCAAATTTTGAAATTGGCGTTTGATTTTCCTTTATTCCAAGTGCCTATGTATCAAATTTCATTCAAATACTTTTATAAGAAAAAAAGTTTGCAATTCGGTTTATAAGTGGTCGAGATGCGAAAAGGGCACTGTGAATTTTGAATCGATTCGATTCAACTTTTGGCATTGCGTATTATATGGCTGAAGCTATAGTCCAGGAAATAGAGACTGAAAATGGACCATTTCCTGCAAAACGAGAAGTAGTTCCAATTTTTTTGCATGTCATGAAAGAATATCTAGTGGTTAAGAATCCAAGTTTTCGACCTCCCACCCCTTGTGCTTCCCCCGCACCACCCTTAAAACCAAAGAAATTTGGTTGGTTTTTTAGTTTTTCAGTCATATCTTTGTATAGATTCATTTTTCAAAAAAATATTGTTATCAGAAATTGTAGATTATAAAATTCTACACAACTTTGATATACACTACTTTTTTGGAAAATGTTTATTAAAAAAGATATAGAGCTTGAGAGTTGGTTATATTTTGAAGAATTCTGAAATTTCTATGTAGATGTTTTAAACCAAATTTCATACTTTATCTCTATAATGTTTTATGAGAAAATATCTTGAACTTATCGTGATATAAATCCCCCTACGCTGCACCCTTACCAAAGGGGATGCATAATAATTCAACTTTCAACCCTTGCTAGTGGGGATATTTGAATCACTGTGAGATTGTAGGGCTTTCTAATATACCTTTGAAACAAAAAAATTATCTCACTTCAGTTCAGCTTCATCCTTAAAATCCTTCATCCCCCCTCCCACGCCCCCCCATCCGCGGTAGGAATAGATATTTAAAGAGGAATAGAACACATAATATATAATAAGCGTTGTACTCTCTGACTAACTTCACAATCGCCACAAGAGCGTTTAATTATCTATTTCTACCACGCGGGGAGGGGGGAGGGGTGTGAAACTGAACTGAAGTGAAACAATTTTTTAATTTTAAAAGTATATTAGAAAGCGCTACAATCTCGCAGGGATTCAATTATCCCCACTAGCAAGGGTAGAAAGTTGAATTATTATGCATCCCCATTGGTAAGGGTGCAGGGTAGGGGGGTTTATACCACGATAAGTTCAAGATATTTTCTCATAAAACTCTTAATTATAGAGATAAAGTATAAAATTTGGTTAAAACATCTACATAGAAATTTCAGAATTCTTCAAAATATAACCAACTCTCAAGCTCTATATCTTTTTTAATAAACATTTTACAAAAAAAGTAGTGTATATCAAAGTTCTGTAGAATTTTATAGTCTATAATTTCTGATAACAATATTTTTTTCTAAAGTGAACCATTAAAAAGGCATGATTGAAAAACTAAGAAACCAACCAAATTTCAGGGGTTTTGGGGGTGGTACGGGGGAAGCACAAGGAGTGGGAGGTCGAAAACTTAGATTCTTAACCACCAGAAGACTGTCTATGACATGCAAAAGAAATTGGAACTACTTCTCATTTTGCAAGTTAAAACCCTCTATTCCCTGGACTACTATACACATATTGAATTTCATGCAATTCAGTTAATAACTAACGGAGATGTAAAAGCGATCGGACATTTCTAAACAAAGTTATCGTTCACACGGACAGATAGAGGGACAGACAGACAAAGGAACAGACGGACAGACCAACAGACAGACGACAGACAACAATACAAAATTATAAATGATCCCTTACGCTTAATTTAACCACTTGGATTTCTAATGACCACCATCTTAAAAATATATGAATGAAAGTTCACTAGAAATACACCCCAGAAGGTTCGGATTCTTTAATAAAGACAGCACCTTATATCGATCTTTTGGCGTTATTCGACTCTGAGCTTTAAAAAAAAACTTAATGGTTGGACTAGCTATAGGAATTGCTTGTAGGCTTCAGGAATTGAATTGAATTTTAGCCAATTTATTTGTTTGCTGTTCAGCTTTCTTTTTGATTTTCTCTTGGAGGTCCATTCTGAGCTCTCTGATTTCAAAATTTTAAACGACAACTACCGTGGGCGTATCTACAGACACCGTTGGATTTTTGAATATCGCTGACTGTTTCGTCTGTGCAGAGGTAAATGCTGGAGTGTTAAAATTACTTAGCGACAGTCATCTCGAAATACAATTTCAGTCTAAGGTTACCGTATCCAGGACCTTCAGGTACCTTCTGGACTGCAGAAGGTCCCGCTAGTTAACAAAGTATTTCATGTACTTTATGTGAGAGAATTCGGAACGTTATTTTTCACAAATGGGAAATGAGTGAAGTTGCTTTTAAATCTATTTGAGCTAGCTACTTTTGAGAATATTAAATTTCGTATTAAATTAAGGTCAGATTTAAATTATTAACATTCAATCAACCTCAGACTTAATATACTCCTCATAGAAACACCAGTCCGTCAGTTGAGGGACGTTGATTATAATTGACTGTATGCATGGTGCCTTTATCTCGAACCTTACATGCTTACGGTCGAGAGTGAGTTCTGATCTGATATACATGCCAGTTAGTTATGTTTACCCTAATTAGCGGAGTTGACAGAGTAATATCTACACCTCCTGTCTAATTTCGTTAACAAAGGTGCCTTTTTTAGCGCATTTCTACAAAAATAAAAAAAATGCGCTATTGTGGCCACTTTGTCCGTCCGTCCGTTCGTCCGCTCGTTCATTGAGACGCTACTAGTTGTTTATCTTAAGAACTACTGTTCTACTTTTTTCGCTATTTGGTTCATTATGGTGTCGAGGATTGCACCAAGGAAGGAATTTTTCTGCGTTTATTGCTAAAAAAGTTATTGTAAAAAAACCAACAAACCGTTTTTTACATGTTCCATAATTTTACACTTTTGCCGTTTGTTAACGATCCTAGAGATCGTTTCTAATTTCGTATTGCTGTCTGTCGTCTGTCTGTTGGTCTGTCCGTCTGTTCCTTTGTCTGTCTGTCCCTCTATCTGTCCGTGTGAACGATAACTTTGTTTAGAAATGTTCGATCGCTTTTACATCTCCGTTAGTTATGAACTGAATTGCATGAAATTCAATATGTGTATAACTTCAGCCATATAATACGCAATGCCAAAAGTTGAGTCCAATCGATTCAAAATTCACAGTGCCCTTTTAGCGTCTCGACCATTTATAAACCGAATTGCAAACTTTTTTATTTATAAAAGTATTTAAATGAAATTTAATACATAGGCACTTGGAATAAAGGAAAGGAGGAAAGGAAAAAAACTTTTGTTTTTTGAGTTTATATACTCAATCAGCAATTCACCCCTTCGCCCCTCTTGTTTGTGTCTGCACTGTCTTTCATATTCACCTCAGAATGATGTAAATTAGAACTTATTTAAGATTAGAATATAAAAACCGGAAAAACCAAGATATTTCGAAAACTATCAAAGATAGGTATAGGACTTTATTATCAAAAGTTGAACGTTTTTGGAGGATCTAATAGATGACAGAAAAAATACAGGGTGTTTCATTAAACAAACGTGAGATTTTTAATATGAAGTTTTGTAATTTTGGACCTACAATAAAAACCACCCCGTAAACTATTTTTTTAATGTTTTATTGGAGATTTATTTATGTGGCTGTTACTTTACAAAGGACAAAAGATATAGAGCCTGAAATCAAAATTTAAGTAATAATTTTGACTGTAAACAGACAAAAACACAACAAACAACAAGATAATGATCGCGCTGCACAAAATATCGCGTATAGCAATGTAATGTCTGACACTGAGGCTAATCGTATACTGAGAACTGCAATTAATACTTAAAATGACTCAATAGCTCGAATGACAACTTAGCAAAAGTAAAATTTGGTTCGACTACTAATTGCCCTTACATCAGTACCTACGTGAAAGCATAAAAATTACTTTAAATTTTAAGAAAATACTTTAAAAGATACATACAACTAAATTTCTATTTAGTAGCAATGTAAACAAAGTAGTATTAGATCCAAAATTCAGCGTTTCCATTCCGAAATATCGATGTCGAAAACACAATCCGGTAGGTAATAAAGAAGTCAATCGTAAATCAAAAGCAAGAAGTAAGAATAAAAAGAACAAAAGCCTAAAAATGATTATTCATACAAGTGAGTGCGTAATCGTTGTTACATACTGCAAAACGGCCTCAAAACTTGTAAGATAAATCCACAAATAGCGTCAGTGAAGCTTGGAAGTAGAATAAGGAGAGAACCTTCGGTGTCGCAGTTTTTCTCATCTAATTGCTAGGCAACAGATTTTCATTACCTAAACAACCCAAATTTACTCGGTAAAATACAAACCGCTTGTGCAATTATAAGTGATAAAAGCGCAGTAGCACACAATTTACCTAAACAATTTCTCGAGAATGGAATCGTGGTAGCTACCCTCTTATTCACCTTTACGTTTCCGGGCGCTTATCAACCTAAGAGCGACCATGGAGTTTAACATTGTAAGGTTTTTTGATTCTCAAAACTAAAATCTGCAATTGAGTTAGGTAGACTAACGGTAATATCACTTAGAGAATTAACATTCTATTTCAAAGTTCTTGAACTGTAATATAGCTTCAGGTTACAAAAATATAAATTTAAACATCACAACAACGCGTCGATGTAGGAACTGAACTCGAAACACAACTTTTCATCACGGATGACATCTTTAATAGTGCCTCGATATCTATCGAGATTTCTGGATTGTTTGTTACACTGCCTTCTTACATGTTCTGCCAGGTTCATAATTTAAAAAAAAGAGCATTTCATTCGGGAAGAGGACACTTAATTAGCACCTAATTAGCGCCTAATTATGCAATATGTTTGATTGTATTCTGCTGACCTTGCTCTGCAGAGCTTTCAATAGCTCTCCTGTACTACTGAACGCTTTCTAAAAAAGCAACGAGGTTCTTAGCGGCTAATAAAACTGACAACATGTCAGAACTTTAAATGATTCTAAAATTCTCCTTAAATTCTGATTTTAGAAATATAATAGTTGAATGATTAAGGTTCCACTTGTTTTGAACCCAACGGAAAATGTTGACCATCTTTGCTTTAATATCACTTAGCTCCCTCCCCCTCTATTCTCTAAAAGCTACTATTGCATTTATGGATAATTCGCATGTGACTAGGAGAACCTAGCGAGTCCTAGAAACGTTCTACAATACTCTAACGTTACGTGATTTATTTATTTACAATTAATTATTAAATGAACAGTCTTGTACACAGGTTTATACCGTCACATACGAGCAGCTTGCCTATATAACAATCGGAAAGTTTCTTCCAAAATCAGGGAGCGCGTACCATATTTCCGCGTTCATTCCTTATCGTCAGTGATTAATCTTTTATCGACTTCATGGCGTCTGCTGGCGCCCCGATGTCTGAGATACTCGCTACAATACTCTAAAAAATAATTAGTAAGCCTTGAACGGTCTGGTTATAAAGGCAAGAATTCATCAACATTCCAAAGCTCCTTAAGATGTATGCAGACCTTTGCTATAGGCGCTATTTAAAAATGGTTCAAGTAGTACAGAGATATGTTGTAAGAATGAAATTACGCAAAAAAATTGAGTGCGTGGGTTTGCAAGTAACAGCCTAACTAACATGCATTTTAGGGGCTAAAGCGATTCCGATTGTCTGTTAGCGAGAGATGGTTAAATTAATTACGAGATATAATTTTTAGAAATTAAGACATTTTTGGGCATTCGGTTTTGGGCTACAGGATCGTACTATTCAAAATATAGTTTTTTTCTTCGGGAGATTCGGGTTCTGACTAAAAAAGAGTGGAGTAAAAGTGGCCATCAGTCTCTGGAGCAAGCTAACTTTATGAATTCATTACCTAGGCCCGGCAGCTTCCAACTCTTTGAATCCTGGAAAGAGGAGTACCTATCCGAAATAAATCCTCCGACTAGGTCAGATAATCACCACAACTTTACATTCAAAATTTACCGGGTAAATGATTACACGTGCCAGTACTAGAATGCTAGCAAATTCAGATTACCTACACGCAGCGGTAGAAAATGGCGTAGCACATGACGTCACTAAAATGTGGACGGGAAAAATACATCCTATCTACTCTAGCGGAATCTGACACGTGATCTTCCAGATAATGGCGGCCGTTGTCGCGCTTATTTATTTTGGACAAATACTGACAGAAGAAGGCGTAATGAACATCAACGGCGTAATTTACCTGTTCATAACGAACATGACCTTCCAAAACCTGTTCTCAGTAATTCATGTTTGTAATATCACCCTTTGCCAGGACCATTTTTTTTTAACTTTCCTCTTTAGGTATTTTGCGCCGAACTTCCAGTGTTTTTGCGCGAACACAGGAATGGAATGTACAGAACGGATGTGTATTTCCTAAGTAAAACCTTGGCAGACCTGCCCTTGTTTGTTGCAATACCTGTGATCACTATCTGTATTTGTTACTTCAGTATTGGCCTGAATCCCGACGCGTCTCACTTTTTTACAGCTGCTGGAATTCTGGTTTTAGTGGCAAATGCGGCAGTTAGCTTTGGTGAATAGACCAATTTTCTTCCAGCATGTTTCTCATCGTTAATGATTTAGGTTACTTCGTATCTTGTTTGAGCAGCTCTGTTGATATGGCAATGTCACTAGCAGCCCCAATGATGATACCAGTCATGCTTTTTGGAGGGTTCTTTATTAATCTCGAGTATAAACATGGATAAGTACTATTTCCGAATCAATTAACACTATCTTTACAGCTCCATCCCAAAATACTTCCAATGGTTGTCCTACCTATCATGGCTGCGCTATGGGTATGAAGGTCTAATGGTAAATCAATGGAGTGATATTGGTTACATAAACTGCACTGGAAGTGAAACTTGCCCAAAGAACGGAAGCGTAATTTTGGACATCTACCACTTTTCAGTTGTAAGATGATATCACAACGTATCTTTGGAAATGATTAACAAATCTTGTCCTTTCAGGATAACGTGACCGCAGATTGTATTTCGCTATTGGGTTTGATATGTTTCTTTAGAATTATGGCATATCTAGCGTTATTACTCAAAACTTATACTATAGAATAGTACATAGATAATTTCTTTAAACAAATTAACCGTTTTGTTACAATAAATAAATTATACATAGATATACCGCTGTATTAATCACTGTTTATCTGTTTAGTTAGGTAGCAAGATTGGGCTACTAGTTCAAAAGTTACAGCCCTTTGAATTTTCTTTCGAAATTGGTTTCTAGTCTATAACTTTTGATTGAGAAGTCTGATCGAAAAAGTACGAATTGTTTTGGATTCTACGCACCAAAATTAATAAGAAAAAGTGTTTTCCCGAGAAATTTTGGTGCAGTCGATTTTTTGGTAAAAAAGGAAGGTAGGAAAAAAGTATAGAATGTTGGCGTGTAGAACTCCATAATTTCAAACAGTTCCCAAGATTGGCAACCCACCAGCCCGCTACCAATCAAAAGTTACAGCCCTTTTGAATTTTTCTTTCGAAATAGGGTTTTCTAGTTTATAATTTGATTGAGAAGTCTTCGAAAAAATCGAATAGTTTTGGTTTTGGATTCTACGCACCAAAATTAAATAAGAAAAAGTTGTTTCCCGAGAAATTTGGTTTGCAGTCGAATTATTGGTTTAAAAAAGGAAAGTTATACACCTGCCTTTTTTTGAGCCCCGAAAAAAAAATTGTCTCAGATCGACCCGGAAAAAAAATTTTCTTATAGAATGTGGCCTGTAGAATCCATAATTTCAAACAGTTTCGATTTCGAAATTGGTTTCTAGTCTATAACTTTTGATTGGGAAGTTAAGTATTCAAATACTTTGCGAAGTATTCGAATACTAAATATTTGTGAAAGTATTTGAGTTACAAATACAAATACTGCTTCCATAAAAGTATTTAATTACAAAGTATTTGAATACTTTAAAGGATTTGAATACTAAAAAGTATTTACAAAATCGAATACTGCCCAGCTCTGGAGACGGAAAAGATACCAACACAAACAAAAGATAAAAAGAGAAAGAAGCGCAAGAGACGCAACATATGATTGATGAAGAAACAGAAAATAGACGAAGGAAAGCTAAAAAGAGTTGAAGATAATGAAGAAAATAGAAAACAAACTAGGGATGAAAAAAAGAGTAGAAACGGAGACGAATAAGTGATGAGAACAAGAACAAAGAAACGTAAGAATGGAGAACATCAATAGGTTAATGATATAGATGAAAATAACGCCAACAGAGGGACGAAACTTGTAAAACAACCAAAGAAAACGGAGGATAAATGAAAAGGAAATAAAAGCAACAAAAATAGACTTAATAATGCGGAAGGACGACGAATGATGCAAGACAGACGAGAAAAGGGAAGTAAGGGAAGAAAAATTAAAAAAAAAGGAATAGAAGGAAAGGATGAATAAAGATGAAGAGACAATAAGGATGAGAATTAGACATAAATAAGACAAACACTTGACTTAAAAAATATAGAAAAATAGGCAAGATAAGAGAGACAAAAAGCCGTACAGGAAAACCAAAAATAGCTCCGAAAAGGTATCAGAATTTCAGAAACAAGCAAAATGTACTGAAAAGGAACATAAAGAGAAAAATGCAAATGCGAACTGAGCAAGAGTTGAAGAAAGTGAAGAAACAAAAAAGAAACCCAACAAAGACTGAAGATAGACATTAAAGACCTAAAATAAACGGACAGATCGAGGATGAAGAACGTAAAGGAGACAAAAGTGATGGAAAAAAGAATCCATAGGGAGACTAAAAAGTGAAAGCAAAAGACAAGCGACGAAAACAGGCAAAGAAGCATTAAAAAAAAAGAGAAACACAAAACAATCAAAAAAAGAAAATAGACATTATTAAAAAAGTTTAAGAAAATGGCATAAAAAATTAAAAAACAACTAAAGATAGGAAACAAGCAAAATGGGTTAAAGGGAATGAAGAAATAAATCGAAACAAAGAAAACAAAATAGCAAAAAATAGTGATAAAAAGATGATAAAGAAGTTGAAAAGGAAACGAAGAAAAGAGGAAAAGAACCAAACAATAGAAACAAGCGACGAAAACAGATGAAGGGGCGTTAAAAAAAGAAACAAAAAAGAAGGAAATAAACCAATTACTTAAAAAGTCGATGTAATTGAGCGAAAGTCTGTATGGTAAATTGCAAGAAATGACACATACAGGGAATAAAAATAGTAAAAAAAAAGGAAAGGGAACAAGCCTTGGAACAAGCAAAATGGGTTAGACACGAAAGACAGGAAAGTACAATGAAATGGAGAAAAAAAATAACCAAAAAAGAAACAAGAAAGAAAAAAAAAACATGTGAAATGGTCGAAAATAACATAACAGAAAGATAAAAGGGTAAAAATATACGAAAATATGCAGACCAAACTTGACCAAAACTAGCTAAAGGAAAACTAATCTATCATCTCGTTGCAAAAGGAATAAGAAACGATTGAAGAGAAGCAATTAAAGGACGGGAAACAAAAGAGTCCAGAATAAATGGCAAACATTGGAAGATAACGAAGCGAAAGAATAAGAGACCGAATCTGAAAAGATACAAAAAGGGACAAGAAGAGCTGGATGAAACACAAAAAAAAGACCAACACGGGGAAAGAAAAGGAAACGTATATTAGAAGATAAAGCGAACAAATTTACCGTAAAGAAAAGTCATGAAAAAAACATGTGTAATAGACGAAAATAACAAAAACGCCGGACGTAGAAGAAAAATTGATTAAAAAGAAAGACTAGACGAAAAAGTAGAAAAATGAGGAATAATGTGACCGAAAAAAAATCGAAACAAAAGCAAATAAACAAAAAAATCGAAAAACGATAACAGAAGTGCCAAAAAGAGGTGAAAAATAATATGCAAAACAAGAATCAAACAAAATTGGAGACGAAGAAGATGAGTAAGTACCTAAACAGGAACTATAAAGAGACTAGGATGAGATACGAAAAAAAAACAAGAAACAGTTAAAGCAAAATAGGAACCAAAAGAGATTAAAGAAGGGCAGCCTTGGAAAATGATAGTAAAGTTACAAAAAATAGAAACATAGGAACAAAGTTTGTATGAAAAGGAGACAAAAAGGATAGAACAAAAATTGAAAAGAAGACAAAAAAGTGGAAAAGACACGAGAGAAGCGAAGGGGCAAGTGTAAGAAATAAAGATAAAAAGTGGACCAAAAGAAGATAAAATAAGGTAAAAGAAACGAAGGGGACTAAGAAACAGAAACTAGAAATCATGCAAATGGACACAGAATATGCTAAATAGACACGAGGAACACAAAAAGAGACGGAAATTGTCCAAAAGGAACGAAAAACAGAAGAAATATATGACACTAGAGAGGCACGAAAGAAAGACGAAGGGAATTTGCAACATTCACTTTTGGAATAATTCCCTATATATTGTTAACAATTTTCACGTACCTTTTTTAAGTTTTCTTCCCTGAAAAGTTTGCGAAGTTTAGAATAGAAGTTCATGATCATCTCCTTACATTTGGAGCTAAATAACTATGGTCAATTAAAAGAAAATGGCAAGTCAAAGAGAAAAAAAGAAGACCACACCAAAAGTCGAAAAAGGCGAAAGATGTGGAAGAGACCAGAGGGCAATAGACGGACCTGATGGAACGGTTGGACAAGCACAAGAGGAAAAGGGTAAGGAACAAAGAGCGAAAATAGACGAAAAAGGAATCCTACAATGGACGAAAAGACAATAAAGAGGTTAGGAAAGCACGACAAGTGTAACATTGGTCGTCCCTTGAGAACCAGCGTTTATTCGCAAGAATGGAAGCATAGATAAAGAGCTGAAAATATTGGCGACAGTGACTAGTAGGAAGAGAAAAAAAAGAAGACAAAAAGGACCAAAAGACCGAATGCAATGAAAGGCTGTAAATGGACAACAACGACCAAAGGAATAAAAAAGCGAAAGGACGTAAATATATAGAAGATGAATCAGATTTGTTTAAATTCCTATTTTAAAAACCACCCCTAAAGATTAGCGCCCTCAAAAACAGCACACGGGGCTATATCCCAGTTAGCTCACTTACAACAGAGTCCTGAAGGCTCACTAATTCATGACCGCAAAATTCTTCACTGTTAAAATAACAGTTTTATTCAACACACAAAACGACGATATTGATTTCCGTACATAATCGCGCACTCAATCAGAAACGTCTCAATTTACCAAAACGAAAATGATACCCCACTCGTAAAGTTTATACACCTTTCGAACGTGAAAGTCTTTTGACGGGCTTCAGTTGTGCTACACTTATCATGCATACGACAAGCAGATTAGAAATGGTCGATTTGGACAAGGAAACCGTTAGCGAAAGCGAGGTAAAGTGCCAATTTTGTTTTTAATTTTTACTCAGTTTTGTTATTAGAATGGATCGAGCCCAACGCTCAGCCTAAATACGCCCTCCACCCCGAGGCAATACAACAAATGGTCACCGATGGAGGAAGGCATAACGTTGGCTTGGCGCGATCTGAACGTCTACGCGCACTGCAAGTTGAATGGGAAGAAGAGCTACAAGAGGATTATTAACGGGGGTGAGTTTGGAATAGTTGAATTGTACTGAAAGGGTTGGTTACAGCTAGTGGTGCTGTTAAAACGGGTAGTCTAGTGGCGGTAATGGGCGCAAGTGGGAGCGGTAAAAGCACGTTGATGTCGGCCTTGGCCTATCGCAACCCAGGCGCCACCGTGGTCGAAGGAGAAGTTTTGGTAAACGGAAGGCCCATCGGCGACTACATGAGGTCTCTTAGCGGTTTCATGCACCAAGACGAGTTTTTCGTTGGAAGTCTCACTGTGTGGGAGCACCTGAATATTATGGTAAGTCATCCTCGTGGAAAACTCAAAGTTATCTTCTTCGTAGGCGCGATTGAAGTTAGACCGAAGAACGTCCAAAAGCGAAATGAACCTCAAAATTGAGGAGCTGATACGCAACTTGGGTTTGACAAAGTGCAAGTATACGAGGATTGGTGTCGAACACACCGAGAAGGTGCTTTCGGGTGGTGAGAAAAAGCGTTTGGCTTTCGCTACCGAATTGCTGACGGATCCCCAACTGTTGTTCTGTGACGAACCGACGACCGGTTTGGATTCGTATTGTGCTCAGAAAATTGTGGCGATGATGAATTTTATGACATCGAGCGGGAAAACGATCGTGTGCACTATACATCAGCCTTCGTCTGAGGTTTTCGCAATGTTCAGCCAGATGATTCTTTTGGCCGATGGGCGTATAGCATACATGGGGTCCAATTCTAACGCGCTCGACTTTTTCCAAACGTAAGTACTAGTGTCTACGGAGTCGTGGCTATGACGTGCCAAAGGTGGGATCCTTTGGTCATATGTAGAAACAATTGCTCAATGTTCGTCTAATTATATTTGCGGTCTTGACGTCAAATCAAGCCTTAATAGTCCAGCCAAATTAGACGTAAAATGATAAACGGTTGCAAAAGGTCCGGTAGAAGATTTTATTTTTCCGACGTGTTTAAATAGTAGAGAGAGAAAACCAAGTTTGCCAATGCGACTGACATTGGGAAACATTTCTGTGGTCAAAAATCTTTTTTTCGGTTTTTCTAAAATAACTCGCCAACGGCAATACTTAGGTAAAATCATCTATTATTAAAAACTGTAGTGTATAAAGATAACATTCATTTGATATTTTATTTGGCTCCCTAGCATACATAGTTTAGGAGATACACCAATTTAAAGTTCCGTGTTTTCCCATTTTTTGGAAATAATACCATTTTTTGCCCATTTTTAAAAGAAATGTGGTTCTGCAGAAAGGTGGCGTTATAAAGGATAATTATGATTGGCGCTTTACTTGAAAAACCGGAAGAAGGAGATTTATTTTATTATAGAAGTTGTTTTTCATTAAATACTGCAAGTAGGAGGTGCTGCAGCTAGCTGGTTCGCGACGGTTGTAAAGCGTGCTTCTTTACGTTATCTTTTATTTGGACGTTTCACTCGATTTGATTGATTGGGGACGCAATTCGTCATTTTTATAATATTAATATAGAAAAGAAAAAATTGTGAGAAGTTTAACGCGCGTTGTCCGTATCCGAAAAAAGTTTAGTCAAGTTGAAGTAAAGACAGCAGTTTTAGTGAAAGGTGAGGTCTTCCGTTGAGAATCTCTTTTTGTTTAAAAAATTATAAGTTTATACCGTTCGCACACTCACTGATAAGGAAATTCAGAAGCTGTTCGCTTTGTGTGCTTATTTTAACGCAAACTTTGTTATGACCAAAGAAAAAATTGTAAATAATTTTAAGATTTTGTTATTTTATTTATCGCTTTCTGCGTACGGAGTACTATGTAAAAACCAGTTTCGTATACTTCTGTTTATTATGGGAATTTTGTTTCAATTTTCATTTCATGTGTTTTGCAACAAATGTTTATAATTGTCACTTAATTGTGTGTTTATTCGAACCCATTGTGCGACCGTATAGAGTTTTCATGTCAGACTTGTCTGGTCGTGCCCAAGAATTGTATCCCGTTAATGAAAAGTTGTGTCCTTTGGAATTTTCAGAAGTAGTTCGAGGTTACTGAGTCTCCCAATTTTTAATTTAAGTAAATATTAGGGTTTTTCTTTATAGCAGATGCCTAATGCGTGCAAGGGGAAATTAAAAAATTCTTAATTTAAAGAGTATTTTATTTTGGGCTAGCTGGACATGTGTTTTGTGGGTGGTGTAGTTGACCGCATGCCATTGCACACAACAATATAACTATAAGTGATACATCATAATTTAGAAAATTTTGCACTCTTTTCAGAACCTCCAAAACATATAGTAGTGGTTCGTATGAAAAAAATGTTATTTAAGGTGACATAATAAAAACCATGCACTCTGTACAAACATCGCGATGGATTCTATACAAAAAGTGCTCTAAGAAACATTTTACAAAAATCAATTATCGTCAATAATATGTGCAATTAACGAAATCAACTAAATTGGGGAAACGCAGTCAAAAAGTGCCGGATTGTGCTAAGAAGTCTCTTATAACGCAAAAATAAATAGGATAGCGCCAAAAGGGCACTATGTAGCGTCAAAGAGAACCGGATCGCGACGAAAAGATTGTGATCGCGTAAAGAAGGGCCACGTTGGGCCAATAGCCACATTGAACACGGTGGAGATAATAAAATCCAGATATGGTATCCATGAGTTAAATGTGGTCAAGACTCTCTGACGACTCCAAAGAAATCTATGTGGTGTACAGGAATCTCCGATAGTGATAAATTGTCCACAACCTTCTGATGTCATTTAAAAGAGTCGGTGGTATCCAAAAGCTTCTGGTGACGCCGAATTGGTATCAATAGAAATAACGTAGCGCAAAGGAGGATTTGACGGTACCATGAAAAAAGTGGTGGCTTTAGCTCTCTTGGCACCGCCATACTACTTCTGGTGCTACCATTCACTCTCAATAGTCACTCAGAGTATGTCTGTCAGAATATTGTGGTGACTGGTAAAAATTACAATTCATTTTACCCGATGACCGACCTATACTTTATAGAAAAAATTAGAGTAACTTGCAGATATCGATAATATCGGTGTTTTTCTTAGCTTATATCAGTTGAAATAGGCTCCTTCCAAGAAAAATTGAAAACTGGATCGCTTTTGTGGTGATACAGCTGAACCTTTTGTGACTTTCCCTCGTAGGAAATTGCTTCTCTCTTATGGAAACTGCCAGGATAATGAAGCCTGCATTTACCTCGATCGCATTCAAGACTCACGTCAGAATCTATAAGACATCGCTCTAGTTACGGGGATTAGTGCACAACAGAGCTGGGCAGTATTCGATTTTGTAAATACTTTTTAGTATTCAAATCCTTTAAAGTATTCAAATACTTTGTAATTAAATACTTTTTTGCGCGATCGGTCATTTCTGACTATTTACCATGGGTGTTTCCATGACAGTAGGTAGAATTTACCAGTTGCTATGATTACGACGACGTCAAAATTACTTACCGATCTAAAAACAGAACAGCAAAAATACTTACCGACGCCTTTTTAAAAATCAACAGTCTTACATTACATTTAATCTTTAATTATTGTTAGGTACATTAAACGTACAATTTGTGCTGTTGTTTCCTATAGCAAGACGCTCATAAAGTCATAAAGGAAGTTCAAAGCTAGTAAACTACATCAGACACATGCACATTTTTATGAAATTATTATCTTCAATTTTGACAAATAAACTGGTTACCTAGTGATATACACCATACCACTTCGATCATTTCGATTTATTCTGCTCGTTAATTTCTTAGTGCATATTTATATTGGTTGCATAAATTTAATTTCGATCGCGCAAAAAATGTTATAAGCACGTCGAACGTTAAGGGTTACCGTTCTCAGACAATAATTGGAGTCGTCGCTTCGCTCCTCCTCCAAACAATTGTCTTCGAACGGTAAAATCCCTTACCGTTCTCCATACTTAATATACTATTATGGAAGCAGTATTTGTATTTGTAACTCAAATACTTTCACAAATATTTAGTATTCGAATACTTCGCAAAGTATTTGGATACTTCGTAAAGTATTCGAATACTTCGCATAGTATTTGAATACTTAACCTTCCTTTGTAAGGGTTGTAACTTTTGAATTAGTAGTCTAATCTTGGAACTGTTTGAAATTATGGATTCTACAGGCCACATTCTATAAAAAAATTTTTGTTCCGGGTCGATCTGAGACAATTTTTTTTTCGGGCCTCAAAAATAGAACCTTCCTTTTTTACCAAAAATCGACTGCACCGACATTTTTCGGGAAAACACTTTTTCTTATTAACTTTGGTGCGTAGAATCCAAAACAATTCGTACTTTTTCGATCAGACTTCTCAATCAAAAGTTATAGACTAGAAACCAATGTCGAAAAAAATTCAAAGGGCTGTAACTTTTGAACTAGTAGCCCAATATTGGAACTGTTTGAAATTATGGATTCTACAGGCCAAATTCTATAAGAAAATGTTTTTTCCCGGTCGATCTCAGACATTTTTTTTCCGGCCTCAAAAAAAGGCAGTACTTTTAAGTTATTCAAATATTTGAGAACAATTTAGAAATGTTTAGGGAAAGTTTCCATTGTCACAAAATCAAATATAAAAATCCGATACATCTGAATACCGAACTCGATAGTCTACGTAACTTAAAAACAATAGGGACCTTCTTATATCCTTAAAACCATGTGTACCGATTTTCAAAGCGATCGCACGTTTCTAAACAAACTATCATGCACACGGACAAACGAATGGTCAAAAACGGATCTGTTCCAAAATCGCTAGGATTAATTTCAGAAAGGCGTAGGTATCATGTGCACGACGTACGATCGCTTTGAAAACTGGTACACGTATTCTTAAGGATATAAATGGTATAAGAAAGGTCCTGGTAGGTACCTCCTATATAATAATTATAATAATAATAATACGCTTTTACTCCCCTTAAATTTGTATATAACAATAGAAATATAAAAAAAACTAATCCCATACAAAGTATAACTTGATTTTTTAAGTAGTATTAAGACTTTTATCTAGTATACTATTTTAAATTTTTAATGTATTTGAGTGACAAGTATTTGAATACTTTTTACTGTATTCGAATACTTTTCAAAGTATTCGAATACTTTTTATAGTATTCGAATACCTTTGATAGTATTAGAATACATTCTAAAGTATTTGAATATTTATTTTCTAAAGTATTTGAATACTTTTCAATGTATCTGTATCTAGTATTCGCTTGTGCTGGACGTAAAAGTATTTAGTATTCAAATACTTTTTGAAAGTATTCTGCCCAGCTCTGGTGCACAAAGATAAAATATGCCACACCTTGCACACGCGAATTTTTTCGCTGATTATTAGGCAGTACTGAGACTATAATTACACATTTCAGGTTAGGCTACAATTGTCCCAACAATTACAACCCGGCCGACTTCTACATACGAACCCTGGCCGTAACCCCCGGCTCCGAAGAGGCGAGCAAACAGACAATTAGGTACATCTGCGATCACTTTGCAGTCAGCGAGTACATCAAAGAAGTAGAGATGGTGATCCAGTACGAGTTCCACATGGGAAGGTCTCTTCAAGCGCAAACTTTCCGCACTAATTTGTACGTATCCCATCTAGATGCTGCAGTTCAAAACTAAGCCCATTTCAGCAAAGAGCAGCTGTGGTTCGTCAAACTCTTCCTGCTGATCTATCGCGGCCTGCTGGCGTATTGGAGAGACACCTGGTTGCTGGCAATCAGACTAGTCGAGAAGATGGTAAGGTGACCTCGACGCGGTCGTAAACCTAACCGTTGCAATTTAGGCGGTCGCGTTACTCATTGGCCTCTGCTACGTCGGCGCGACCACTCACGATCAGAAGGGAATACAAGCAATTCAAGGCGCCATCTTTATTTTAATCTGCGAGAACACTTTCATCCCGATGTACTCGGTGATGGCAGTCTTTCCTCAGGATAGGCCTCTGTTTCTTAGGGAGTACCGGTCTGGGTTGTACTCCGTCGGGATGTACTACTTTGCAAAGATCGCAGCTATGGTAATTCCCCGATATTGGAGTGAAGGCACTAATTTTCCGTTAGGTTCCAGGTTTGATGCTGGAAACCTTTATATTTAGCCTCATCGCCTATTGGCTCGTGGGCTTAAGAGCGACAAGTGACAGCTTCTGGCTGACTACGTTCGTTATTCTGCTCACCCTAAATGTATCACTAGCCTGTGGTAAGTATAAGTAGTTACCATCTTTCAATTTAAACGTTCACTTTTAGGAATTTTCTTCTCGAACGCTTTCGACTCCATTCCAAGCGCTATGAGTTTCTTGGCGCCCTTTGATTTTTTGCTAATGATCGTTTCTGGATTGTTTCTAAAATTGAGGTGAAATTGTATGTACCTAATCTTGCTTAATTACCGGCTGGTAATTTCAGTTCTTTACCTAACTATATATCATGGACCAAGTATTTATCATGGATCATGTACGCCTCTGAGTCGCTAGCAATCGTCCAGTGGGAAGGTGTGCATAACATAAGTATGTATTATTCTTAGTACGTAAGCTGCTGGGAAATTTTATCACTTCATGAATATGCATTTAAGTTGGTTGTAAAATACATAGTACGGCAAGGCCAAATAGTGCCTTAAATTTTACGTTCTGCAATAAATAGACCTCCGAACTATTCCGATTATAATCAAGACGTTATTATATTCTCTCAGGGCCGCCAGCTTTGGGTTCGGTAAACCGATGCGCATGTAACCACCAGCGTTCCCGTGGACACTCAGTCTCGAGTACTGTCATTTATCGTTCGCTTGTAGTAGACCGAAAACTTAAGCGCTCAGTCATCGAAAAGGGTTACTATAAACTCGACTCTACTTCAGCGTTTACCAGGAAGGAGTTAATTTCCACCAATCCGGTGTATTTGGCCAAAACATGGCGGATCTTTCAACTGTCAATAGGAAATAACACTGTCACAATAGTCTCACTACAGTATTGAAAACTTAATTGGGTTGGTTTCTGAATAAAATAGCGCATTTAAAGTAAATGGAAAATGGTATGCACTTATTAAAAAAAAGCAATATGGCGCGACTTCCGGTATTTAAGGAAACGGCGCCATTTTGAAATTATTTTATTTCAATCCGCAATGGTCGATTATGGTTGTAAACCAAATTTCAAAGTTTCTATTTTAACTGTAAGTTTAAAAACTTCTAACGAACGGGTTACGAGAGTCACCCTGTGTTGGCGTTATATACTCATCGAATTGATTGGCTCTTTCTCTTTTTCTGGTGGCGAGGTCTTTGTAGGCATACATTTTTAGGTGCAAATTTAATAAAAATCGTGACCAGATGGCAGATGTGCCATTTTTTCCCCTAGTAGAATACTGTCATTTTACCCTCGCCGCTTTTTAGTCGCAGATTAATTCTAGGGGTTAATCAAGGCCAGTTTAATTGGTGGAGAACTTCATCGGCCATGTTGGATTTTATTTCCAGAATATAATTCGCGGTTTCGTTCACCTGAGCGAGGGTTTTTCGGTCCCTTATTTGATTATTTCTGGGAATCTTGGATAATTTAATAAAATTTGAACTTTGATTGGATCAATTAATTTATTCCGCGCTTTGATTCGCCGATTTAATTGGATTAAAATCCGTCCATCCGCCCGGACCCATTTCTGCCGTTTTGAATTACTTTTAGTGGAATTGTGTTAGAGTCCTGGAATTTGTTGCAATAAGTAAAACTTTTGAAAATTGAGGGGGGGGGGGTAGTTTCAATTTAAATTTTTGAGACTCACATAGATTCCGCGATGTGTTCATTTAATATTAAACGTTTTACAAGTTCTGAAGAAATGGTACAGGAATTTTCATCCAATTTTTATTTAATTGAAATCTTTTTAGAAACCGGCGAATGGAATCATAAATAAATTAATTTATCCAATTCCACGAAATTATTTATAATTCTCAGAGGCAATATAATAAGTTCCCGAAAACACTCTTGCCTACGTGACCGAAACTGCGCATAAATTTAATTGACCTTGGCCCCATGAATTAAATTAATTCCGCGAATTAATCCGCGAAGTGTCAGGCGTTGATAAATTTTAAAAGCGAAGTATCAACCTTAGCGCTATATACCTTTTGAATCAATGGCTGCATCTCTGTTTCTGGTTCTCAGATCTTGGTAATTTTTTTGAATTGTGCGGTGCAAAATTGATTAGAACCTGTCTCTCTCCCTGGTAGATCTGCTTCAGCTGTCGTCCTTGTAAAATTTAAAGGCAAATGTGTGGTGAACGGGGGTTTGCGCATATCGGTTGCTTGAAAATTAAACGGTAAAATTAATTAGTTGAATCCGAGATCAAATTTAATCTGCAAAGTGAATGAATCAATAGAATTTAATTTAATTCAAACGGTGAAAGCTGCGGTGGCCGGCGAAACGGTATAGTAGTCTCGAGCACCACCACGAGTTGCTTCCTTGCCCTCGGTAAAGGTCGGCGGTTTCGAAACGGTTACCACAAATAAACTATAAAATTCTCGAACATCTTGATAAATTAGCGCGCTTCCAATGACACTGAACGTCGTTTGCTGCCACACATCTAATTAGCTACCAGTAATTATGCTTACTTAATTGGCCGGTTTCAAATTGCAAAATGAAAACATAATTAAGCACAACTAAACTTTAAAACTAAAAGTAAAATTTAATGAAACATTGAAATAAACAGTTGGATGTAATATGCTTGCACCTTTAATTAAGCACAAATTGGTAGAGTACTAAGAGTAAAAGAACTAAAGCACATGCAGGGAATTAGCAAGCGAAAACTCTCCATGTTACTACTTTTTAATATAATTTTGCAGCATGGCGATAGAAACAAGCAGTTTATTTCCAATACAGGAACAATTAAGTTAAGTTCATCGGAGGATGTGCTTCGTTATTGTGAATATAATCAATGTTCTATGTATATCTTTAAAAATGTAGTCTCTGGTTGACAACAGCTCCATTAATCATGCTCAAATATGTCGATATCAGATTTGTTAACAAATTACTTTAAAATTTTTAGATGATTAACATGTCGAGTATTTCGATGTGATTAATGTTTTTCAGGAACAACGTCAAAAAATTGTATCCAATGTAGGGTACAGAATCAATAATGGAAGGGGGTGGAATTTTTTAAGCATTTCAGGATGAAGTTGTGTGACACCGAATGAAAGATAATGTCAGCTTCAGTTTTTATTATAACGCAAATCGGTAGAACATTAGAGAATGAGGCTATATGAACTCTGCACCGCCATCGCCCACCAACCACCGAATACCGGGTGGTGGATGGAGTCACGCAGATATAAATGAGGACGCGGATTTCCTCTTGTGTACGCAAAATTTTTTATATTAGTAAATCGATATTTCCTTAGTACAACGTGAACGCGTTACTTAATAATCCTAACGTAATGGGTGGTACACATCGTTACCCTAGCAACAGGCAAAGACCATTGCTTACTTTTTCCACTAATGTGTTTTCTGTACGATTGTCGATTGATATACCCAGGGTGATCGAAAATAATTGCAGACAGTTTAAATTTGGCCCTATAAGTTTTTAGTGTTTTTTACTTAAGGAATTGGCAAACATGTTGAGAACGTGGTTTATTTATGCATTAATTCTCATCCATTGGCGTCGTTTTTTATGTAAATTTTATTTTTTTATCTTCGTACTGCGATCTATGCGTTTTAAAGCAAACGGTTCTTTTTAAAGGTCCACCACTGCTTTTAAATAAATGACATTTGGTATGTTACCAACTTTATAAATGTTTGTTTTGCGGGAAATTCAAACTGCCGGCACTACTTTCCGATCACCCCATATTAGAGCTTTACTTGCAGTTCGGTTAATTTAACTTTCGATTTGACTCCACCGTTGGGTCATCAAATACCTTTAAACGATTTCTAGGCGAATTATAACTGTGCGAAGTTTCCAATCGAGCATTCTAGACTCTGTGATCCTGATACAGCAAACCTGGTTACTAAGGAGGTGTCTATCCATAATCTTTACCCTCTTGCGTTACTGTTTTTCTGATCTATTGTAAACGTTCTAAAAGGGAGGTTTTATCAGAAGAATAATTATAACAGGTACTTATGGTACCTTCCTGGGCACTTGCAACAATTGTTCAAAGTGAAGTATGTATCAGGAAAACAAAATAAGTGATGTACAACTTTTGTACATTTTCTTGAATTTCTGTTATCCTGACACTAATTTTTATAGTAAATGCAGGTTTGCTAGAACCATAGAATAAATAATGTTACATTGTTCACCATGTTCTTATGCACTATATAAGTTATGCTATTTTTCAGCTTGCGAAACCACTAATGAAGACATCCCCTGTTTAACGGAGGGCTCAGAAGTCATGGAAAGGTACAGTTTTTCTTTCGACAACTTCAACAGGGACCTTTGGAACATGTTTATTATTGGACTAATATTCCATGTGCTGGCCTTTTTGTGTCTTTGTAGAAAAACCAAGAGAAAATAGTGAGCCAGTGTTCACTTAATAAATATAATTTTGTGTAAAGTTGTTTTTATTTAATCAACATTTTGCGTAGTGCAGATTTTTTAGTAAGATCTTTTCCCCCCTCCGTTTTTACAATAATCTATTCTATGATACACTGCTCAAAAGTTGCAAAACTTTCTTCAATGGTGATAGAATGCAATAAAGAAACTATATATGTCCGTTGAGGATGTATGTGAAACTTTCAAACATTCAAATCTACAAAATGGCAGACATCCTAAAAAAAACCCCATCACAAAAATACCCTGTAGATATAACTATCATTATACCCTGTATATTTAAAATGACACAGCCAATCACAGTAAAAAATTCAAATTCCCTACACAAATTCAAATTTACAACAACAAAATGACAGACATCCGCAAATTCAAAAATTGAAATCTCCTGCCCAAATTCAAATTTACCGCCCCAAAATGACACAGCGCGGCACGTGTGACGTCAAAGAAGGCGGAGGAGCAGGCGAACATCTCACTACTAAGTTAAAGACTTTAATCATGCACCATAATTTTATACTTTTACCGTTTATTAACGATCTTCGAGATCGTTTATAATTTTACTGTCTGTCAGTCTGCCCGTCTGTATCCGTCTGTCTGTCCGTCCGTCCGTATGTCCGTGTGCACGATAAGATTTGTACTTGCGCAATCCATTTTTTACTTAAACAACAGCTATTCCTGATGATGAAATTTTAGGGTACCTAGGATTCTTATTGTAAACTAAAATTGGAGTCGAGCGTCAAAAATGGATTGCATATGTGCAACGTTAACTTTCTTATTTGTGACCGGATTTTTGCGAAATTTTAACAGAAGTTGAATCTTACAAATGGAAAATGAGTGTAAGTGGAAATGCGCGTAAATCGTTTGCGATTACTTTTTTAACTTGTTAAAATTATATCTATTAGCTTTCACACAAAGGTAAAGTGCTTTTGATGACATTGTATCGACTAATTTGTTGGCAATTGTATGCCATGATCCTTGCCTTGATGTATGTCTTCCCAAAATCTAAAAGTGTTATCAAGTTTAAAAAATATTATTAAAATTATTACAATTTCTGCAGTACTATCTTACCAACGCTAACAAATTGTCTCCGCTTCAATCTTATAGTACGGTGTTATCAATAACAAACAAATTTGAATATAATAATTGATGAGTATCAAGTTATTGGTGCTTTTTTGAACCGAATCAAATTTTTTTTTGCTTTTTCGGAATATTTCAACGTCACTCAACACAGCCCTAACTACATTCTCACTACAATAAAAAATTAACAAACGGAAAACAATAACAAAGGGCGTATGCTAACAAAACGGCGGTAGTAGAAGTACACGGAATCAGGAAAAAAGGTTTCTTTAGTGGAAAACCTTGTATATTTTACTCTAAAAAGATATCTATGTGATTTTTTAAAACTTTATTACTTTAAACCACAGTAGGCTAAGAAACAATCTTTTATTTCGATCCATAGTTTCTATAATTTTTTAATTTACTTTTTTACTCTAACTATTTTTTTAACTCTATGTATGTTAAAATGTATTATGTATAATTTCTTTCCAGCTACAATGTATTCCTAGGAGATTAGCTTTTGTTTCATAGTATAGTGTGGTTTAACGTAATATACTTTATATAAATCGCACAGAAAACCAATAGCATTTTTGATTATTTATTTTAGTAAAATATTTTTGAAAAAAGAATTGAATATGATGCTATCTCTTTGGATGCATTAGAAAAAATAGGATAGGTCCGTTAACTTGTTTACCCGACTCCTTTAGGTACTTATTCTGCAAACAGAAGATTATTCAACAATCCTTATACAGAAACTTTTGCATAAAACATTTTTTTGTATCTTTTGTAAATAAGAAAATATAGGCTAATTCTGAAATTGACAAATTTTTGATTTTTTCCCGTAGTTTTACCTTTCTATGGGTAAATGGGTTAGATCTGCTAAGAAAAAAAATGGAAAAATTTTAAAACTTATGTCCACAAACGAAGGCGCCCGACTTCTACTACTCGGGTTCAAAATAAAGGCGCTAGAGGGCATTTTCTAAATGTTACACTATGACCACAGATACTTGCAATGATTCTGTTTTTTTTTCTATTAAAAGTAGCCGGAAAGTCAAGTCCAGGAGTTTACCTGACAACTAGTTATTCTTTCTGGTCTGTTTACGGCGTCCAATATTTATTAATTCTATGGTAAAGTTAACATGTATGTGGAGACCTCCCGCAGCACTAGCTATATACCTGGGGCATAATTACCAATATAGCGCCTGGAAAGTCCAAAGACGGTGAAAAAGTCGTTCTTTTTGCCGTCTTTTTACTCCACTGGCCACTCATTCCCATTTTGGTGGCCCATATGCGAATTGCGACTACCAATCCGGATGTTGCACACTTGAAGAACTTAACTGCGGTTGTTAACTATGGAACCAAGAGGCAGAAGTTGGTTTGGCGGCGTAATTTCAGGGCATTGAGTAAGTAAAACTATATGAAAACATAAATGTAATGTAGGACTCCATTATTTAGTTGATGCAGCGACGCAGCGAAAACAAAATAAAACTATGTATATTTAGTTTAAAAAATCTTCTAATTTCTTTATATGAAAACATGCTTCCTAAGCTTTCTTTGATTTTTTAATTAAAACGTAACTCTTGGCAGTCGAAACTGTTTAGAATATTGAACACTAATATTAGGCAAAATGTTATTATGCAAACTGTCAAAATAATAAACGAATGAGAACGTTACAGTTAAACTTTTTAAAACATTGTGACTTCCTCCCACCTATCAGGGAAAACAATAATATTACAAGACGTCGTCCGGGTCGCTATCGCTTTCAAAGTCAGGTAAAATAATGTTACTTTCGCTGCCATTGTTGTAGCAATTTCCACTACAACGGCAGCTCTAAGTGCATGGAAGGGGTTCTCCTCTTCGTCATGTATCCGCATAGTCTTGTTTTGCAGCCCCTCTGGCAGTCATAAGACACGAAGAGGACGCACGCACGAGGGATGGATTCAAGGGACATCAAAACTGGCTTCATTGCATCAACCTGGATTTGCCATCCATACCCCTTTGCAGAAGGAATTGTTCCAAATATCTAACTAACAAGAAGTAGCAATTTCACGCTTTTCTTGGGTCGCGTCATCAATCTGTGTCAAAGCATCGGAGAAAAGCGCAAATTAAGAAAAATTATAAAATAAACTTTTCAATTTAGAAATTCTCAAAAACTAAGAAACTCACAAAAAAACTGTAATAGCCTTTTTTGTAGAGTATTGTATGCCCAATTGGCCAGTGTGTCCAAAACTGATTTTAAATTTTTTTGATTATGGCCCTTTTAAACTGTATGCATGTGGTTCGTTTCTTCTGAACACGATAACTCAAAAACGGCTGAACCGATTTTGATGAAATTTGGAATGTTTATAGGATTGCATGGGGAATCGCCAACGACCTAGTTTGGTTTCGGTTCGTTACCATCTTCAGGGTTTTTGAGGACGTTAAAGGTTTAAAAGGGCCATAACGGCTTAAAAAAGTTTGTAATTTGTTTCGCATACACTGGCTAATGTGGCACAAGAAACTCTACACATTTTTTGTGAGTTTTATAGTTTTTTAGAAATTTTAAATTGAATAATTAAACTGTTCATTTTGTAACTTTTCTAAATCTCCACTTTTCTCAGAAAGTAAGCCTCATAGTGAAACAGGTAAAACCGAGGGTAAAACATACAAAAAGATGGGCTTTGATGAGCTGTAAAAAAAGTCTCATTCATTTTTTGCGTCAGATTCAAAATAGAGGTGCCAGAGGTAAATATAGTCGGAAAATCGGCAATTTGACATATTTGACCACCCTCCTAACCTTAAACCACGGGATCTCGTTGGCACTTTCTACAAAAAATCAGCCATGGTACGATAAGTTTTCCGTAGCCAGCTCTCAGACTATTACGTTTTAATAAAAAAATTAAAGAAAACTTGGGAAGCATGTTTTCATATACTTTTACTTACCCAATGCTCTGAAATTACACCGCCAAACCAACTGCTACCTCTTGGTTCCATAGTTAACGTTTTTAAGAGACGGATCCCCACGTCCGCATTTAAACCCTTCATTCGGATGGTTAACCGCAATGGAATGGGAATGGGAATGGGCCAGTGTAGTAAAAATACGGAAAAAGAACGAGTTTTCACTGTTTTTGGACTTTCCAAGCGCCATATTGGTTTTTATGCCCCAGGCATAGGGCGCTGAGAAAGGTTCCCACATACCTAAATGTTAACTTTACCATAGAAATAAATATTGGACGCCGACAACAGGCCAGAAAGAAAAAAAAACAACGAAAAGTAATGAATTTTGCATATTTGACGTTTTTAAGCGCCATTTTGGCATTTAGGCCTCTGAGTCTACCCGTAAAGTATACTCAAAATGTTCAGCGGCGTGCCTAGTAGGCTCGAAATAACCGAAAAACGGCAATTTCGGCGGCCATCTTGGATTTAAGGACTTAAATACCAAAATCGAGTCTGGCAACACGGCGCATCGTTTTCAGCGAGGTCGAATTAGTCTAGAACAGTCTTTGTTAGTTTGTAGCACAAAACGCCGTTAGACATGCACTTTTCAGAAATGTCTCCCTAACTATAGAGATAAAGTAATATAGCAACATGGATTGTGTAGTAAAATAACCGTGGCCTGCAATCAGCAATGATCGCATATAATACAGTTTTTGTCCTCCATTATTTTTTTTCTAGTTCATCAAAGTCATCAACATTTCCTGAATCGAAAAACCAGTGTAAGTGTACGTTTAAGTGTCAGTGCACTTCCAAAACAATTTCAGTTTGTATTTTTATGTTCTTTAACTTATTTTGTTTACAATTTTTTATGTATTTCGAACGGTTAGTAAAATATGGTAAAAAAAGTGAAAATCGGCCGCCATTTTTTAATATGGCCGCCGTAATATAGCATGCACAAGGGTTGATTTATTATATGTTGTTAAGTAGTAGGTACAA